AGCATAGAAAGAGTTTCTTCAGCCACATGCCGTTTTTATAAGTCTTTCACTTATTGACAGAGACTTGCCTGGCAGAGTTTACATTGGCGGGTAGTGTGCCTCCCTTACATTGAAATGCAGTTTAAGATATTATTCGAGATCACGCGTGGTGACAAGGCATTCCTCCCCGCGCTTCATTTCTGGATTATTTTAAGCTATCCAGAATGGCTCAAGAGTTCTGCGCATAAACGTCCTAGATTCCTATAAGACGATAGCGAACTCACCTTCAAAATCTCCGTTGTGTCTTGTGGTCCGTGCTCGCCTAGTGGGATGTTTTGTTTAAGTTTCTCGCCTAGGTGTTCTTGAATGCGGAGAGAAAATGGTCTACTCGTTTCGCCAATATATGCGTCACCGCACACTTTACGAGTGGTTAGGTACACCATAGCGCAGTCACCATCTCTACCATTGGAGCAAATTATAGAAATTTTTTTTGTACACAGACGGTTATACAAGCGGTTACGAAGCGGGTAGCTAGCGTCTTAGAATGTTTGGAGGATTTTCAACCACTGCCCCCTTTTTCTCTGGGATGGAGCATTTTAAGTAACGTTTTATAGCTGTGCTTATTTCGTTGGATGGAAGTGAAGGACACACTTAACGGGACCTCATTCTCGCTCAGTATTCTAAGGTATTAAAATCAACGTGGCCGTTGCAGACATGAAAGACATATTTCGGGGTTCCATTTTGTACTGCTGACTGGAATCTCTGCCGTTCAATCGTGTTCCACTTCAGATTATTAGCTTTAGCGAAAAAATTACCCTTTCCAGGCTCCGTGTAGTCTGAATTTTTTTTTTTACTAGGATAAGAAAAGTTGTATCTTTTTTACAGCTATGTGTAGAAATATAACTTGAATGATACTGAGATATTTGCAAAACTCCAGGTGTCTGCGGTGTGGAACGAACACGCTATTATCCTTTCCGGGGGCTAATGCGTTCACCGCCACAGCATGCGGGTATTTCATTTCGCATGTCTCTCAGCTAGTTCTATCGATCAGTGGCTCATCCGTCAGCGGGATTGATGTGGCGAACCCAAATCGGCAATGAAACCAGTTAAGCTGAGGCTGTAGTTATAATCACAATGTTAACTTATTCGATAGAACTAGTTGAGAGAGACAAAACGAAGGACCGCATGGTGTATTGGTGAACGCCTTAGGCCCGGAAAGGGTAATAGCGTGTTCTTTCCTCACCGCAGACACCTGCAGTCCGGAGTTTTGCAAATATCTCAGCATCTTTGAAGTTACATTTCGCAACATACCTTGCTATTGGATTGAGTAGGGAGTAAATAATAACTTAGAACTATGTGTAGATTTTACTGATTGTTGTTCCACCAAACGATCCCAGTAAATTCACTATGACTTGAAATATGTTTGTTTAAAGTAAAAAGACTGAATTATTTCCGAGCATCTAGCAACGGCCTTGGTTGATGATGCCGTAAATCATTGAGCTGACTGAGTGAGGAGAAAAGAATCAGTAGTTTCAAAACTTAAGATCTGAGAAAGTGAGCCAATAAAAACACGAGCTAAGGAATCTTATGAGAATAAGAAGTAGAAGGAAGATACAGTATATGGAGGCACACTGATAAACACTTAGCTTTTATAGACAATAGTCTTAGTGGCGCAGAAAATAAAACTGCCTTAATTACACCTATGTAAACTACCACTTATTGGACTTCAGCGTTCAAATAGAGTATGAGCATCTCTTTATTTTCCTCAATGGCAACAGGTCTTTTCGCCAGCAGCAGTCTCTGGTCGAAGGACTCAACTTGTTCGAAAAGTTTCTTGTAATGTTTATGGAGTAGCTCTTCAGTTGCATTGGCCAGCATTGCAATCTATGTTGAACAAGTTATTCATTGCGGACAAAAAATACAGCAAAGAAGTGTCTGTACGACAAAATAAAGGAGCACAAAAGACGAACGTCCTTCGGCTTATCTTCCCGCTACCGCTTCCCTAAGTATGAATTAAAATCCACTGGTGAGCTAATTTCACCAGGAAGTCTTTTGGAATGGAAAACATAACTTCTTATATCTGGTGTTCTTCGGAGGTCGTTCATTTGGTGGAGTAGACTTATTGCTTTAAGCAAATTCAAAAAGAAGTGCCAGAGTATTAAGGCAGACCATCTGGCTGAGTCCTAATAGGAACCATGATGACCCATCTATCTCCTAGGGAAGTTCAGCCATTCATGAACAACAATAACAAAATGTGGTGGAATGCTGTCTTGCATTAATCAAATCTTCAGCATCATTGAACATACCGATAGCAGGCCAGATTTCAACTTATAGCATGAGTAGGCGCCTTTCGGCATTCATCGTATCGTGAGCTATGTGATAATTACTATCCTGCCAGAAACCATTCCACAGCCTAGCGTTAATTTAGGCTAGTTCTACACTTTTTCAGAGGTAATAGGAAGCTCATTAGTGGGAACTGTAACAGTTCACACACTCACAAATAGATCTCTTAAATTCCATAATGTGCAGCTGGCTGGGTGTATCCTTGCAGAGAATGACGGTTCAGCAATGTTAGTAGGGTTCCAGATTTCGAACAAGGTACTCGATCTGAAAAATAACCGTCCTCATTCCGACACGTGAAGAAACATGCGCAAAAGATTTGAGAACAATATTGCAGCATGTGAACAGATTATGAATATTTTAAGGCAGAGAATTACTCGTATTAAATGCTGAGATATTTGCAAAACTCCGGACCGCAGGTGTATGAAGTGGGGGGAACGAACACACGCTGTTATCCTTACCGGGGAGCAGCGCACTTCACCACTAAACCGTCTGGGTCCGGAGTTTTGCAAATATCTAAGCATTTCATACGAGTTATATTTCGCAACATACCCTGCCATTAAGAAGAAAAAGGCAGTAAATAGAAGGGTTAAGGCAGAGAATTACTTTTCAGTCAACCTATAAATAAGTAAATAAGTAAATAAATATGTACATTCCGACGCTCTCATAGCGCACTCGCAATGTGTGCATTCAAGATGGCTTATTGCTCATTAGACGTTAGACTTAAATGGCAATCCGTGGTTTCACATTTGTTCACTTAAAGACTAATTTTCGGTTGTTATGAGTTCGCTACATTTTTCTCTACACGACTCGTCATCACATCTGTGCGAATCGCGGCACTTCTTGCATTCGATTCGCTTTCCTCGCATTCATCATCCTTAGTGGTCTTCGAACATTTCGCATATTATCTAAAGTGCTACTTGAGAATTTTGTCTTCTTTATGAATGTCATAGAATGCTGGTCGAGTCAATTCTGTTTGCAATCTTTGAGATGACCGGACTAAGACGTCCTTCATGGATTCGAGAAGAGCATTAGTGCGAGGATCGAACTAGCGCCTTTGCTTCCTGATCATTGGCATCACAAATCACTGCGCTATCCGTACTCCTGGGTTCGCAAAATTCCACACAAATTGATATCCAAATTAAACCCTTTTTTAAACTGGCATATCTAAGCTAAGAATAAACGTTACTAATGAAAATGGTAACTACTGGAATCTAAACACTTTTTCTAACGAAAAACAAGTTTACTTATACCGATTGCGTAAAACTGTGGACTCCTATAGGCGATGCAGTCGTTGAAAGCTGTTTCACGAACAGTTTGTTTCCTAAAGCACTTTTCGCACAGAAACTTGGCTAGATGCTTTATGAATTCGTAATCGCTATGCAAGAGATCTGATGAATTTGGTGGATGTTGCAGAATCTTTTATCCCAACCGGATCGTTTAACTTTTGCAACGTCAGTAGTGTGATGACTGCCGCGCGTTGTTGAAAGGGATTGGTACTTTTTTTTTGACCGATGCGGCGCAACCATTGAAGTTTCTGGCACATTTCGTGGACTTGCTGGATGTGATTTTCTGAGACTTTTTTATTGTTTTATTCTACACGACCCGTCATTCATATCTACTCTGTGGTTCCTCGCACTCCTGGCATTCGATTCATTTCCTACCGTTCATCATCAGGAACTGCCTTCGAACTATTTGCATATAGGTTCGGCTGTGTTTTCGTTCCGTCGTGAATGTCGTTGAATAGAAGTCGAGTACGACTCCCCTTCGATTCCTGAGACAGCGGCACTAGGGTGTTCTCGCTTGGATTGTAGGAATTAAACATTTCGCACGTAAAACGGATGACAATTTCTCGATTCCGGAGAGATGAAAGGCTTCATATGAACCCGGAGTAGGTTCGAACCATCACCGTACCTACGATGGTCGGTATCACTAGCACTGCGCTAACCCTCCTTTTCGAGAATCTAAGGAATGAAAATTTTGCAAAATCGTAAGATGGCCATTCGGAAAAGGCTCATAAACCGCAGATCTTTCAGTTACCATAAGTGGCATGTTTCCACTTTGTTAACGAAAACATATTTTTCTTGATGATCAGACGCGAGGTTGGTATATTTTTTGATATGAGAAACACATACTCATTAACCATAAGGAACCCCAGTATATAGGAATTGAGGAGATGATCCTTTGGCAAAGCCCTTAAAATCTCAAGAGTTCAACAAATTGTCGTAATCGGGTATGACTACGATATTATTACTGTTACTTCTACTGTATCATCATCATCGAATATCATCGAGTGAGTCAACTATTTCATGTTTTAGTCGTATACAGGTTTTAATGCCTAAATAATATATTGGGCTACCGGAATTCCTGGTTATACATGGCATTGTCTGTTTACCAAATCGACATTCCTTAGGTTATATAGTATAGGTCTGCCTTCTCTATCAAATCAAAAAATGGAATTAGAAAGTGTTTGGAGCCTTTAATCAAACTAGGCTGACACAACGAAACGCTGCCCAGAATCGAAAGAAAGTTTGATTCTCGACTCATGTTTTAGCTTATTTTTTTTATATTAAATATCTTTGAGGTGAATCGTGTTTTTTATGCAATAGTTTCATTGACTTGATTCTTTTCTGAAGCATTTTAACTATCCGTTCTTTTGCCACTTCAGACAGCATGTCGTGATGAACCGTACGGTCACCGTTTCTGTGGTCGGCGTCAGTGGCAGAGAAGCAGTTAAAGGTAACAAAGGTGTTGGCAAATCCTTGATCTGCAATCGGTTTGTTCGCGGAGACTTCGATGAGTTCTTTACGGAACACTGCTCTGTACTCTCGCAGGTGGTGTACTTTAGACTCCTTGAGAATAAAGTTAATTGCGTATAACACGGTTTCCTCCCTTGGCCCAGTGTAAACCATCAGATTGGTTGGTCTTTTTACTGTAAGTCGTAGTTGAAGACACTAAGACTTCTGAAGCATTCTGATGAGAAGTACGATTGGCTTAAAGGTGCGGAAAGCGAGAGTATGTGCATTACGGTAAGGACTAGCAGAAAGATTTCTGAGGGTTTGTACTCTTCGTTCTTTTTTTCTCTATAATTACCTAGAAAAAGTGGCCACGCGGAATCCGTTTTTGGTCTAAAAGCTATGAGAAGACAAAATATGTAGGAGTACAGAATCGGTTATCAAAAAATTACGATAGCAAAAGCAACTCGGAGGTGAGGGGTCTCCTCGCATTTCCATATTTCTTCCTCTTTACTTAAAAACGTATATATATATAAATCATAACATATTAAATGAACGTAAATTTAGTAGGACACCACGTAAATATGATTCGAGAAATGATAGGAGAATTGCTACCATGTTTAACCCCCTTCACGACCGCTGTCGATTTCAAGTGGCAGGCCAGCCAACCGGTTGTCATTGAACCCTGATCGAAATGCTCATTGAAATCGAGGTGTATGATCCGTGAGCACTGTCGAAGGGCCTAGCTCACCGCTTTTAGTCATCGGTCTGTTACTCGCTTCACTAACATATTTTTTGTGTCTCTCTAAATTCTACATATCGGCTATATTTTTCAACACATCTTTGTGATAAAAAATTTATTCATCACCTGGACTTTGGATGGTTGTGTTGTGGTTATTTTCTAGTTCACTAGCTTGTTGCTCAAAATGTGTATTCACTCCGAAACCGTCTCGTGTCGCTTTGCGCCATGCACCTCTCATCCTTGTACATTGCTCTAATTTGACTTTTTAGATTTACAGACTTTTTTGGTACTGGTCATCCTGTACTATTGCTACAAAAATCACTATATGAGTGGAGAAATCGCATGCCACAGCTAACATCCTCCAATTTTAGTCCTCATTATATACCTTGTCAGAGGTTAAAGAACCAATTCTATTCTCGAAATCATCCTTTGCCGTCGAGGTTCTTTTGCACATTGGGAATTGAAAATAGTATTTTCAAGATTTACCTGAGTGAATAGCATAGTGACTAGTGATGCAATTGATCAAAAAAACAAAGGCGATAGTTCGATCCCCGCCCCAACGCTCTCCTCTAATCCACGCGGTAACACCTTAACCCGGCTATCGCCAATATTGCAAGAAGAATTGACTCGGTCAACATTACGACATTCGTGGAGACGAAATCCTCAAGCAGCAGCTGAGATAGCAAGTGAAATGTTCGAAAACCATTGTGGGCAATGAATGCGAGGAAACGAAATGATTGGAAAAAGTCGTACGATCCGCACAGCAGATGTGATGACGGGTCATGTAAAAATAAAGAAAAGATTGATCTTTTTTCTTCATTGTTGAACTTATGTAAGTTCGGTTAAAAGAAATTTTGTTCTGTTGATGTTTCGGCGTATTCGCCTTCTTGAGAACCGGGTGTCAGATTTTGAAATACTGTTACATTTTCTCCTAGGTGATAATGATGCCAAATGCTGCAAGATGGATTGTCCGGAGGAAAACAAACGATCAACAGTTGGTCACCTCTAAAAACCGTAATGTATAAAACAACACTGCAGAGTCTGATTACTTCATTCACGCGGTGCTCCACTAGGTCCGGCTCGATGCGTTCATGAGGATCATGAGGACCCACATCGGAAAAAGAACAGCTGTAGACAATCGACATGGATCCATTGGGCTCTCAAAGATTCTCAATTTAAGGAATTCTCAGTAGTGGCTCAATTACTAACCATTTGGTTATATTTCATTTCTAAAGCTGTCGATGATTGAGTATTTGAACCGAATCGTGGTTTTTTCTCCTGAAGCACTGCTACCTATTTAGACAACCAGGTGTTTCCTTCTTCCCTTTTTGTTGCTGCCGTATTATAATGCGGTAGGTACTTTCAATATTCAGCATTATTCAAAGATTTGATGTTGCCTTACTTTTTTCTTTCTCTTTTATAGGACCGATATTCACATCTACTCTGCGGATCCAAACACTTTTCACATCCGATTCGTTTCCTCGAATCCGTCATCCACCAAGGTCTTCTAACTTTTACATGCGTCTTCGGCTGCTGCTTGAAGATTTCCATTTAATCTTGGATGTCGTAGAATGCTTGATTCTCATTGGAGTCCTTAGATAGCCTGGCTAGGACGTTATCATTTAGATGGCAAAAGTGTTTTCCCAGACAGGTCTGGTACCAATTTACCGACCCCGGAGTGATGAGAGGCCTTGGTGAGCTCGGAACGGGATCGAACCAGCACCGTGCTCGTGATGACCGGCATCACTACATCTGTACTGTCCGTCCTTACAGCAAATTGCTTAGTTTACTTGATTCTTGAACGGCCCATCCTCACTGGTTGTGCGGACCCCGGCTTAATCTCCATTTTTCGGAGATTTGCTCGTTAAACAATTGTGGTTCTCTGGAATTCCGAGGTCAGCCTGGCCAAAGTCTGCCCCCGGTCTTCACCACCACAGGTAGTCGCAGCCCTTGTGGATCAGTGGGAGATTTGCCACCACGCGACCAGTTTAGTACCAGGACGGTGGAAGATCTTGGTATTGGTTTACTCTTAGCTGAGCTTCCCGGTGGAAACGCCGGATTTCTTCTAAGCCTGGGAGATCCTGCCTGGGTGATGATTCCCCCTGTACATCGCAGCCCGACACCCAGGAACACCTTCCAGCCACGATGAGGCGGTAAACCGTTGGAAGGTACAGCAAATTAGTAGATAATAACCACTAAGATCCAGTCATCTTTTACACTTCCTTTAAAGTTCGTAGCTTAGCACGAGCGCGGGTATGACACTCGTCACTTTCAAAGCCGTCGTATGATATCGCTTCTGGTCGATCTTGCTGATCACGAAGAGATAAGGCTCATAAGTTCTGCAATATTACCTTCTATGTACACTGATCTTTCATTTTTTAAAGGCTGTCCTCGAAAGATTTTGCTATACATATTAGAAAGAAGGAAAATATTTATCGTAGTCCACTTCACAAGAAGTGAAGTCCAGCATTTTGCCAGCAATAATCATTGGTGCTTCATTTGTTTGTTTTTTATGAAAAACGAATATCGGCCTAATACAAGAAGTACAATGACCGTTAGCTGAGAAGAAACAAAATGGCTAGCCAAAAAGTGGAATGCTGAAACTACACGAATTAGTTCAACTTGTCAAAAACAAGGACAAGTAAAGTTTTAAAACCATTTATGCTTGTTGTTTCCATGAAGAACTTTCTTCTGCAGACAGATTTTTGCGGTTCTCCTGTAATCAACTGCGATCATTGGTTGTTCTGGGGTGAACGACAGGTAAATCTTGACGATGCAGGCCACCAAGTTACCATCAGAGTTATTGAACAAACAGGTAATGTTTTAACTCTGCTTATTCACCATAGTTTGAAACCTCCTGGCAAAGTATCCGTCTAGTCAGCGTAGTAGAGAAGAATATCACAGCTTTGTAACCTAGTTGTTTCAAAATAGAAGCAGCCGTAGGTATATTCTCAAGACGGCCACACTCCATGATTTCATGTGGTTGCTAAGGTACTTTGTCAAAGTAGTTGGTTTGTTTGTAGCCCATTTATATTGTTTCTTCAAGACCCCATACAATTCCCCGATTTTGGGTAGCAATAGATTCGTGCTAAATTTTTGGCTACATTTTGTAATTAAGCTACAGCTTGATATGTATTCGAAATGAATTTGCTTAGAGTTCCTCGACGATGAAACGTACGAGCCTATAGCCGGAACCTCATCATCGGAAGCATATATGAAACGATGTTGCCAGATACGGTTAGAGAGCCGTGACAAACTTATGTATATTCAGAAAGTGAGTCATATGTAGTTAGTTCTACGGTACGTCACTGATATATGCTACTTAAGACCAGTATATATGTAAAATTTCGAGGTAATTGTAGGAGTCGTCCAAATCTTTCACCGCCTCATCGTGGCTGGGAGGTGTTCCTGGGTGTCGGACTGCAATGTACATTGGGTGCATTCACCTCCAGCAGGGCCCTCCAACCTGAGATGGAGTCCGGCGTTTCCATCACTGACCCCAACTAATAATAAACAAATACCAGGATCCACCACCGTTCTGTTATTAAACTGATCGCATAATGGCAAATCTCCCTTTGATCCACAACAACGTCGACTACCTGTGGTGGTGACGAGCAGAGGCAGAGTTTTTGGTTAGGCTGACGTCGGAGCTCCAGGTAACCATATTACCTAAACCAGCAAAACTCCGGAGAAATGGAGATTGTGTTGGGGCCCGCACAACCACTGAATACGATCCATCCAATTATCCAAGTAGTTGTAGGAACTACCTGTAATATTTGCAGAAGTAAAGTAAAAAACAATTTATAATTTTGTTGTGAGTTCATGCGCTGAAAATGAGTGCTGTTCGCCTCTAGTTTTTAGCGCTACGAATCGTTGTTGGCAAAAACTCAATCTAAAATAGTAGTCTTATTTAAGCACCATTTTGCGAATTTGTGTATTACAGCTATATGTGTTGTTGCAGTTCGTATTGGTCTGCCCATTATTATTCTGTTCCAGAATGTTTCTTTTACTATATTTTAAGGAGCAACTCGGTCTTGAAGCTGAATTTAAGCAACAGGTACTACCCGATGGGAAATGCACAGTAGATGCGTTTATTTTTGTGTTCGATTCTAGCAGAACCGAGGGGAGGAGTTTCGAAAGGTTGCTAGCCATTGCTGACTTATCTGAATGCATAAAAATTTGTGACTTTTTCACCACTCATAAGCTGATTTGGTAGAATTGTTGTTAAGTGAAATGTCAAAGATAGCTTCAAAACGATATGAAATCAATTGTGGACCACATGTTGTATCTTTTGTGATGATGACCTTATTGTACTGTATTACAGCCAATGTTCAACGTCGTTATGTATTTTGTCGAACGTGATCAGAACGAAGAAACCGGTGGTGGTGGCGTTTAGTCAAGCAGACAGTGCTGATGAAGAAGCGCGGAAAGCCTTGCAATCACTTCTTAGTCAAAGAGACATCAAAAACACCCATATCAGTGTGGTAGGGCATGTCCATTTGTGCTTGATAGCTGTGAATATTGATCCATCAATGAGGATAGGTCACCAGAATTTGGTATAATAATCGTGCTTAGTGCTTAATAAACAATCCGAATATATATTATTCAGCCAAAAGAATCATACTTATGTCATAAAATTTGATCCAAGTTTCCACCATAGTCCCTTCGACTTGGGTGTTTTGCAAGTTTTCTTTTCTTTTTGGAAAACAGCCCTTGACAAAACAGATTAAAAACCCTGTCTCTCATAATTGTCACTGTTTTCTCGTTCACCACTCTTTTTTGTTCAAATTCAGAATCATCAGTGTTTATGATGCAAACTGGGAAAGTTCTATTTCAGGTTGAAGTATCCGCTTTAATGAATGTCAATGTGGATGAGCTGTTCGTGACGACGGCCTGTCTGGTGTTGCGAAACAAGCTAAAGCTGAAGGTTTTGTCATTTTCAGAGGCGAATAAGATTGTCACCGAGAGAAATAGACAAGTGAAGTGGGTATGAGGTACAACATTTCCATTTTATTTTAATTCCTTACGAAAACCGAGCCGTTTATATATTTTCGTTCGTTTTTCGCGGAAATTGGTTAGAATCTTAATTTAAAGATCTGCGCTAAATTGAGTAGAGTTATCAAAACGGACCCGTACCTCGCTCGATCAGCGAAGTGGCTGAACAAGTGGAATTTTGTTAAATAGTAGACAGATCAGTTTGATGTCTAGAACACGTCACTCATGTTGGTGGTCGCACGGCTTTGTTCGAAAACTTTTAAATTTCATCAATATCCTTACTCTTCAGGCTTTAAATAATTTAAAGTAATGTTTCCTAGAAACTTCTTGTTTCGTTAAAGCGGTAGAGCCAGGTTCCTTCCATGGGTGCCTCAAACCGTTGTGAAACCGTTGACGCATTTGCGACAGTACTTATTCTTTATAATTGCTGGCAATTTCTTGACGCCTTGAAGATTTATCAGTCGTATGGAATATCTTTTACAAAATTTTATTCATATTTTCGATTGTTTCTTGTCTGCGTGAGAGCACTAACATTGAATGAATTGAATGAATTCGAGACATCGATGCGTTTCTATCAAATCCAACTCGTTCAATTGGTTCTGTTTTCGAGACAGGAGAGTCAACAAAAAGGAGCGGAAGAAATCGGTTCGTAGAATCCAGAAGCGTAGAACTGCGTTTTCATGGGATAACAACGCTTATATTTTATTATCGAGGATGTGTAGATGGTTGTTATAGTATTTTATTTAACAAAGTTTACAGTAAGCTGCTGTATTTTTTTAAAATTTTATATAACCTGTTTTCACGTCTGCTGTGCGAGTCTCATCATTCTAACATCCAATTCGTTTCCTCGCATACATTGTCCACGAAGGTCTTCCAACTTTTACGTGTAGTTTCGGATTTTGCTTGAGAATTTTCATTTCATCTTGAATGTCGTAGAATGCTGGTCGAGCAGTCCTCCCTGGAGTCTTGGGTTAGCCGGGCTGGAGCATGGCCAATTTGATTGCAAACAGTGATTTTTCTCCAGACAAGTCCGGTGCCAATTTCCCGACCTCAGAGGGATGAGATGCTTGGTTGACCTAGTGCGGAGTCGAGCTAGCACCACGTTCGTGACGACAGACATCACTACCATTGTGCTGTTCGCCCCTTTAGCTCTTTAAATTTCTTCTTCGTAAATTTCTCTTAAATTCCTGAAGGGTTTAAAAGCTGCTTTATATTTGTTTAAAGTTGAAAGACTCGACTTTTCCGCCCATATGTTCACTGAAATTGGTGTGTATCGTTCCAAGTATGTTAACAATAACGCCACGACATCTAACTTTGCGTGGCTGCCGCATGGGACGACGCGTAAATTGGTGTTATTATGGACTTGCTGGTTCTTCAACAATAGACGATAATTTTTCGATAACTAGGGGACTTATCGGGTTGAGAACCTGACAGAATTATAGAGGAGAGCTTACGCTTTCGCGTTGAGGGAATGCATGCTGTTTATGCTGATATTTTGCACATTTTACTATGATCCATCATACGAACACGTAGCTATCACCATTTGAAGTGTTTTGCAGCTTGTGTTGACTCTATTTATATATTTTTTATTTTCACTGATTACATGCGGCAACCATAATTTACCTTCAGGAGTGGAGCTGAAAAGCCTGCTACCAGTCAAATTACCGGCCAATGAACTCGTTTGTAAATAAAGTTTCTTGATACATTTTTAAGTGCTGAACAAACTTTTGCTGGCTATAGCCGTTTGGAGTTTTCAGTGTCGATAACCGAGAGTTTTAGGTGAAAATAGGAGTGTGAAGCTCAGTGGTTAAAAGGCGCCATTTGATATACAGGTGGTCTTTGGTTTGATCTTGTGCCCTACGTTTATCATGCGTTCCATTCGTCCGGGTTCGAAAAATTGTTACCAGACCTGTCTGAGAAAATAACCGCATTGACTTGATACATCGGTAGGCCACCACAAGTCAATGCTAGGACCAGGTGTGCCTTATGTTTGAATAGCTATGACTCATAACCTGTAACTGCCTACGGCCGTAGTTTAAAGCACAGCAGGTGCCTTACGATGGAGATAGCAGTAGTACAGTTGTTTGTCAAGTCGCTTAGGAGCATAATGAAATTTTGCTCTTAACGTGAATTTTTAATACAAGTTGCAAGAATTGGGATATGGTTTCTTAAAAAGTGGTTGTTCTGTGTAGTTTTGTTATACTCATTTTGAATAGCTAGTTAGGAGCTATACTGTTATTCGTTATAGGATCGCCTTCACTCGCCTGCTAAAAACATTGCTACCCTTCGAAAGTTGGCCATCAGAACGTTTATCGTGGACGAGGTAATATTTGGAGTTATTTCGCGGTCTTCACAACCTTTGCAGCGCTATTCAGGCTAGTTACCGAGCGATGCTTAGACAGCCAACCAGACTACTGCAACTTTATGCGAGTCTATGGTAAAGCCGCAGCGAAGAAAGTCTACGAAATCCACGTAAATGAGGCGAGGGAACATTGGATGGCAACACGGTTTTTATCTATTCTTCGGTCTTTAATGACGCTTTCCGCTGTGTTCAGTACCGCTTTTCAGAATTCACGCGCTTGTACCAAATCTGCCACGAGTTTTCGCTGCACTGTTAGAGAAATCTGACGTGACTCAGTTGAGTTGGTCGACTGCTAATCAAATGATCCATTCGCACCCTTTGTTTGACGAGTTCTTTCAGCCGATTGGCCAACTTGGTAATATTACTCATCGGATTTAAGCTTTAAAATTCACGTTCTTCTTTCTTTAGAGCAAGAACAATAGACCTTGTACGTTTGTAGAAGACAAATTAATGAGGCAGCCGAGTTGGCTGTACAGTGTTTTTTCTTATTTTTATGGAACGGTAGTATTTAACAAGCATTGGTTTTTGGGAGATCCAGTAATCGGACTGCTCACTAGGTTTTCTCATGCATCATGCATGATCTCATATGGTCCATTGTTTTCGAAAGAAATTTTTTGAGCAATATTTGAGTTGTAACAACAATATTCACTTAATCAATATTTGTTTGAATTGTTGACCTTACATGATATTGCTAATGCAGTCTTATTCGGCTAAACGTCTTCGTTTTCACCAGAGTCGATGATCCGAGTCGATGATCTACAGCTCTTCATTATCTCGATGTGCTGTCTTCGTCGTCGTACAGAGACGAGTCTTGTTCAGTGGAACGCCAGACGAATGAGACGTGCTCACCCGGCAGTGCCCTTCTCGTTTCTGTTATAAAGGGGGCAAATAGGATAGTGTTAGTGATGGTTATCACAAGCATGGTGCTAGTTCGATTCTGCCCCAGGCCCACCAAACCTCTCATCCCTTCGGGGTCGGGAAATTGGTGCCGGACTTGTCCAGGAAGAAAACCACTCTCTGCGATCCAATTAGGAACGCGCCAACCCGGCTATCTCTGGGATCCGAGGGGAATCAAGTCGACCAGCATTCTGCGACATTCATGTTGAAAGGAAAGTCCTCAAGCAGCAGCCGAAGCCACACGTAGAAGTTGGAAGGTTTTCATGGATAATGAATGCGAGGAAACGAATCGAATGTGAGAAGTGCTGGGATCCGGGCCGTAGACGTCAAGACGGCTCATATAAAATAAAAAAAAATTAAAGTTATGTAACAATCTCGTGTAAGTTCAACAATTTAAACACATGTTGATTAATTCGTTATCGAGGTTAAATGACGGTCGGTTTGCAAAATGTCGACTTTGTCTTGTTTTCTTACAAATTTCGATATAATTGTATTTCAATGTTTATCATAGAGATAAGCAGTGGTTTTAGGGAAGCAACTTGATTCTCTGCCATCTGATCATAGGAAGCGTATGTCACAGTCAGCTATCGCGGATAATCGTATTCCGGCTGAAATTTTGCTCCGATTCGAAGCCCGGCAGGCTTTCGAAATGTACAAGGTGAATTTTTCGCTCATTTTAGTAATGAAGGGCACGATTTGCTGTTTCTGTGAATTATGGCTAATGCGAACGTTACTTGTGCTGTAGTGCAGGGAAATGTCCTTCACTGACCTCCGCACATTCTTTATATTCGGAAATTGTTGTCTATTGGACATTTAAATAGCTGTTAGGTTGTTCAGAAATAGGTGAACGTTTTTAACTATATTCTTTCAAATATCGTAACTTGCCTCAAGCGAAACTTTATTGGTCAAAATAAAAACCATTTGAATCTACATATTTTTGCCAACGAGAAACAAGTTTTTTATTCCAGTTGTATAAAATTCTGGAGTTTCTGAAGCGATGAAATTGTCGAAGGCATTTTTTACGTCATCGTGGTTGGTGAAGCATTTCACATGCAGGAAATTGTCAAGGTGCTTGAAGTGTTGAAAATCGGTAGTCTAAAGGTCTGATAAGTATCGCGGCTGAGGCAGAGTTTCGTAGCCTAACTCGTTCAACTTCTGCAGCGCCGGTTCCTCAACGTGAGGCCGGGCATTGTGTAGAAGAATTGATCTTTTTCTGTTGACTAATGCCGGTTATTGTTGTTGGAGTTTATGGTGCATTTCGTCGATTTGTTGGCAATACCCAGGCATCTCCCTCATATAAGGATCCCGATAGCCAGTTATACGCGAAGTTACGTGGCGCGTCCCCAGGTAGCGGATGAGCGGGTAACCGCGGGCCAAAAACGACCTTTGCTTCCCTGAAACGCAGACGGATCCAGAAGATGGACTCCTTCTTTCTGCTTCGCCGATTTGGTATAGACTTTCTGTATTGCGAAGCGTATTCATGCATTCGTGTGTAGGTGCGTTCTAGTTTACGCAGATTCTACGAGTCAATTGGGCCAAAAGCCTGCAATCAAGTGACTGGGAAGTATATGGGAGGCGGTTAGGAGTGGACTCCAACAAATAAGCTCTATGTCACTCTGGGCGAGCCTGGCAAGCGATCCCTGAGTATACACAGCGCCCACGTTTAGGGCCCAGAAAGCTATAACGTGGGTATCAAAAATGCTAAACAGTAAGAAAAACGGGCTCTATTCCCCTAACCTCGAAAGACCTCCCAATTTCGTAGCATTGGGTAGGACGAGTACAGAGAGGCTGCTAAAATCTCATGGTCAATGGAAGCTGCCTGGATTACAGAGAACTATGGTGACGATCTGTACCTACAATGCACGTACACTTGCATCCGAGTCTTCGATAGAGGACTTAATCGTGGAAGCAAGAAGGGTAAGGTACGACGGCATCGGCCTGACCGAGACGAAAAGACTCCAGCCTTTCAACGCCGTCTATAACACAGGAGAAGAACTGTTTCTCGGAACATGCGATAATAGAGGAGTCGGCGGCGTCGGCGTTCAACACGAGTTTGTATACGAGCATCGATTTATTCAAACAACTTACAACCCGAATCGGATGTTCACGATTAAAAAAAACGTGAATCAATTCCGGCTTTGACAATCTTCGTCGTTTACGCGCCGACATCAAACTATGACGAAAACGAAGTCGAAACGTTCTATATGGACTTGGGGAAGTTCTGCAGAGAAAGCCATACATTCTTCAAGATCATCATTGGAGATTTAAACGCCAAGACTAGACCAAGAAGAACGCCTAAAGAACGTCACATTGGGAGCCACGGTTTAGAATGGAACGTGAGCGGCTTTCTAAGTTTATCATGACGACCAAGACCATCCACGGTAACTCGCAATTCCAGAAACCGCACCATCAACACTGGACGTGGGAGTCTCCCAATGGAGAGTACCATAACAAGACCACATCGTAGTCAATAGAAGGTTTTGCCTAACCGATGTAGCTGTTGTCCCAAAATTTTACGCAAGATCAGGCCATCGTCTCCATCGTGCAAGATTCCACTTCTCGCGGAAAGGAGAAAAAGCCGCTAAATTCCGAAACCGAAGTCCCAGAACCACCGTAAACTGGGATTTATTCATGTCATTAGTCGGCTGTTGAGAAGATGCCGTTGTCGATAACATCGACAAAGAATGCGATCGGCTGTTTCAACATCCTCACGTTAGAGCTATGAAAGCTCAGAGTTTGAAAGTCACGAAGAGACGTCTGTCTCCAGAAAGACTCGAGCTTATGCACCAGCGAGGAATTGTACGAGCTGCAGGCAACCGCGAAGTGACGTCCAAACTTGCGGAACAATGCAGACAGGCGATAAAAGAAGATCTTAGAGAGAGAAGAGCAGCAGTAATGGCCGAAGCTGCAGAGGCTGGGAAAAGCATTCGCAAAGCCCACCGAAGCTTCCGGAATTACACGACCAAGATGATTGCACTCCGGCGCCCAGACAGAACAGTGACAGCGTCCAAAAAGGCAATGGAGAAAATCATTCACGAATACTACTCAGATCTCTTCGGTAGCCACGTCCACCTTCCGTCATTTGAAATAAAGGAGGATGCTTATGTCGCACCACCAGTTCTTCCTTCCGAAATCCGACATTCCATTTCGTCAGTGAAAAATCGAACAGCACCAGGTACGGGCAGGATAAGATCAGAACACCTGAAGAACCTTCCACCAGTTCTCGTAAACACACTAGCTCTGCTCTTCACACGTTACCTGTCTGAATGCAAGATCCCTACTCAGTGGAAGACCAGCAAGACCGTGTGATTGTTCAAGAAGGGTGAGCTATGCGATATAGGCAGCTATCGCCCAATCTACTTGCTGTCTCTCGTGTACGAACTTTTCACTGGAGTCATCCTAAACAGGATTAACAGAACGCTGGATGAAGGACAGCCATGTGAGCATCCATTCAATAACAAGACTCATTGAAGTACCGCGAGAGTACATTTAACTCAATTGAGATGGAAGCATTCATGGACAAAATTTCACCATTCTACAACGATATTAACATTGCCGCCAAAAGATGGCTTAGGCGGGGTGATACAATATCACCAAAATTATTTACCGTCACCCTCCAGAACATCATGAGAAAATTAGAGTGAGATAATATGGGAGTGAAAATCAATGGTAGGCAGTTCCACCGATCTTCGCTTTTCTGACGACTTCGTCCTTATAACACCAAACATTACCCAAGACAACGTATGCCTGCTAACTTTGATAAAGCCTGTGGAAAGACTGGTCTTCGACTATATCTCACAAACACGATGTTCATGAAGAACAGACTGATTTCGTAAGCCACATTCACACTCAACGGTCCGAACATCTGCGAATGTTCCAGTTATGTCTATCTTGGTTGGGAAATCAACATGCTGAACGACTTAGTTCCAGGGTTGAACAGAAGGAAACGAGAGGCTTGGGATGCTTTCAAGAGCATCGAGGATGTAGTGGAGAAAACAAAGAACACCCGACTCCTTGCCCACCTTTTCGACTCAGCGTTATTACGCGCAGTCGAAAGGGCCATGCTAGGAGTATCCCGTTCCACACAAGTAAGGGATGGGATCCGAAGCCTCGACCTGAGTTAGCGGTCAAAAATCAAAAATTCCGTTTTGTGCGCCAAACAATCAAGTATAACTTGGGCCGGACACGTATATGCGTATAAATAACAATCAATGGACAAGAGGCTTTAGTGACTGGATTCCTCGTGATGTTAAGCGCACTACAGGAAGATCACCGACTCGATGGTTCTTCACAAATAGCCTAGAAGAAAGATATGATGCTCGAATGCTCGACGAGTCCCGAGAGAGAACAGAACGCAGTGGGCAACTCTTGCCGGCGACAGAATGATGGAAGATTTTCTGGCGCCCTCTGGGTCACTCGCCGATCAGCGGACTGCAGGTGATACAGGTGATATAATATCGCAAGATACAAAAAATATTTTATTAGTAAAACATACATTAAAACAACAAATATTTTAAAACGTTCATTTATTTCTGCACTTAATATTTCAGACAGACTTTTTTTCGTATTTTGCACGGGCGGTCCTTAATTTTTGAAACGGAGTTGTTAACTTCTAGCACGCATTGAAAATGGAAGAACGAAAGGAAAGACTGGAGGAAGAGTTTGAGTTTCTGTTATCCGACACTCCTCAAGTAACACCCGGGAAGCCTCTTCAGGATGTTAGCATATTTTTACAGGTAGGTGAACGGAAATCTTAAATTCGAAATATTGTACACTAATATAAGGATAAAAGGGTGTTCGTTCCCCACCTCAGGCGGTAGCGATTTGATGTTTTCCAAATGTCTCAGTATCATTATGGTTATATTTCACGTAATACTCTGCCATTGAAGAGAAAAAGGCAGTAAATAAAAAACAACTACGTCAAAAGATCGTGTTTTTAATTACGACAATCCTGCTTTCTTTTTGCACACATTCATGGCAACGCTTAAATTTCGGCATAGGACGAGGCATTATTTTTCACCTTACAAAAGATCTAGGAGCTGGTCACTCTACGTTTTTATGCTGCAATTCTGTTTTTTATCATTATTCTTTAATCCCATGTGTTTTTTTATTTTCTAATGTTATCTGTGGTTTTCTTTGCGTTTTCCCATATTTTGTGGTAAAGTATATTTCGCTATTTTCTCATATCTTGTACATCTCATATTCCACATGTGGCTAACCAAAGCGATTGAAAGAGTAAAAACGAGCAGAACTGGTTGTGAAGGGAACCGACCGGTCCAGTGTTTGAAGAATCAGAAGTGAAAGCCGACAATTGTTGAGGAGACGAAAGGATTAAGAAATTGTTTATACATTGATAGTTCATGTCGGTGAAGACTCCATTAAAATTTGAGGTGTCTGTTAAGCGGGTTTTGATGAAGTCCATAAATCTGTTTCATGAAGACATCCGTACACCAGTAATTGATGTATGGGTGTCTCACATTTGATCGACACGAGCAGAAGGACCAGAAAAGAAGACTAGGAAAGGGTCTTCCTTCACTGAGCTCAAAAGAAGGTACTTGGAGATCCATACAAAGAAGCGGTCAAATGGTGGTCAGATGGAATTATGATGTGGTTCATAAAGCAATATGCGTCCATTTCTGTAAGTTTTTAAAATTGCAAGTTGTTGCAAGCTGCAGTCACGCAAAAGTTTTCCTGTACAGAAGGCGTCCGTTAGCTTGCTATTATCCATAGTCCGCAGAACTTGTGAATGGTACACATATTTTCGCATCTGCATAGCTCGGGTGCATAACGTGTTTTCTTATCTGTTGTCGAGGTACATAGTGTTCCGATGATGAGGTTCCGGCTATAGGCTCGTACGTTTCATTGTCGAGGAACTCTAAGCAAATTCATTTCGAATACATATCAAGCTGTAGCTTAATTACAAAATGTAGCCAAAAATTTAGCACGAATCTATTGCTACCCAAAATCGGCGAATTGTATGGGTGTTGAAGAAACAATATAAATGGGCTACAAACAAACCAACTACTTTGACAAAGTACCTTAGCAACCACATGAAATCATGGAGTGTGGCCGTCTTGAGAATATACCTACGGCTGCTTTTATTTTGAAACAACTTGGTTACAAAGCTGTGATATTCTTCTCTACTACGCTGATTAGATGGATACTTTGCCAGAAGCTTTCAAACTTGGTGAATAAGCAGAGTTAAAACATTACCTGTTTGTTCAATAACTCTGATGGTAACTTGGTGGCCTGCATCGTCAAGATTTACCTGTCGTTCACCCCAGAACAACCAATGATCGCAGTTGATTACAGGAGAACCGCAAAAATCTGTCTGCAGAAGAAAGTTCTTCATGGAAACAACAAGCATAAATGGTTTTGAAACTTTACTTGTCCTTCTGTTTTTGACAAGTTGAACTAATTCGTGTAGTTTAAGCATTCCACTTTTCGGCTAGCCATTTTGTTTCTTCTCAGCTAACAGTCATTGTACTTCTTGTATTAGGCCGATATTCGTTTTTCATAAAAAACAAACAAATGAAGCACCAATGATTATTGCTGGCAAAATGCTGGACTTCACTTCTTGTGAAGTGGACTACGATAAATATTTTCCTTCTTTCTAATATGTATAGCAAAATCTTTCGAGGACAGCTTTTAAAAAATGAAAGATCCGTGTACATAGAAGGTAATATTGCAGAAGTTATGAGCCTTATCTCTTCGTGATCAGCAAGATCGACCAGAAGCGATATCATACGACGGCTTTGAAAGTGACGAGTGTCATACCCGCGCTCGTACTAAGCTACGAACTTTAAAGGAAGTGTAAAAGATGACTGGATCTTAGTGGTTACTTTTATTATCTACTAATTTGCTGTACCTTCCAACGGCTTACCGCCTCATCGTGGCTGGAAAGTGTTCCTGAGTGTCTGGTTGCGATGTACAGTGGGATTCATCCCTCAGGCAGGATCTTCCAGGCTTAGAAGAAGTCCGACGTTTTCAGCGGAAAGCACAGCTAAGAGTAAGCCAATACAAAGATCTTCCACTGGCCTGGTACCAAACTGGTCGCATGGTGGCAAATCTCCCACTGATTCACAACATTGCGACTGGTGGTGAGGACCTGGAGCAGACTTTGGCCATGCTGACCTCGGAATTCCAGAGAACCACAATTGTTTAACGAGAAAATCTCTGAAAAATGGAGATTAAGCCGGGGTCCGCACAACCAGTGAGGATGGGCCGTTCAAGAATCAAGTAAACTAAGTAATTTGCTGTAAGGGCGAACAGTGCAGATGTAGTGATGCCGGTCATCACGAGCACGATGCTAGTTCGATCCCGTCCCGAGCTCACCAAAGCCTCTCATCCCTCCAGGATCGGTAAATTGGTACCGGACCTGTCCGGGAGAAAACCAATCTTTGCAATCCGATTGAGAACGCCCTAGCCCGGCTATATAAAGAGAAAGAAATAAGAAAAGTATAGAGTCTTCCGAAATGCCTTAGACGTTTCCATTTTTTTCGGAGTTAGCACATTGTGAACTAACGTAATTACACGAAAATTTTCCAAAAGCATGGCAATCTGAGTAGTTCAATATAATTACTGTGTAAGTGCAAGTGTATGAATTAGTAAAACGATTGAAACGTGATAGATGTGCAAGTGTTAATAATAGGGAACACTTAATGTTTTATGAAAACGCTCACCTTGCATCACTGGTAGGAAAGCCATGGATTTATTGCAAAACGTGTGGTTAAAGGAACTTTATCTGTCGAGAGAAACAATTGTAAAGCTAATGTGCATTCAGCACTTGTTTACTTACAAGTGGAACACATGCAGCACAACGGTAGCTGACGTTTCGGCGTTATCGCCTTCTTCAGAGCCTGGAAGGGTACACTGGTACTCCAACGCCGAGGTTAATAGAAAGTTGATGTTGAGAACTGTCAATGCGTATTGTGGCAAATTTGTTAACATGTTAATTGTCTGTGACTCCAGGAAAAAACATTGCACTCATTGTATAACTTTTTATTTACTGGCTATTACTTTTCCATGGCAGAGTATTATCGGAAATGCAGCCACAGTGATGCTAAGGTATTTGCTAATCACGAACCCCAAGCCAGATTCGAATACGCGACTACCTTTTTCGGGGATTCAATTGTTACCCACTGCATCGCCGAAGTCCTTGCTTTGCTTTGGTCCGAGTTTTGCAAATATCTCAGCAACAATATAGTAGTTTTCCTTTCAGCTGGATAATAAGGTTTTTATAAAGATGTTAAGGAAGTGAAATTCACAGTTACAAAAATTGATTGTAAATTTCCTTGAATCGTGGACTTCAGCATCATTCATTTTTGAGTTTTTAGGGCTTCTCTGCGTACGATTCTTTACCACCAGGTCATGCGGCGATGGTGTATAACCGTTTCCAGGTTTGTTTGAAATAACCATAAACTGGAAGTGGTAAAATAAAATTTTGTAGAGGTTTTTTTTGCAAATGTTTTTTCATAGGATCAGTGTAAACGGGTTACATGAGGTAATGGTGAAAAAGAACCAACTCGATAAAGTCTGATGGAGACTAGACTTTAGAGTACTTTGTTCTAGATTTCACTCATTTCAGCATCACCTGGTAAAACGAGCTGAGAGTGAGTTCCATGAATGTATACTGGAGAATATAGAGCTTTTCGTCAATATTGTTCGAAAAAATCGCGAACAGTTCGTCAGCGACGACTTTACTATATGTGAAGGGGTGATGGAAAGAATCAAGGACGTGCTACAGGATGACTTCAGGTGGTGTCACTTCTAGAGTAATTTGGTGCATTAAGTTTATAATTGGATTGGAATCACCTGCATGCATTCATCTTTGGTTATTAGTGGAGTCGTATTTCGCACCTAATGTCATCGAAAGTTTGCATATTTTAAGTTCTCTTGGCCCCTCATAGATTTTCTCCAAAATTTACGTACACCTTTGATAGTTAATGACGTTAAAAATGTTTGATTTCACACGTGAGACATATGTGAGGTTTCTGATTGACTTACCGACCCGTATGTAGAACGTTCATAATTCTTTAGGGTTTTAAATCCCACACCCGCAGTGAAAATCCTAAACCGGTTTTTGATGAGCTGACATTATGTTGTTAACACGTATTTTAATTTTAATCAGCCAACTTTAAGGCGACTTCACCTTCGTCAGGCTCTAGACATATTATTACAGTCTTATTCTCCGAGTGTCCTACAGTCTCAATTAAAGTCAACTCATAAGTTTTAATCTGTTAAAAATGCTTTTTCGGTTTTTGGTAATTTATCCAAAATCCCTCAGTACTTTTGTGCTTTATCTGATGTTTTCAATCCTAATCCTGCGGTCGATGTTGTGATTCCATATCCATATGATTCCTACTGTTGATTTTTTGTGTCCTGTTCCACCTAAAACTAATTTGTCGTGTTTTGTGTTTTCCTGTGAAGTAGTCTTTCATATGGGTACAATGTGTTATTATCCATCTGTCCAACATATTTATCATAGCGTGTCTTACAGGAGAACGGGGATATTTTACTTAAACTCATGCAGTCCTTGTCTCTGGCAGCAATTTTTGTTGTACGTGCACCGCCACACAGGTGGTATGGAACTGTGTGATGTAGTTTAGTAATTGCTGCACAACTATCTGCACCAAAGCTTTTAAGGCATCTCTTAACAGCGACAATTATTTTGTTCGAAATGGAAAGTAGTTTAAGGGAATGTATTTTTAGTTGGACGTATTGTTTTCGGACTTGTATCAACTTGGACTTAACTAAAATATCTGTAATTTCGTAGATAATGAAAATAGGTATTTATCGTTTGAAAGCAAACGAATTCCTTCTCTGCTGTGTTCGTATAAACATCTTGTGGTTTCTCAGTGCATGTTTCTAACAAGTGCTTTTTTCGGCTGTCGAGGATGAGAATAGAGTTGGTAGACCAACATACTTTATTTATTGGTTTTCGATAGCACTCTGTGGCGTATTCAATTTCGGAAAGGCTACTGAACGTTGAACGTATTAGAAGCCAGTTCTCCGTAGATTCCTCTCGCATACGTTTTATGCACTCTTCATTTGTAATTTAAAAAATCCCTCTCCTCTTGTGTAGTGCAGATGAAAAAATAACCTGTTCACCAGTAATTCAAGAAATTCTTCTATTTTGGGTGGACAAGACGACAGACAGACATGAATCACGTGTATGAACACTAATGGTCGAAAATCGAGAACTGGAATTTTCACTTTCACATTCGTGAACATGCAATGCATGTATGAATATATGAAGAGGGAATGAACATATGGCCTATTGACTAGTCAATTGCGAATAGCCTCATTTTTTAAAAACGATGTAATCAAAAAGGTGCTGTGATATACTCTCAATCTCATGTGGGCTTCGTACCCATTATTACCCTCACCGGGTTCTCACGTGCTATCCACCACACCAACCGAGGTCCATGCTTTGAATTTCTCTTAGCTAGTTTTTTTCACTCCAACTTTTACTTTACTGCTATCAGCTATCACCTGTTCACGGGAATGGTGTATAGAACGCAGGATCCTGGTAAGGGTAATAGTGGGTTTGAAGTCTGCGTGAGGTTGCGAGTTTTGCTCATATCTCGGCATCGTTGTGCTTATATTTTACATAATACCCTTCTGTAAAAGAAGAGTGGTAAGTAAGTAAAAGTTAAGAGTAGTGAATTGAATTCTTATTATGACTACATTAGGTTGTTCGGAAATCAATGTCGAGTTTGTGCTCTCTTTCTTCTGCGTATTATACTAGTGGTTTTTTCTCCTAGTGTTTGTCATTACAAACCGCATTTTATGCGCTTTCGCTCCATATTATGAAATTGCAATATAATTTGTGCTTTTGACATTTTTTCATTTACGAGTTCAAACGCAATGCAAATGCTACGAAACATTGATATGTGGCCAGGGAAGTGTTAACGAATGTACCGTGCGATTCGGGTTTCAAATATCATGTTGCGACGAATTCGGCCTTGAAGATGAGGAAGGTCACGGACGTCCTTCTGCTATTGACGACGATGAATTGAAAGCTTTTGATGAAAGCACCAACATGCAAAATTGTTTGCGATTTTTCAGGACTCAGTGGAAGCAAATCATCTCTTTTGGTGCATCTGAAGAAAAGTGGAAAATAAAAAAAAACTCGACAAATATGCCACACGAGTTGAATGCCAGTCAAAGAAACCACCGTTTTGTGGCATCGTCGCCTAATACGACCCATTTCTGTACCATATTGTGATGTAGGGCAAGAAGTTGATCATCTAGGACAAACGGTAACGATCAGCTCAGTAGTTGGACTGCGGTGAAGTTCCTAAGCAGGACCCAAAGATGAAACTGCACCAAAGGAAGGTTTTGCTGATCGTTTGGTGCGCCACAGATGGTCTGATTTATCCTAGCTTCCTCAGTGAGGGTGAAACTATTATAGCGGAAAAATGCATGCAATAATTCAACGAATTGCGTGGATAACTTCAACGGCTGCTGCTCGATTGGCCAACAGAAGAGCACCAGTCCTCCACGATAACTCACTACCATTCGTCACGATACTGATGTTGCAAAGGCTACATAACCTGGCCTGTGAAACTCTGTGTCGTCTACCATACTCGCCGGGTCTCTCGCTTCTCGACTGCTACTTCTTAACTCATCTCGACAAAATTCTGTGCCGTGGAATCCCTCAGAAACCAATCTCGGGGCGAAACTTTATTGGATTGTTGATCTAAAGTGAAGTTGATAGAGATGTTTATTCGACTGCTTATTCGGTTTTTAATCTCAATTGACAAAATTTGTCATAAGCTACGCCATCCTGATAAGCCAATTTAAAGGTGCAGGTTGAAATTCGCCATTAATATCTGAATAATGTAGTTGCATATTCACCGAATAAACTGTTTCACAATGAGTCCAAGCTCTGATGGAAGCGAGTTCATTGAAATATTAGCCATGAGAATAAAAGGACGAAGTACATTAAACAAGCTCATGTCAGCTCACCAAGAACAGGTTTAGGACTGCTAATATGGGGATGAGATGTAGAAGGTGAAAAGTTATGTGATATTCTATAATATGCCCAATAATCTCACCAGGTGGTACTCTCGAGCACAACTGAGGTATTCCTCAGCAATCCAAAAAGAACTTAAGAAGAACAGCATTGATTTCAAAATGCTCCTTCCTGAAAACTATTGCTCGCTTTGGCTTTAAACAAACTCTTCTCAGCTCATAGTGAAATGTATTGATTTGAATGAGGACCACTAGAATTTACAGATCTTCGGCTAAAAAACACAAATCCACTTATTCTAGAACGACAAAATACTGTATTTTTGCAGACCATGAGACCTATTTTTATCGTTTTTTTGGCGAGACTAGTATTTCAACTAACGACGTGAGTAGCAGTCGGAATTTACTAGAGCAGTGGAGACCAATCGCACAGAACTCACATGTCAGCTCCTCTCCCATCAGAATAACAGGCTTATATAACAAATTAAGCTTCCAGTGTGCAAAGGCGCTGTGCTCAATATAATTGAAATTTTGGTTCAGCATTTTATACAGTGGCGTACCCTTTGATTGCGACTGCGGGATGCGCTAAAAATTTCGGAAATATAAATTGCTTTTTCAATTTGTTATCTCTGAATTTGAATAGGTTTAAGATCTGAAGATTTCTAAATTATTTCATTTGTGTTTATTTTGTGAAATCGTTTATACCTTTAACGAGAAGAGGTAAAGCCTCTTCTATGAGTTTCCGATCTACTGAATTCCTCAACTACTCTGATAATTAAAAATTACTGTCTGTTACTATCTTAAAACCACCATCGGATGCCATGTGTTTTTTGTACCCATAATTACGTTTTGTGCTTTGTGACCCACAATATTGTAATCTTTGACGTTATATGTCGTCGCATGATGTTGTTTTCTAGATTCCGCCAGTTATCACGGTTATTTGAGTTACGTGATACCCTCATTCGTCGTTTCATCACTCTTCTGGTCCAACATTCACTCAGTGACTGCCCAGCGTTTTCACAGTGTGCTGAACTTGCTATCCGTGATGCTATCACCTTATTCTTTCAGAAGTATGTCTAGTTATTCGTTGATTTGTTGGTTTTTTAAAAAAATATCTACCACACCTCGGTATCTTCAAATAAAAACCACTGGGACGACTAGTGATAACATATATCTTTTTTCTGCTGTGAAGGAATACTCGTTTTACCAGTTTTTGAACTTTAGAGTTACTTCTGACATAAATTCGTCTTGAATGCGACGTAGTTGTTGACCATATCAATGTTAAGGAAAAAGCTGCTCAATCTTGATGCCAGTCACCTTATTGAAATTTCTGTGCATGGCGAAATAGCGATTGTTGCCCAGTTTATCATGGATATGAAAGTAAATAGTTATCAGAGAATAATTGTTTTTATTTGTTTAAATGATGTATTTTAGTGCCCAAATTCGTTGTTTTCAGGTTTTACTGCGAAATGAGCCATTTCAGTCCGATAATGGTCCAGCGATGATTCGCTGTTACGATGCTAGCGAGATCGCGATGCATAAAAACCGTGATCAAACTCCTCTTTTTCTTCTAGGTATATATTTTCTACCTAAACCGATTCGCATAGCAATCTTGAGTTTTTGTTCTTGTGGGATAATTAACTGTTGCGATTACTATTACTATCACGTCATTAATATTTTGGAGTTATTGCTATTGTTATCAAGTTTCTATTACTACAACCATTGTCAAATCACTTTATTCACACTGGAAAATTATTTCAGCAGAATTCCTTGCAATGGATGTATTGCGTAATTTGTTATTTGTCCTCCCGTGTTGGTGGTAATCTCCCGATCTCTGTCATGGAGATTTCCAACTGGTTAGCCGCCGCACTATGTTTGACATCCTTAAGTGACGAATAGGTGGTTAAACGCGGGCTAGAGGCGACCTTAAGTTCTCCTGAGACCAGGGTGGAAAAAGGTTGGATTTCTCATTTCTGAGACGCCAATCTAACATATGGTTTCAGTGTTTAGTGTTTACACATACATCTTTATGCATTTAATTCATGCATGCACGGGTGTGGTCGTGTATGTGCATTTTGTACTCCATAGATTAATTCGACCGAAAGTCTGCAATAGAGTGGTTGAAAAATACATGGATGTAGTTCGGAGTCGCCTTCAAAGAAAAGGCTTATTCTGGGAGACATTGGAAATCTAGCTATCGATATTAACAACCAATTACTGTTAAATAAATGGGTCTCTTTCCGCTGAACACAAAAGAACGGCCGATATTAGAGCAATAGGTAGAACTAGTATGAAGTTATTGATATCTCAAGCCATTTCATTCCACATTCCAGGCTATGTGAATTTGGAATGACTGTGGATCTCTACTTATAATGCGCGAACATTAACATCTGAGGTGTTATTTTATTCTTTATTCACGAACAAGCTGACGTTTCGGCGGATTTCACTTTCCTCAGAGCATGGAAAGGTCAAGTTGATAGCAATCTATTAGGCCAAACACCTGCATAACCAAACAGAGAAAAGGCTAAACCATGATTTCAATAACATTGAACACAGAATAGCTTCTTTGCATACTCACCGCTTTCTATGTGTCTTCCACTGAGTATTTCGCGTGGAGACCAATGGCACAGAATTCACATGTCAGCGCCCCTCCTATCAGAATAACAGGCTTATAAAACATTACGCTTCCATGCGGTGAGTGTGCAAGAAGCAACTCTGTGCTCAATATGATTGAAATTTTGGTTCAGTATTTTCTCTGGTTATAAAGATGTTTGCCCAGGTAGATTGCTGTCAACGTGACCTTTCCAGGCTTTGAAAAAGGCGAAACCCGCCTATACGTCAGCTCGTGAATAGAGAATAAAATAACAACTCGCGTTTGCTCAACAAGAATACGAAGAATTACTTGATCAATGCCGAGGTTAGCAGAAAGTCGGTCTTGGGATTTACTAACATCTGATTTCTCTACTGAAGACCTGATGATGCAATCTAGGAAGATTAGATGCGACATCGTTGATGTGCCCTAAACGAGAAGACGCTGTTTATTTTACGTCGTTTGTAATACGAGGGAAGAACTGTTCCTCGGAATAGTATGCGTTAGTAGTGGAGCAGTGGTGCTGGTGTCGTCGTCAACACGAATTTTTCCGTGAACATCTATTCCTTTGAACAAGGAATAACCTGAATTTTAGACGGTTAGTGTTGGATGGGTGTGAATCGGTACCGACTTTGAGAGTTCTCATCTCTGTGTATCCACATCGAGGTATAATGAAAACGAGGTTGAAGTTCTACTTGCACTTGGAGCAGTTCTAGAAAACTTTAAATTGGAACTTACGGATTGAAATGGCACAAAGAAGGTAAGCTGTTGTCATGTTCATCGTAAAGGTTAGGATTGAACACTAACTCTGAATTCTAGAGCACTTTTACGATGTCGATGAATGTGGGAAAATCTCTATTATGACTCCTTTGAAGTTTTCGCTAACATGATTGGCAGAACGCTGTCAGAAAGACAGCCGTGTGAGTAAGCAGGGTTTCGAGAACTATTTAGTCCGGTGGACCACATCCACACGATAACTAGGCTGGTTGAAGTATCACTGCATTGAAGTACAAGAGATCGTTCCTTCATCGACTTCAAGAAAGTCTTCAACTCAGTTGCACAAAGCGATCATCAAAGCTTAGGACAGGAGTTCGCTACTCAGTATGTTTAGTTCCATGAGCTATATACGAATTTCTTAACCAAAATATCACCATTCTATAACGATATTAACACCGATGTAAACAGAGGGTCCAACAAGGGCAGTATCGCCATTCCTAAATTATCTGCAGTCACTCTCGGGAACGCCAATGCCAACTGCACCGTCTTCACCCCGCTGATGACATCTTTTTCCTAATATCGAGTATTATTATTTAGGCGGATGAACGCTGCTCGATTTCAGCACCTATGGAAGGTACGGTCTTCAACTGGGTCTGATGAAGGGCATGTTCATGAGAAACATTTGTTTCTCATCGTTGTTCACGGTCAACAGAATATCTGCGAATGGTACATCTTTGCGTACCTGACTCAGAAAGGGAACATGATCGAGGATATAGCTCCAGAACTGAGCAGATAGAAGCGAACGTCTTGAAAAGCTTTCAGAATTCGACGAAGCGGTAAAGAATGTAGAAAGGAAGCGACACGATGCATTCTTTTCGATTTTGTGATTCTTCCTACTTCATCATATGTGTCGGAAATTCTATCGCTCCGAACGCAGAAAAGATGATGATGGAAGAATATGTAAGTGAAAATAAGGTGAAGTACCTTGTTGTTGTGCGATAGGTTCTTCCTAAGTGGGTATTTTCAGTTCTGTTGTAACGCCCGATTTCAAATTTGGGTAATGAAACCGTTTATGTATCGCGATAATAGTACAATAATAACTACTTGGCGATAACAAGGTCTCATTAGTAAAATATACCAATACTTACATAATTTGTAAGTGGAAATAATATAGGTAAGGACCGTTAGTAATGGCATCGTATCCTTTGCAATAGCGTAAAATGATAGGACAGAAGACTCATGATATATATTCATGGAGAATATTCTACCTAGAAAGAGGAAATCCGAGTTCCAATCTACTTTAGCGGTGAAAGGTTAGAGATTTCGCAATTTACTCCATGATACTGTAAATAGGTGAGCTGAGCGCATTATGCATCGTAATAGCGACCGGTGAACAAAAACTATTAGAGATTGGTTCTCATGGAATATAAATGCACAACGGAAAGATTCCGTTGATCAAATTTTTCCATACAAATAAGCTAGATGAACAGATTTGCGGTGCTCGCCAAGTTCGTAGAGCAAGCAAAACCAACTGTGCTGCAATTGTGAGCTACAGGGACAAATGGAAAGTTTAGTGACAGCCGTCCAAATTACTCGACGATTAGTGAGATGACAGGTGGATCCAATGAACGGTTCAGTTTTTTTCTTTCCTATCGAAGTTCTATAACGTTTTTTCCTTCTCGGTCACTTTACAACTCTTGTCTACGAAGTCCTGTAAGGTTGTGCTTTATGTTATTTCCAAAAATGTTGGTTTTCTGGGTTTCAATAAGGCGCAGATTTCTTTATGGAGTTTTATGTGCTTTTTTTAAATGTTATTTACTTTGTACATCCATTTACTAGATTCTGGCAGATCGATAAATTACGCTAATGAATATACAAATCACTTTCGCGTCAATTCGAGCATGGATACCATCGGCAGATCGGCTAAATATTTCCCACCAGTCTATGTGCTGGGAGACAACATCTGCCAGCATGACTCTCTGCCCTATTTATATCAAGAGGTTTGTGCTTTGATTTCCCCATATACTCTGTTGACTTTGAACAGTTCGAGCAAATAATGCACAAAAGCTTATGCTTTACTCGCAAGTCGATGTTCATCGTGTGCTCATTTTTTTTTTATTTAAAACGCATCGATTAAGGTTGAGCTGTTAAACATTTCTGTTCTAGGGATTTCACCTTGCCGAAAACACGGGTGGAATATTCATAGGAACAAAATCATCCAACTCAGATGGTCTACTTAATGTGGCAAGCGACTGCAGTAGTATATTCGGGTATGAATATGTGTTGTTTAGTACAGTCCTGGGGCTACTAGTCTGGAATATTTGCAGACGGAGTCAGCTGTTGAGATTATGTAGTTTGGTATGCGCATCGCAGCTAAGCAGAAGAGATAGCTTGAAAATACAGGTATATTGATTACTTAACAATTGAAGGAACTACGTTGAGATATTGAATCTCAACATAATGTATCATTTTCCATTTATTTTTTTCCTTATCTACTTTGTTATTACGTATCTTATTATGGTTTATTATGTTTAAATGCAGTATTTATCTTCACTTGCTTGCATAATGTTGCAAAAACGGGGGTTTACCTTGCACTAGGTTTCTCACAAGCTAATGTCCGCAATGTAATTTCATTTCCTTACACATATCTAAGCAACAATTTTTCGAATGCTGTTCTGTTACATACTGAGTAGCTACCAGACTTGTGTAGGGCAAGCGAACTCCCTCTAACTTGCGTGAGAGTTGTAACGAAATGGCTAGCGGCGGAGTCTAGCGGTTCAGATTGATGCAGAATATTAGCCACGCGGGTCTTTTAGTTGATGTATTGATCTACCCAGCCTCAAACTTGGGTAATTAAACCTTTAATACATAAATACAACAGTAATTACATAATAGTAACGATAGAGAAGTAATGGTAGAGGAATGAGACAAGTTAGAGCTCTGAGGTGCTAAGGCCTGTAGTGAAGTGAAGCTAACAATGAGGCAATGGCATTCAAACATTGTAATACCATTAACACAATATTAACAATAATAATGAGATTACAACGAATTAGCCTTTGCTTAGCCGTAAGCGATGCCGCGCCGCGTCTATTCGCGGCCAGCGCGGCGGCTGAGGGAGACAGTATGCTGGGGGCGGAGGGAGGAGACTGTATGTCGCGGAGAGGGAGACAGTATGCTGAGGTGGTGAGGGTCACAGACTGGCTATGTTTCGGCCAAGCTAAGATTTCAACATTATGGCGATGAGGAGCATTTTAGTGGATCGATGAGGACTGTAAGTTATATGAGCGTTGACGGTGCTATGAACAGTGAATGATGAGTCATCTACGGAACACAGTCAGGCGCGGCTGGTCGTGAATAACGCTATGTCAGCAACGTGAACTTTGAGCATCGATGGGTGCCACCATTGCCTAAGGGTAAGGGCCAGTATGATAAATGGCTACAAAACTGATAAGCCAATAGCTTAACAAAATACGTAGCATAAGTTGGCCGCTCAGTGGCCTTGCACTTGTGGGAGGAATGGTACATGCCACCGATGGCGTTGCAAACAGAACGCATTTGGAAACATCCGCCACTACTGACATCGCGCCGTAGACAAGCTGAGAAACGAGATACAATAATCTGCTGATTACTGAAGGATGAACGTGAATGTGTGAATGAATGTGATTGAATAAAAATAAATGAGTATGACTAAAAATGAGAGGTAATTGAGGATGATGTTGTGAGAAGCGGATTATCCGCGCTACCGATCGGGGGTAAGGTGAGTGATGGCATGTCTCCGCCGTCGAAGGCACCTGGCTTATATCGGCTGCGGGAGCCACGTGCGTATGCAACCGCGGTTAATCTGGATTGTTGATCCTGGGCCACAATAGACTGTACCTAACTGCCTGAAAGATGAAACGCCATTAGCTTCGTTGTTTCGCAAGGAAGTAGTAAACTGTTCCACTGTTACGCCTCCTTCGAATAAGCTATTGTCGGTATGCTACTGAAGTCAAACCTGAATCGCTATTGTGTCTGAAACACTGAACATAATTGATCGAGAAGATTACAAAAGGTTACATTGCGGTGTTTGATGTGCGACTGCGAGGCGACCATATATGGACATCAAATACTATTTCTCTCTGGAAAAGTTCTCTATACACCCGCCCGACGTATTTAGAGGCCATGACGAAATTTTGTTGGCTATTCGAACACAAGGTTTTTGCATTATGCAAAGGTTTAGGAGGAATCTGAAGCATGTAACGCTAAAAACGTGAGTAAAAGGAGCGTCGTATAATGAGTGATCTACTACATTTACCTTAATAATTGACACGCTGTAGCACGGCTCCGTTAGGATTCCACGGAGAGTTGACTCAACCAGGATTCAGCTTTCCTAACGAAGACGAAAATTCCTCAAGAAATAGCCTAAGTCACGCACAAATCCGATGACCTTCGTGAAAATGGGCGCAAGGAAAGGAATCGAATGTAAATGCTGGAAATAGTGTAATACATGTGATATCGGGTCTTGTAAAGTATAAAGGACTATGCATATGCATGTATATGTGTATATTATTATAGAGCTCATTTTGTGCATTTTCGATCCGCATAGCTGAGTTATAATATAAGTCGCGTTTTTTGACAAATTGTAATGGTTGCAATTTCATATGTCAAAACATCATTTTCCATAGATCTGCTTCTATGACTTGAACTTTAATGTACATGATGAAGACTTCTCGAAATAGGTGAGGGATCAAGGAAGTGTTAACGAATGTATAGTGCAACGTTGGTTTCAAAAACGTCTTCATGGTGAATTCGACCGTGGAGACGGGGAAATAGAACCCGAACCCGGATGGTGTAGTGGTGAAGTGCGCTGCTCCCCGGTAAGGACAACAGCGCGTGTTCGTTACCCACTGCATACACCTGTGGTCCGGAGTTTTGCAAATATCTCAGCATTTCATATAAATTAGGAAATATTAAAATTCTAACAAAGACTAGAAAATAAGTTGGATAAATAGTAAATATTTTTTATTTATTTTTATTTTATATGATCCGTCTTCACGTCTACTGTGCGGATCCCAGCACTTCTCATAGATGATTCGTTTCCACGCATCCATCGTCCATTAAAATATCCCAACTTCTACGGGTGGCTTCGGTTGCTGCCTCTGGATTTTCATTTCCTCTTGAATGTCGTAAAATGCCAGTCGACTCTTCCTGGAGTGCTGAGATAGCAGGGCTGGAGCGTTCCCATTTGAATTGCAGAGAGTGATTTTTTCCCAGACGAATATGATACCAATTTCCCGACCCCGGAGGGATGAGAGGTTTAGTTGGCCCAGAACCGAATCGAACCTGGAATCGAATAGATAGTGAATTAAAAGCGGAGGAATGAATATTAATAAATAATTAAAGACGTGGATAATTAAGCCGTCTATTTAACAATATCCCACGGATCTCCTTCATATGAGGGATATCGAGCCGGTTAGTCGCGAGGCTACGTGGCGCGTTCCCAGGTGGTGGATAGGGGGTTAATCGCGGACCAAAAACGACCTTTGCTTCCCTAAGACCCAGGTGGATTCAAGGGATGGACTTCCTGTTTCTGTTGCGCCCATTTGGCACATACTTTCTGTATTTGCTAGACATATTCATGCATGCGTGTGTGGGTGCGTTCTAGGTTATGCGGATTGTATTCTGCGAGTCAATTCGGCCAAAAGTCTGCAATCAAGTGACAGGGAAGTATACGGAAGGCGATTAGGAGTCGCCTCTAGCAAATAAGCTCCATGACCACTCTCGGAGAACCTCGCAAGCTACCCGTGAGTACACCCAGTCAACACGTTCAGAGCCCAGCAAGCTATAACGTGGGTACCAAAAATGCTAAACACAGTGAAAAACATGGGCCCCATTCCCCTGACCACGAAAAAACCCCCAATTTCGCAGCGTTGGGTAGAACGAGTACGGAGAGGCTGCTAAAATCTCAGGGCCAATGAAAGTTGTCTGGATTTCAAAGAACTATGGTGACGATCCGTATCTATAATGCACGTACACTTGCATCCGAGTCCTCAATAGAAGACTTGCTATGCAAGCAAGAAGGATAAGGTACGACGTCGTCGGCCTGGCCGAGACGAGAAGACACCAGCTTTTCAACGCCGTCTATGACACCGGAGAAGAACTGTTCTTCGGAACGTGCGGCAGTAGGGGAGTTGGCGGTGTCGGCGTTCTCGTCAACACGAGTTTGTCTACGAGCATCGATTTATCCAAACAACTTACAACCCGAATCGGGCGTTTACGATTAAAAAGACGTGGATCAATTCCGGCTTTGGCAATCTTCGTCGTTTACGTACCGGCATCAAACTATGACGAAGAAGAAGTCGAAACGTTCTATATGGACTTGGAGAAGTTCCACAGAGAACACCACACATTCTTCAAGGTCATCATTGGAGATTTCAACGCCAAGATTGGACCAAGAAGAACGTCTGGAGAACGTCACATTGGGAGCCACGGGTTAGAATGGAACGAACAGAGTGAGCGACTTTCTAAGTTTATCATGACGACCAAGACCATCCACGGTAACTCGCAATTCCAGAAGCCGCACCATCAACACTGGACGTGGGAGTCTCCCAATGGAGAGTACCATAACAAGACCACATCGTAGTCAATAGAAGGTTTTGCCTAACCGATGTAGCTGTTGTCCCAAAATTTTACGCAAGATCAGGCCATCGTCTCCATCGTGCAAGATTCCACTTCTCGCGGAAAGGAGAAAAAGCCGCTAAATTCCGAAACCGAAGTCCCAGAACCACCGTAAACTGGGATTTATTCATGTCATTAGTCGGCTGTTGAGAAGATGCCGTTGTCGATAACATCGACAAAGAATGCGATCGGCTGTTTCAACATCCTCACGTTAGAGCTATGAAAGCTCAGAGTTTGAAAGTCACGAAGAGACGTCTGTCTCCAGAAAGACTCGAGCTTATGCACCAGCGTGGAATCGCACGAGCTGTAGCCAACCGCGAACTGACGTCCCAGCTTGCAGAACAATGCAGACAGGCGATAAAAGAAGATCTTAGAGAAGAGCAGCAGTAATGGCCGAAGCTGCAGAGGCTGGGAAAAGCATTCGCAAAGCCCCCGAAGCTTCCGGAATTACACGACCAAGATGATTGCACTCCGGCGCCCAGACAGAACACTTACAGCGTCCAGAAAGGCAACGGAGAAAATCATTCACCAATACTACTCGGATCTCTTTGATAGTCACGTCCACCTTCCGTCATTTGACCAGGTTTCTGACGCATATGTTAGGGTAGAAAGTACCGTTGAGTCGAAAAGCTGGGTACGGAGTCGGGTGTGTTCTATTCTCTTCACAACATCCTCGTTGCTCTTGAAAGCTCCCAGAGCCGTTCGTTTCTTCTTCTCAGCTCTGGAGCTAAGTCGTTCAGCATGTTGATTTCCCAATCTATATAGATGTAACTGGAGCATTCGGAGATATTCGTTCCGTTGAGTGTGAATGTACGAAATCAATCCGTTCTTCATGAACATCGTTTTTGTGAGATATAGTCGAAGACCAATCTTTCCACAGGCTTTATCAAAGTTAGCAGGCATACGTTGTCTTGGGTAATGTTTGGTGTTATAAGGACGAAGTTGTCAGAAAAGCGAAGATCGGTGGAGCTGCCTACCATTGGTTTTCACTCCCATATTATCACATTTTAATTTTCTCATGATGTTCTGGAGGGTGACGGTAAATAATTTTGGTGATATTGTATCACCCCGCCTAAGCCATCTTTTGGCGGCAATGTTAATATCGTTGTAGAATGGTGAAATTTTGTCTTCAATGTCAATTGAGTTAAATGCACTCTCGCGATACTTCAATGAGTCTTGTTATCGAATGGATGTTGTCCATAGTACTAAATCTTTTCGAAACCCTGCTTGCTCACATGGCTGTCCTTCATCCAGCGTTCTGTTAATTCTGTTTAGGATGACTCCAGTGAAAAGTTCGTAGAGGAGAGACAGCAAGTAGATCGGACGATAGCTGCCCATGTAGTGTAGCTCACCCTTTTTGAACAATAACACGGTCTTGTTGGTCTTCCACTGGATAGAGACTTTGCATTTGGAGGGGTAAGGTGAGAAGAGCCGAGCCATTAAGTTTACGAGGACTGGCAGAACGCTGTTCTGATGTTAGGATTTTATCCTGCCGGGACGTAGTGCTGTTCGATTTTCCACCGACGAACCAGCATGTCGAATTTCGGGAGGGAGAACCGATGGTGCGGCATAATACGCATCCTCCTTTATTTCATATGAGGGAAGGAGGAAGTGGCTATCGAAGAGATCCGAGTAGTACTCTTGAATGATTTTCTCCATTGCCTCTCTGGACCCTGTAACTGTTCTGTCTGGGCGTCGGTGCGCAGTCATCTTGGTCTTGTAACTGGCGAAGCTTCGGAAGGCTTTGCGAATGGTTTTCCCGGCCTCTCCAGTGTACCATAACTGCTGCTCTTGTCTCTTTGAGATCATCTCTTACCGCCTGTCTGCATTGTTTTGCAAGTTCCGGCGTTAATTCGCTGTTGACTGCAGCTCATGCGATTCCACGCTGGTTTATCAGTTCGAGTTATCACTCTATACTCGCACAAATTCAATGCTCAGAGGTAATGGGTTACTGATGTAGCATTCAAATGGATTGCTGCTGTCATCCAAGGCAGGAATTGCATAATGCCAGCGTATCACTAAATCATTGAATGAAAGTCCTCTAGCGTAGTAAAAAGAGGCTGTGAAAGAGTTTTCATAGCTATAGTTCCACTTTTTTGGTGATTTTACTCTGCAAGCTCTTTACGAGGGTTCTCCTATTGTGCAGCTGAGGGACTTTGGATGGGCTCTACTATTTAAGCCAGTGGTGTTTCGATTAAAATATTCTGCTCCATTGACTATATCCAAACCATGTATAGTGACCATCTATTTGGATACTTAATTAGTTACTTGGATGGCTCGCCAACACTGGTTGTGCTGACCTCAGCGTAATTTCCATTTTTTTGGAGTTTTGCTGGTTTATCCATAGTGGTTTCTTACTGGAGTCCCGAGGTCAGCCTGGCCAAAGTCTCACCACCACAGACAGTCGCAGCCCTTGTGGATCAGTGGGAGGTTTGCCACCCAGTGACGAGTTTGTTACCAGGACGGTGGTGGATCCTGGTATTGGTTTACTTTTAGCTAGGCTTCGTGATTGAAAGCCGGACTTCTTCTCAGCTTGAGAGGACATGCTGGGAGGTGGGGTATAAATCCCTCCACCGCACATCGTAGCTGAGCACTTAGAAACACCTTCCAGCCACGATAATGGGGTTAACCCGTAGGAAGGAGAGACCATTTTCCGTGAAGTATTCTCTGTCTTTCCTTCTAACATGTTACCTTGGAAATAATGTTTTACAAAGCTTTTATATACTCGTAAGGAGATAGGGTGAAATCATTCCTACAAGCCCATCTAGTCTTCAACTCTTGAAGTACTGTACAATATATCAAAACTTTACCAAATCCGAAACAACGTCGCAAATGCGTTAACAGTATGGCAATATGGTCACCAATGAGGAAGGTTGTTATTCATTTGCATGGTGTTTGATTCATCAGTTAGTACCATTATGACATTTCGAAGTTACAGCTCTCTGTACTCTGCGGTGATCCGTTTTCCATCGAAACAGTTCTGATCGCTTTGCTGGGTATGGAAAATGATACGCTAAGGGAAATATATGATCCGTGTCAGATTGGAAGTGAGTAAAAATTCTATTTCATGTTTTTTTCCAGTTCTAATTTCTTGAATTGCAATGAAACTAGTCGCAAGTGTTGGTTGATTCAAATTTCTAGGATCTGCTTTATATACATACGTATGTGTATATATATGTCTATATGTAGTATATACATATATGTATGTGTAGTATATATATATATATATATATATACATATGTTTTCGCAACTACGTCTAATTTGTGTCTCATCACGTGCAACTAACGCTTGTTTCCTATCTTGCACCTTGTGCATTAAATTCAGCGCATACATAGCTCCCATTTAAAAGTCCATCTCTGTTCTCCATTTTTCTGTTTCAAGTTCCACAATTCTGGTTTTCCATGTGCTCTTCACGCCTTTGTTCATCATACTTGAGTTTTTATATGCATTTTGCCTTCTCACCCATATTTAAACACGGTGAAATTGGGAACCTGTAATGTTCCGAAATATACACTACATGTGATTGTGCGGAAATATCTCGGTAGCATCTTGACAAGCAACAATCTTTTTGGTGGGAGATATCTAGAATTTGCCTATGAAGAGTAATAGTACCCTATTCTTGAACAAGTTACTAAATGTGGGATCCTGGATCACACTTTGTCCATACGTGATGAACAAGCTCTCGACTAAATGAAACAAAGCGGAATCTGTGCGGCAAAATAGTCATTTCCAAGGAAAATGCATCGAGAGGAATTAATTCAAGAGATGCATGTGACTAAATCAAGTGGAAATGGATCCGAAAGGAAGACCCAGCCCTAAATTCATGTAAATCGTATATGAATGTCGTTAGTCTTCTGCTGCCATTTGTCCTCTTCAAATCATCTTGGTGTTCGTATAGATCTATACTTATCAGAATGAGCATTATATAACATCTATCATATTCATATACGAGATACAAGCAACAAGATCTGCTTTGACATTTAGTGTTGACTAATACTCGTCGGCGTTTCTTGGTTAGTAGACTAGGCATTTCTCTGCTAATGTCATGTTGTTTGAAAGTGTGTCGTTTTCATATGGTTATGTTTTATTAATCCACTCACTATTCGATTGCCCACTGTGATGTAATTGTCAACATTTTCCACATAATGGTTTTTCTTCAATGGAGTGTCACATCCGTTGGACTAATAAGGAATTTTCTACCTGTACAGAGGTGGAAAAGCAGTGGTTAAGGCTGGTGAAGTGTTTTTCTACATTCTATTCTTATCCCTTTGGTAAACCTCGTCGTTGGAGTGATACGCTTCTTGAATAATATGATGAGCAGTTGTTTAATTGATGTGCATGCCACTGTGAAAGATGAATCATTTTTCGGATGAGATGAACTTGCGCGATGTTTATTTGAGCAATCTCGTTTGATATCCCTCACATTCAAGTTTGGTTGCATTTTTTCTTTTAGGAAATATTTGTGTAGACGAGAACACGAACGCCAAAGTGTCGTTTAGTGTTTCCTTTTTGTCTTAGTATTCAGCATTTCAATGTATATCCCTCGTTTGACCTAATCAGTCCTCTCTTTGAAATTGGTGCCTCAAGTAGGATATCAGGATTCAGTGTACGATGAGATGCTGCAAAATTCACATGAGCACCAATCAATGGCAATAAATATGCTTAATTCTGTTTTCTTTCTGATACAGAGAACACAAAGCATCACCCAAGCGATCTATGGGTTATTCTCATTGTTCCTAGGCAACAACGTTAGGAAAGGTGCCAAATTGAATATGTCTGTCTAGTCGGTAGTTTTTGGAAATATTTGTTCCCATCATTCGTATTTGACTTGTTGAATCATCCACAAGTGATCGGTCTACTCATCGCATGATTCGCTGACAATAATAGGTTCTTGTCGCTGCTTTGTTGGAACACAATGTCGACTACTTTTGATGAAACTTTGGGAATGGTCTAAAAGTTACTTTGGGATTCCATTAAAAATAACACGCGACTAACATCGAACCCACCAACGAGATTGAATAGTGAGAGGCAAGTCACAACTGAACGTACAAGCAATTTTAGCAATCTTTGTGCACGATATTTGAGCAATAACGAAACGAACAGGGCACTGGCACGCGCGCGAGTTGTAAAGGCAGTCATCTTCGTTAATCATTCAGTAATTTCAGTAGAATCCATTAAATTCAATCCGCCCCTTCATGCAGCAAAATTGATCAGTGAGCCAGCTGTGCTTATACATCCAGAGAGACAGCAGCATCACGCTTTTGTATGACGCCATCCTTTACCGTTTTTTTGAGGGGAAATAGTCAGTGGCATCTCGTCTACCTGCACTGCTATAAGTCTTCCTTTTTTATTTCAACCAAAGAAGTTGACTATGAGTTAAGACGTGTGTTTGTGTATATCTTGTATGGATCCAACGGTCGACATGCTCAGCAAGGCAACCGTGTTCATGATCGTTCTGAAGTCATTTTGTTGTGCTGAAGTACAACCATAGCATTGGTTTTAATTGGGTTGAACGAAAGTCTATCTGATGTTAATCCTTGTTAGTGTTCTTTTGTAGACGTTAATACAGATGAAGATAACAATTGTTTATAAGATAAAAGTAAATATCTAAAAAAATGTGCCACTACTGGATGTGTAGCAATTTTTCTTAGTCTTCTAGTTCATCGATATTTTGGTTTTAGAAGGTATTATACCAATCGATGTGTACTTCAACGAGAAACAGTTTGCTGTTGACCTGCATCTCTGTGCCTACCACTCTTGGCTTAGTTCGAAATTACAGGACTTTGTTCATGGTCATGTTGTAGTATACTCTGTCAGGTATGCTTTTTGAGAATGATATGTCTAATCGTGATTGGAGGCGCGTGTGGCGCAGTGGTTGGAGGCGCCACTGTGACACACACGTGGGTTTGATCGCCGCGCCCATGGCTCACCAGGCCTTCCATTCCTCTGGGGTCGGCAAATTGGTACCAGACTTGTCTGGGAGGATATCAACACTGGCTCGATACATCGGTAGACCACCACGAGTTATTGTAAAGGCCAGATATGCATCCAATCACCTCGAACGATACTTAATGAAGTCAAATGCATGGCGCATCTCTCAGGGATTGATCAACGCTAAGAGCTTTATCCTTTATGTCTAATCAGCCGTAATGGCAACCTGACAATGTTATGAAAGTAAGCTACGGTTTCGAGATGGCCCACTAATAGCTTGTGTTTTAAGCCGGAATCCTTTGACATTTTCTGGTATTTTGGTACAGAATGTAATGAAAATGCGTAGAACAAATCTTCTTCCTTTTAATCTGTTTCTAGAACTAAACTCAGAGACTTGCTAGTTTGCCACTTTAGCATATCCAGTTAGTTCAAGTTTCACAAGTAATAGTTTTAGCCAAAAAGATATCAGTAGTTTTGAAAAACGGCTTTCACTTGATCTTAGTATAAATTGTCAGCGCATATAGCGCAGTGGTTAGAGACGCCCTGCAGTACAAATAGTATCGACCCCGCGCCCCAGGCTCACCAAGCCTTTCATCTCTGCAGGATCGGCAAATTGGTACCGGACTTGTCTATGAGGATAGCATCACTGGTTCGATACATCGCTATGCCACCGCGAATATTGTAAAGTCCAGGTATGCATTCAGTCATCTCCAACGATGCTTAGTGAAGTCGGATGTATGGTGCACCCACTCACCTCCAGAGGTTGATGAATGCCGAGAGCATTATCATTTTATAAGTGAACAGCATTTTCTTAAGGCATAACATGAGGTTGGTTAACAGTTTTATTCGGCTTACATTTCTGCGTATTCGCTTTCGACAAAACCACATTGATCCAAGTCGATGGTCCACATGTGGTCGTCTTCGCAATATGTGTGTTATTTATGGCATCGAGTCGAGTCGCATCGATCCATTGGAATGGAGCAACGCTCGAATGAAGTTTCCCATCTCGGCGGTTCCTTTTTGTACAGCATTGGTGCTGATCTATTACGGTTATTTAAAAATCATCAGTATTTTCTTGAATCATTTAGCCAACACGAGTTTGGTTTAAAAAAAGGAATTTATTCGAGACATCCACATCGTATCAGCAACCACCCGTAAACGATCGACTTGAAGCATTCCGGAAGTGAAGAAGATGAAGATCTCGAGACGTTAGCCGAAGAAAACTATTTACCAATCTCGTGTTACCACAATGGCTCAACAAAATAAGGGAATGTCCTATCTTCTCTTTCTTTACGTCTTTTCTCAAGTATAGTTGCAGATAACCCTTCTCATCAGCAGTCGTCTTAGAATTTATTGAGTTATTTTTTCGTATTCCAGGAATTTCTGTTCTTTAGCCCTTGCGTCTTGTTCACTTCCGGAAGTCTATGCTGGCGACAAAAATGCAATGCTTTTTCACTAGTTGTTTAGAAATATTGTTCTCGAGCATTATATGGCTCTGTCCATGAATAGTATAGGCCTAGCACACTATGCTCAGATCTGCCCCGTTCATCAAGATGGTAAGATTGGGTATGGCGTCATCGCAGTTTCAATTCTGAAATTCATAATATGTATCTATTTGGAAGTACATCTGGTTACGTTCTTCTCGTCCATTTATTGCGAGACATTATTGGATGACTCATTTATTCTCCATTTCGCGCGAATATCGTACTAGGTCACAAGGAACTTGTTGACGGTTTGAACTGAAATTTCCTGTGGTGAATTTACATCTAGTTGTTGAGCCGTCAACCATATGCGACTCTGAGCGGTTCTTTTTCCTCGGTGTAAGACAGGTGAAAAAGCGGCTCTTAGGAAAGCGAAATGTCAGTTACGGTTGTGTTTTATGTGTGTTATTGTACGTATGCTGTTTAACAGCCTCTCGATTGCTGAGAAAGAAAGCGGCAGATTTATAATCCAGTGCCGAGGTTAATAGAAATAGAAGGTTGATCTTGGAAACTCTAGTTGTTGTGTTTCAGTTTTAGAATGCACCGTTTTTGTCTTGTTACTGATTAAAGTCATTTTACGATGAAATGTTATTCCGTTTATTGCCTACAGTGCTACAGTGATAGTGAATCATTCGTCCTTCCTATTCATTTAAGTTTATCCGAAACGCGTCATGAGATTTGCGCGTTAATGTTTTTGATTCCTGTGCCAAGGTCGTGACTATCACTTCACATTCATCTGCTTCGTGATTTTCTGTTGTGTGTATATCCCAAAGGAGTGCTTTGCGAGGATGCTGTGCTGCCTTTACCTTTCTGAGCACACATGAGTTGAAATTTGAAGAACAGACAAAGTTGTTTGTCTTGTGTTTCTATTCAATAGTTTTCCTATTTATGCGTTGAGTGATCCGTCAACAAATACCTGGCAAATGTCTTCTGGGATAATCTGCTTGCTCCATTCATTCATATAGTGCTTCTAATTCGACACATTAGTTTCGCATGTTGACAATTGATTGTACTTATGTGTCGTTCGTCACGATGAGTTTTGGATAAGTGTTTGCAAAATCCAACTCGTCGACTTTTTGTGGTGCAGTGTTCTTTCTATAGGCACTGAAAGTCACGTCATTGAGGCTGGCTCAATCTAGTGGAATTTAAAATAGGTTTTGCTTCCTCGAACGACCTTCGAAGGTGTTTTCGGTTGTAAGTTCAAAGCTTCAAATTGTATTTTTCAAACCGACCATCATTTAACCTCGCTGGTAGTAAGCCAATTTCCCAGATTGTCAAGCTAACGTACCTTGACGTAAATGTTTATTTAGCTAACGTTTCGACATCTTCGTATTCATTAGAGCAGATGATCCGAGTCGATGGTCCACAGTTGTTCGTCTTCTCGATGTGGCGTACTCCTCGTTGTACCGAGTCGCATTTTCTTCAGTAGAGCAAAGAATATTGTTTGTTATTTGCTATATACTGGCTAACGTAATACCGACTGTTATAGAATGGGTCATCTGTTGAAAACAAATTATTATCGATGGATAGTCACGTCAGCGACAACCGTCCTGTGCAGTAGAGCGCTACTGAGTGAAATCCCCTCATTCGAGCAGTGCTTCACTGAAGAGGATCAACCTTGTATTAGCTTAACAATTCAAGAAGGTTTCTTGAAATTGTCTCTGTGGCGTGCATCAGGAGGTTCCAGCGAAATGCAATGTTTTACCACTTCCTACCTTCTTGACCTCGTACTACCCGTGTGAGGGGAACTAGCTTTTTACTGAGGAAGGTAAAAGAATGATTTTACCTTCTCGTAGGGTAATATTTCAAGGTCGTAATCTTGTATAATTGCCGACAATTTTTGCATTAGAGAGAAGTCTCGGCAATTAACAGCTTAATTTTACATTTAGGTGAGTTTCTAAATGAAAGTGTTCTAAATCTCATATGAAATGAATCTGTGAGTTGGAATGGAGGCCATTAGAAATAAGACGAAAAATTTACATCTTAGTCGGCTTATGATACTGTGCTATTTTTACAAATGATTAATTCAGCTCATACAGTGCAGATGGGTTATCAATTTATGGTTTCACTGATTTTCCTGTCTCTATACAGATGTTTTCTCCAGAAGGGCTGCTTCATTCGCTCATGCTCGTTCTGCGGTATCCCGTGTGCTCGATAATGGGTGCTTCACGCTGACTGGGAAGGCGATTCTGCTCGTAGCTGTGCTGCACGATTATTTCAACGATGAGGTTAGTGTTGCAGATGTTTATCAACTCCAGTTATTATTTTTTCTCGCATGCGCTTTAAACATTTTCACTGATCTCAGGTAGGTTTGGCAATCAAACCACACTTTGTACATACGTTCTTTTTGTCAGGATTTGATAGTGACAATAGGTCGAAACTTATACGATGATTTAAAGCAATTAAACGTATACACCTGCATAGTTTATGCTTATGAGTCACTTTACTGTATAATAGTAATAATATTATCCTAGCATAAAAATTGAACGGAGCATGTTTTCTAATTTCGAATCTTATAATTTGTACTATGATCAATTAGATGAGCTCCCAAGTTTCTGACATTTTCGAAGAAGTCAGGCCAGTAAGGCGTCAAATAATTTGATGCCGGTTGTATCACCAGGTTTTTCTCATCTCGGACTTGACTTAGTTTCTTGATATCCACTTCTCTTATATATTTGTTCTTACGGCAGCTACTAAGAAAGTGCCTAAATTAATATGGGGTTTTAATCGTAAGCGCACATGGAAGTCTCCACTCGTTCTCGTCTTCCTGATCATCGTCGATGATAGTGACTCTTCCCTAATGCTCCTCATCTACAGGGTTCTCATATTCTTCATGAAACTTTTCATGTTTACACCATCGTTTCATAAGACGTTGCCAGTCGACCTTAGTCTTACCAGTCTCTTTTTTAGAGAATGCTTGAACACAGAAATCTTAAATTCAGAATCATTATTTAAACGAATCAGTACATGGCCATTTATGGTCTGTGTTGAACGCTTCCATTACTTCATTTAGCTTTTTGCTGCGCGATATGCACTGTCCTTCTATGATCCTCCACACTTCTTTTCTTCTGTTTTCGCTCCACAATTCAGTTTTCAAGTGTTTTTTCAGTCGTTTCCATCTTTTTCTTTTGTATTCTACCTTTTGTGTTCTCCATACATCCTTCCATGCTTTTGAAACTATCCCTCTCTTGCGCTTGAGAAAGGAAGTTTCGTCTATTATCAGTCCACTTTTTTCATAACCATTGATAAATCCCAGGACTGATTTCCTCTATTAACCTCGGCATTGATCACAATAATTCACTACTTTTCTTCAATGAGCAACGACAAAGTTGGTATTACAACGTTTGTTAACAATAGCTGACGTTTCGGCGGTTTCGCCTTCTTCAGAGCCTGCAAAGATCAAATTGACAAGCAATCTATTTAGCCAAATACTTTTACAACCTTAGCAGATAAAACTTAATGCATAAATTTGCATTCGCATAATAAACAGCTTTTTTTAAACACCAACCGTTTTTTGTATTCTTTCTTTGATGAGCTTACACGAGGTTGATAATGATATTTATTTACGGCTAACGTTCCGACGTCTTCGTCTTCCTCAGAGCCGATGGTCGGAGTCGATGGTCCATGATTGTTGTTCGTCTCGACGTTGCAGCTTCGCCTTCGTGCCGAGCCAGATCTTCCAGTGAGCCATCTTCTCGAATGAGGCATCCTCACTCAGTGATGCCCTTTTATACACGATGCTGATGGTGGATATATAATGATAATGTCCGGTGGTAACAACTTGTATTTCTTCCGGGCATACATCGTTGCGCACATCGTGCAGAAGTCGGTGTTGTTATCAGCTAGCACAACGCGTAGTAAAATTTCGAAACCGACTTTCCTTAAACCTCGGTATCACTAATCAATATGTATTCTTTCTTTGATGAGCTTACACGAGGTTGATAAAAAAAACCCACCGTTTTATTCGTTGTAAGTCTTGCAGTTAATTGGTGGGGAGAGGCAGAACAGAATGTAACTTGGGTGAGGAATGTGCCTTGGTGAGGTCATGTAATCAGCGTGAGGTATGAGCTAGGTCACGCGTGATGACAAGACACTCTTCCTTGCGGTTCTTTTTTGGATGTTTGGAATTAATCGAAAACGGTTCAAGAGTTTTACACCCCGATGTTTTGGATTCCTGTGGTGACTTGTTTCTGTGTTCTATGCGCGCCTAACGGAGTGTTTGGGTGTCTGGTTACAATTTAAATTTACCGATTAGGTGTTCTTTTAAACGGATGCGGAGTGGTCTACCCGCTTCTCCAACGTATTTGTCTCCACACGCTTCACAAGAGATTAAGTATACCGTACCTGAGCACATGCAGTCACCATCTCTACCGTTAGGCCATAATGTGAAATTTTTCGTTGTACATAGGCTGTCATATATGCGATTACGGACTAGCTGGCGTCTGAGTGTCCGGTGGTATTTCTATCACTGCTACTGAATTCTCTTGGTCAGCCCATCTTAAGCAACATTTTAAAGAATAAGGTTTCTTTTATTCTGTCTTTGATTTCCAACGAAGTAAATGCATATCGTGAAAAGACTGCTGTGGAAACATATTTACATCCGTGAACTACCGCATCAATTTGCAGTTTTTCGGGGGAATTAGGACGCCTAGTGAGTTAAGTGCTCAAAATGGGGCCACCCTTCCTCACCGTTCAAAAGATTATACACTTTTATTTACCTTTACTACATCCTTTGTTTCATTTACTGATTCTTTTTCGACATACGTTCATTTTAAAGTTTGCCATTAGTTTTCCCGATGGTGTCGTTTCTTTCTTCTTCTCACTTTTATTAATCTTTTAGAAGCGGTTCGACGTAACGATTTTTATACGCTGACTCTTAGGAATTCTTGGTGTCCAAATAAATTTTTTAACTTTAGTCTTCAAAGTACTGGATAACCTTAATACCACAATGGATTTTTTTTTAAACAACGCAAACTTTAAACATTCCATAGTGTCATTATTGGTGACCTCGACACTTAAATCGGAACAAGGCGAACGCCTGAAGAACCTCATATTGGGAAGTATGTGTTACAGTGGAGTGTACCGAAAAATTTAAAAATCCAAATTTTTGAAAGCCATTATAGATTAGGACTCAACAACAATAATTGAAGATACAAAAGTCGGAAAGTGTATCAGCCAGGCTCGCTGAAACCTTCCTAATTAGGTGACTAACATGTTTGCTCTTTTGCTGCAGCACCAAACAGGTTCTGCTTTTAAAAATAACGGAGAAATTCACCCACGTTTCCCACTCAGACCAATTCGAGCACCACAAGTGTTCTATGGCAGAGATGGTTATGTCGTTCTTGTGGTTCTCCTTTCATAGGTCAGAAATGCTAATTGGTTGGTTAAAAACCATACAAAAACGAACCGCAAAGAGTTTGTCAAGAATCTCTTGCAAGTGCTCATGTAGCCTCTAGCTCGGGTCTTTACGCGTCGCCTGTCCGAATCTATGGTCACGGATCATTTGAGAACCGGCAGGACATTGTTGTTGCATAGGACTAGGACCTACATGACATCGGCGACTGTAACTTTAACCTTTCTGCTCTTTATCGTCTACATATACTTGACTCTCTCTCAACACTGAACCAAATAAAACCAAGTGCGCATTGGGTTTCAAAAAGCCTTCGTCACTATAGAACGCATTCAAACGATTACAAAACTCACTGAAATATGTTAGAAAAGTAAGAGAACGCTTTTCTTCACTTTTATTTACTTGAAAGAGGCCTTTGACGCATTTCTTACGGAAACGCTTATGGACGCTTCACACAGGTATAGCTTCCACACCCAAACCTTAGTTATCACTCGTAAACTATTTCGCTTCTTCACCATTGCATACAGCGATACTATTCTGCAATGATATTAACATTGACATGAATAGAGGGATTTGACATGGTGTCTGTTGGGACTGCTCGCTGATATAAGAATATTAAGTAGTTGAGAAGTTTCTGTCGGATTAGCTGCCCGCCTCTGCCTATATGCTACGTGGGCCGTTTTGCGGTCAACAGTAACAATGCCGATCACCTCAAACTTAGGTGATTAAACCTTTATACGTGGTAATTACGTTAATGTGATAATTACGGCATAACAATACAAACAGTGCAGTTGGAACGACATTCGTAGGAGTGATAAATAGGCACAATCTAATCACTTGTGGTTCAGATTGCTTATGAGTATAAAGAGGCTATCATATGAATTCAAGTATATGAGATGGATTTGAGAAAAGGATATGGTAGCTTGGGCAGCATTGCTGTGAACTGAACGAGCTAACCGGGGAGCGGCTTGTATTCACTTTGTGATGGGCGGAGTCGGCCCAGAGTGGATGGAGAGACGGTTTGCCACTATGAGCTGTTTGTAACATTTGTTAAGCATTGTAATCTGAAAAGGCGGTATTCAAAGCGTCGGACTGTAACGAGTGTAACCGTGGATATTCACATGAGGTAACAGCCTAAAATGTTAAACATAGTTATCAGGTCGTCATGAAAAACGACATGCGAGATGTTTTGTATAAAGAACATTCCATAGTTGGTGAAGAATATTCTCTATAGTGTCACCAATTTTTTAAAATTAGTCCTAAGCGTGGAACAGGGTAATATAGGAGTGGAAATCGATTGCCTGCAGTGACACCGTGTTCTGTTTGCTGCTGATAGTTTTCCTAGGGTGTCAAACATTAACCAGCGAGTGGTGACCGATTTCTTATACGGGAATGGTGTCCTTTTTGAATTTGAGAAAGGCGATGTTAATGAGAAACGTATTGGTTTCTGATTCCTCATTCGAGCACAGCGGATTGATTTTCGCTGAATCCTTCAGCAATATGTATCTTGTTCAGGAAGTGATTATGAGTGGTTTAGCTCCAGTGCCATGAAGAGAAAAACGAGCTCCTTGGTGAATGTGCAAGAACATCATGACTGCACTGATTAGCAAAGCACACTGTTTCTGGAGGGTACTATTAGGATTATACCGTATTACGAAAGTGGGAGAAAATTTAAAGTTCGAAAGTTAGACCAAGACGCTTCTCTATAGCCCAATATAACGAAATATTGGGACGGACATGTAATATATCTGAAAACCAACTGATGGTTAAGAGTCGTTAACGAGTGAATGTCAAACATACATCTGGAACTCCACTAGCTCTTCAGTCAGGCACCTGACAAAGAGCTTTTAAGGATATGGTGCTACTCGAGTTCATAGTTTGAGGAAATCCACGAGGTTACTTTTGCAAGGACAAATGTAGAATTCACTGGTGCACCCTTGAGACAGTTGATGTCTACTTAAAATGCAAATTTTGCAAGTTATTATTCTCATGTCCGTGGAACCATTGATATAGTTAATTCATTATTCTTGGATATTTACCTGAATATGGGGTTGTATTTACTATTTCATCACCCATAGAATATTGACGAGGTGAAGTAAGGTAAAGCCATACGAAATCATATTATGATTGGTTTTCTCATTTGCATACTACCCTCATAATATTGCTGAGCAACTGCTGAGGTTGATAAGGCTTTTTTCACTGGATTATGGGAAATGTCAGCAAAGTGGCTCATATTCTTTTAGAAAGTGGTACTTAATTGATACGCGATACTTTAACGGCCCGTCCTCACTGGTTATGCGAGCCCTAGCATAATCTCCATTTTTCGGGGATTTCCTGGTTAAGCCATTGTGGTTTCTTGGAATCACGAAGTCAGCCTAGCCAAAGTCTGCCCAGGTCTTCACCACCACAGGCACTCGCAGCCCTTGTGGATCAGAGGGAGATTTGCCAATGCGCGATTTTGATACCAGGATAGTGGTGGATCCTGGTACTGGTTTACTCTTAGCTAGGCTTCCTGATGGAAACGCCGGACTCCTCTGCTTGGGAGGTCCTGCCAGGAGATGAATCCCCCGCTGTACATCGCAGTCCTACACCCTGGGACACCTACCTCTCAGCTACGATGAGGAGGTAAACCATTGGGAGGAAAGTGGTACCACTTATTTGAATGTTTGTATAAATTTCCATACTGGATACATGTTACTGAACACTTGAAAAGGAACAATAAATAGGTAGTTTTTGAGGATAAAAAGAACTAGATAATAGAATATGACGACACGATGTGATTTTCAACTCGTGTCCTTATTGTGTTTAATTTTAGCTCCTTCCTATCTTAGTATACTTATTAAACCTAACAATATTTTAATTCGAAATTGTGGTTACACTTGATTTCTTGTTTTGAGGAAAGCCATCATATTACAGGAAACGAATTTGCTAGTCGTAGAAGGTAGTGAGCTTGCGACGAGCATTGGGGCATCGTTCATCACTATATCACCGGATGCGAGTTCTTGTCAAACTGTTGAACTGGCTGAGTTCTTTGAACACATTCGTACTATGGTTCCGAAAACATCTACACTTGAACTACCATTCAGGAATGAAAGGTTAGACCCCAATATTATAACTAACGATAAGCATCTTAAGATATATGTCCCGACTACTAATGTCACCAGAAATGTAATGCTGTTTGGGTGTTTTTCTGGTTTATAAGGTTTTATATGGTTCATATATATTTGTTGGCTTAATTTTCTCCACTTATTTTGTTGTCTAACGCCTGCTCTTCTATTTTAAAATAAATTGAGCTTTTAAAATAAAAGAGTTCGGGTCATGTAGACGATATCTACGAGTATGGCTATCATTCAGTTGCTCGTGAAGGAGTTGGTACATTTCACTTATAAACACTTAGATTAACGTTGTTGCAGAGTCATCGGTAATTCTTTCCATTTCTTCTTAGCTAAACCTAACTGATTTGGTAATACTTTTTCTTCGACCTTTGAGAAGCTCGTGCCAGTACACTACTAAGTGCACATAAATGCTTCTACTAAAATTGAACTACAGCTGGAACTACTTTCTGTATATTAATCCTTCTGTATAAAATCAACGATGATAGAAGAAACGCTATACGAAAAAACGAAGAAACATTACGCTTCCATCTGAATTCTGTGTGGTTGGTCTTCACACGACATACTCAGTGGAAGACTCATAGAAAGCGGCTCTGAGTAAGGCGAAATCCACCGAAACGTCAGCTTTTACGTGAGTGGGGAAGTGGAGTAGCACCTCGTGTTTGCTGAACAGAAGTGGAAAAAGCGATGATAGATTTTTTACGGTGGTAAACGATTATGGCGATAGTATTAGATTTATGAGGACCTATGGACTAAAACACGGCTGAGAGCAAGAGGAAACGAAACGAACCGTATGGTGTGGTGGTGAACACATTATCACCCCAACAAAAGGTAATAACGGGTTCGACCCCCACCCCAGACGCCTGAGGTTGAGATCTTCGCAAATATCTCAGCGTCATTATGATTACTAGATTTATTCGTACGACTCGCTACATAGCGAAGCTGGAAAAGGTAAACTTTCTTCAATATGGTGATGGGATGGTGAAAATGAGAATGCAGTAGCTGTCTCTACTGAAGTTTCTGAAGTCTTATTTGTCCAATTGTCTTCACGCGTTGTTCTAAGGATGTAATTTCATTGTTGCCTTGTTTTTAAAAACAATGAATTAATGGTACTTTGTTCGAAATCGACTTAACATCGTAGACTTAGCAATTCCTATAGTCGATTTTTATTAACCTCAGTAACGATCACCAGTTCACAGTTTTCTTGATGCAGATAGTACGATTTTACTACACTATTTAGTCACGATGGCCGGCGCTATCCTGGTTTCACATTTTTCAGATACTAGAAAGCTCAAATTGACAAGCAATTTACTCAACCAATCACTCTCATAACCTCACCAAATAAAACTTTATACATAAATTTTCATTCATAAAATAAATCATATAATAAATAGCTTCTTTTAAACACCCACCGTTCCCAAGATCGATTTTCTGTTAACCTCGGCATTGGATTATAAATGTGTCGCTTTGTTTTTCAGCAGTCGGGAGGTTGTTATAGAATACACGTTTACTTCCGTTCAAAAAGAACGCATACAGAACAGTGGTAGCTGACGTTTCGGCACTATCACCTTTTTCAGAGCCGTTAGAGCTACTCTAAGCGGCTCTTTATCCTCGCTGGAAGGCAGGTAAGAAACGGATCTGAAGAAGGCGAAACTGCAGAAATGTCAGATACCGTTGTATTGAATGTGTTCTTTTTGTACGGAAGTAAACATGTGCTGTGTAATAACCTTGCCACTGCTGAAAAGGAAAACGACACATTTATACTCCACCGTTTTGTTCTATGTAAGTTTTCTATTTAATTGCTGGAGATCAGCCGCAAAGAGTCTTACATGGGCGATGAGTGAACAAGACTTAGGTCAAAAAAATTAGCGTGAGTTATGGTGCCAGGTTGCATGATCACAAGACATTTCTCTTTCCAGTACTTTTTTGGATTTTTAAAATTAATCGAAAACAATTCGAGAGTTTTGCGCCCTGATATTTTGGAAGGGCCGGCATAGTGACTTTTACTTAAAAATCTTCTCCCTTATGTCTTTGCGCCTTATGCGTAGCGTACCCAGTGGAGAGTTTTGCTTGACTTTATGTCTCCCAACTGTGTGCTGTTCTATACTGATGCCAAGTGGTCTGGTCTTTTTCGCCAAAGTATTACTCTCACATGCTTTACAAGAAGTCAGGTACATCGTACTCTAACTCGTGCGGTATTGCAGTCACTGCTACTGAATTCTCTAGAACGGGCCTTTTTAAAAAAACCCTCTTGTAGCTCTGCTTATTTCGTTGGAAATGAAGGACGGTATAAGCGGGGCCTTATTCTCGCTGGGCATATCGTTTGAGAGTATGGTTCTTCCTCTACACCTATCCCGAGGAGCTACTTTCGTAGCCATTTCAAATGCCGTTTGCCGTCCCAATTTCCACAATTTCCAGGATTCCTCGTTCTGCTCTCTTCTTTTGCACGCGCTGGTGGCTGTTTGAAACATGTTGTTTCTTACAGGCGTCCTTTTTATGTGTGAAAGTGGGAGAAGAGGTAATGAACCAGGATATTCTTGTCATTTGGCTTTGATACCACTTGGGGGTGCAGCCGTTTCTGGATCGGTCAGTATGAACGTTGAAAAGCAGAATTGTTTTCATTCGATTGCTGTCGGGTGAAATTCATGTACTCTTATTGTTAATTCATCATTTCGAAACATTTGACCACATTTCCGCCCGTTGTGCTAACGTTTCAAATGACTTTGCAATACAAGCCATCCGCAAGCTACAGCACGAATGGGTAATAAATATGGATGGCTTCTCAATCTGGCAGCTCATGGATTTTTTAAAGGAGTGCTTGGAATGCTCAATCTGCAGATAGTGGGGGAAGCATTTCGCATAAATAGGACGGTTGTCAATAGGACAGCAACTGACACTAGGCCTTGCCATTGCGTTTGTGCCTAAGTTGGAAGTTCTGGTACCGACTGGGAAACTTAAAGACACAAAACATCCACTTGATATGTAGAGGGTGCAAAGGCCTAATGGAGATGTTGAAGTGGAACTTATTATCTTCGCACAGGAATCTAAAGCATAAGCGTGTCAAACTCTTGAAGTATTTTGGATAAACGACGAGACGTGGCTTGTGATCACACTTTACCTCACATACACACTCCTTAGGCTGATTTCCTTGCCTGAAGCTGTCAGATTTTACATCAATCATGTCTTTGTGCAGCTAGTCTGCAATAATCACTGGAAGACCTGTGAGGAACAAAACGGTGAGTTCTAATCTTTATTTTCTGTCTATTCTTATCTTCATTCCAAGGTACAATGTGTAGTGGAACAATATGGGTTTTAGATGTAAGGAAAAGTTGGAGGCTCGAAACTCAGGCAAAGCAATAGCCTCAGTTGGTGTGGTGGATAAAAACTTTGAGTGTTTAAAAGAAGCTCTTTGCTTTGAATTTGAAATTTGTGTATTATGTTTTATCTGCTGATGTTGTGAAAATGTTCGCCTGAGTGGATTGCTGTCAACTTGCCCTTTCCAGGCCTTAAAGAAGGAGAATCCGTCGAAGCGTCAGCCATTATGAATAAGTATTGTGATAAAAACTTTTTATTTGCCACCAAAAGACACTGAGTCATGGAATTGTGTGGTAGAGAACGCCATTTTTCCCATACAAGTGTTCCAAAAAGCACAATGAAATACTTGTACAATTTCTCTGTAGATTTTAAACGTCTAGTAGGTGTCTTTTCGTCGTATGTTCTTCAAGAGACTCGGTGTTCCGCCAGTAGTAGCGTAAAAAACTTGAGGTCATGTGTACTGTGTGTGTGCTAGATATCAAGGCTTCTCACAACTCACTCCTATTCACAGTCATAGACTGCGGGTAGACTGAGGATATTTTCTCGTCTTTGCTTAATGTTGCTCTAATGGTGAATCTCCAATTTTTGCAATTTCCATGTGTTCTTCGTTGAAGTTTTCTCTATTAAGCCTGCCGAACGCCATAGAGTTCACGTTTTATTCAAGGGTGGTGGGAATTTCGGACCTACTGTGTTGAAATATCAGTCAAAATTGTAGATTGAGAAGGTAGAAATTGTCGGTTGTAAACGGATAATGCTCATTCATACTGTAATTTCAGTCCTCCGTACGCAAGCATCGACCAACGTGAAAGTGATCGCTTTCGAAAAGATTCGGGTAGCATGTACGGTTCATATACGAAAAGTCGTGAGTTCAGTATGTCTTTTCTTTTCAAAAAAATTGGAATGAGCTCTGCAATGTTAATATTGTTAATTTCAATGATGCTGAGATATTTGCAAAACTCCGGACCGCAGGTGTCTGTGGTGGGGAACGAACGCGCTATTGCCCTTTCCGGGGAGTAACGCGTTCACCACCACACCATGTGGATCCTTCGTTTCGCCTTTCTCTCAGCTAGTTCTATCGATCTCTGCCGTCAGCAATCACTCGCCAACGGGATTGTTCTAGGGGCCCAAATCGGCAACGGACCCAGTTAAGCCGAGCCTGTAATTATAATCACAATGTTAACTTATTATTTACTGCCTACTCTTTTTAATGAAGCGATACCCGAAATAAAGGAAATCGTACATGAGAGCGAAGAACAACTGTTAGCTATGAATAGCTAGTATTTAAACTAACTCTGGCTTCAGCAGTGCTTAGAATGGGATACTGAGGTAAGCAAGAGTGCTAGGTTTCATCATTTTGACTAGAACTATCTACGGTACCTTACAATTTCAAGAGTCCTATTTTAACGCTTGGAGTGAAATCTTCGGCAAGAAGCACAGCAGTGGAGCTGATCTTATCACTGTCTGTTAGAAGGACTAACTTGTCTACGTCGCTGTTGTCCTAAAATCTTTCATACTATCACGTCAGTGCTTCCTTCGTGCATTAATCCTTATGTAGGAAGAAAACCAATTCGTCCAATAAATTAAGTCACAGAAGTTTCGTAAATTTTGATTCCTTTTTATGTCGCCAACGGAGGATATTCTTGGCGGTTTCCGCATTGCTAAGATTATGATAAGCAAGCAGTCAGTTTTAATGTTACTCTGAAACGATTGTTTCACCTGCGCCAAAGTCGGTTTAAGTAGTTCAGTTGTGTGCACGCAGAATTTGTAATGTGTTCGCAGCTGCATCTCAAATTGGGTGGTCATATCTTTATAGAAGATGTACAACAATAAAAACATCAGGAAACAAATAATAACAGTGTAGAGAAGAATAGATTATCTTAACTCAACTACAGGAGTGAAATTAATAAAAACTAAGCTAGGAATAGGCTGAAAATAGAAGGGACACTTCCTAAAAGGATGGTGTTCTGCGGCATCCCCATCAGAAGTGACTAGAATTACAATAGAGAAGCAGAGGTATTACTGTAAAACAAGAGGTTCTAAGTCTGTTCGCATTGGTTTATTCAGATGTAGCTACTTCAGTACGCAAAAATACATCATCAAGTAAGTGTGAGCGCTCTCCTCAATACTGATGTCTTCGAAATTAACGTATTCTTTTTCTATTCAGTGTCAGGAAAAATGAATAGTTGTGCCGGAGTTTACCTTCTCTAAAATCTGGCATATTATCTAATTGAGGAATCGTCTCGCATTTATTCCGAGTAATATCGAATTTAGAGCTTTGGTAAACCTACTGCTGCTCCTTCTCAGTACAATCTACCAACTTTTCACCCATTTCCTTAGATTCGTTTGGCTGTGGCTGGGCTTTGCAGGTTGTCAAGTGTACAATAGAATAATTGCCGACGCTATGGAGAGACTTTATCGATATGCAAAGCAATAAATGTGATGCACTTCGTCTTTCTTGAAATAACAAAACCTATCAGGCAACTGCGAAACGCAGTGGGTATGATTAAGGCCTTTACGGGAGCATTTGCACATCACGTGGATGATTTAAAGTTAATGCTTAATCAGTAGATATTCACACTAGTTCCTAAATTGTGGAAGACGTTTATTTTAGTTTGCAAAACTAGATTTTTTAAAAAATTTGGCTGCAAAATTTTGCAAAACATGGTTCTACGACAAGAAAATGGTGTTACTCAATAGTTAGTTAATGGAAGCTGTACGAAACGCATGGTTTCGACTTAAACTGCAGAATGCGTCGTTTTCTTGTTCAGCAATCGCGAGGTTGTTAAACAGCAGGGTTTAAACAGCGAACAGTGAGGTTTGTTTGCAACAAGAAGAAACTCGTCCACCGTCTCGCACAGAACTGTTCGCCTTTGATGACCGCTTCGTGGCATATGGAATATGGATTTTGGTGTTTCCCATATTCCTGCACTCCATGCCATACTTACTACCTATCGCAACGATTAGGAAGGAATGAAGTCATAACTGTTAGAAAGGAGAAGAGATTTATTGCATTTCGCGTCTTCAACAAGGAATTGTTAGATTGCAACGATTGGTAGATTAGTGGAGTTCCTCTCGTATTTCCGAAATCGATCCATCTATATTCTAGATAGTGAACAAACACAGATCGGAAAGGTTCGAGGACTCATCTCTATCGTCAATTTAATCAATCCTGTGACAGTTTTATAAGAGCAGTTGATTTATTGGACTTTTCAAGGCAAGTGGAAAACGAGTACTCAGACCGGGCTAAGACGTCGAAAAATTTCCGTTGAATGTATGCCACATAGGAAGACATGGAAGCAATTCTTTTGTAACACGAAATAAAGACACCTGCAAGTAGAAGTATATTGTATTACGGTAGACCTAAAGAGGTACCGATGTGACTGTAATGAGTTCCAAGGATGACGCGCTCGATAAAGGGACGTATTCATGCTCTAGTAATTGGAATTCAAGTGTTTCGTTGACTGAGAGCGTGTTCTAAAGGTAGATCGTGTTAATTGTCGTGTGGAGAAAGATTGAAGAAATAACCCAAAAGACCGACTTTTTAAAACCTCGGAATAAATGAACGACATATCTATTTACATGAATGCGCCGTTTTCTTTAGTTGAAGTTCCGGCAGTATCGCCTTCTTCAAAGTCTGGAAGGGTAAACTGATATACAATTTACTAGGCCAAAAGCTTCAATAACACACAAAAAGGCGAAAAACTCTATGGTAATTACATGTTCAACAACTTCTCGAAAAAACCCACCGCTTTTTCGTGACTCCCAATGAGGAAGTTTAGAACAGCTGATTATAGTCGCATGTGGTTGATAACTGCACCATCCCACATCAAAACTTGATGCGAACATAGGGGTCAGGTCGCATATGACCTCTGGGCATTCATCCCTGCTATTCATGCACATTCCAGCTCACCTGACAAACACCCAAGTGTTCCTAGAAGGTCTACGTGACGCGTCTCCTAATAACGCGTACATGATGGAGTCTTTCGACGTTACCGCACTCTACATCAACGTGTCGAATGACTCCGGAATGCAAGCCATTTTCGAAATTCTTGTTGAACATGAAGGAAGAATAAATATGCATGGCTTGTCCATCCAGCAGCTAATGGATCTCTTAAAGGAGTGCCTAAACTTCTCGATTTTCAGATGCTCTGGGAAATATTTCGCGCAAATAAAGGGGTTGGCAATGGGACAGCGACTGGCACCAAGCATTGCCATTGTGTTTATGTCTAAGATAGAAGCCCCTGTCTTCGATCTCCGGCCACCACTCTACTGCATATATGTAGATGATTGTTTCGTCGTCTTCTCTACGCAGGAGGAGATGGACAAATGCTTCGAATTATTGAACGAGCAGTCCGAGTACATAAAGTTCACCCGGGAGAAACCGAGAAAAAATTGGCTTCCGTTTTTAAAAAATAAACCTATCAAGTAGCGGTTACTTGACAAAGTGGTACCGAAAGCCAAGTAACAAGAACATCTTAATTCAATTCCTTTCTTCCCACCCTTCATGCACAAAGAGGGCGATTGTGAGAAACATGTTTCGAACAGCCACCTCAGTGTGCACTACCAGGGAACTAAAGGAAGAGTCGCGCGGCATGGCTCGGCAAATAGCCATCTCCAATGTCAACGAAATAGTTACCTCACGAGATAAGTTTAGCAGGAGAGCGACCCGCCCACGCGAAACATTTGGCCAAAAGAAAGTCCCGTTTGTATTGCCTTTTATTAGCGATGAGGTAAGCGTAGCTATACAACGATGCTTAAAAAGGGCAGGTCTAGAGGAATCGGTAGCGATAGTTGAAATACCACCGGCTACTCTACGCCGTCAGTTAGTTCGTAATCTCCTGTATGACCGTCTATGTGAAACAACAAATTGCGCAATTTGCCCTTACGGCAGGGACGGTGATTGCATGAGTTCAGGTACGATATACCTGATCTCTTGTAATAATTGCTGAGATAAATATATTGGCGAAACGAGCAAACCTTTGTGTATGCGTATAAAAGAACACCTAGATGGCAAACGAAAACTAAGACGAAGCACCCCACTAGGCACGCATAGGATACAAAAGCATAGCGGAGACGATTTTGAAGTCAATATCCTTGCACAGGAGTCCAAAACACTAGCGCGAAAACTTCTTGAGGCTTTTTGGATAAATGCCAAAGAGCCTACAATGAATCGCAGCGATGAATGCCTAGAGGTCATACGCGACCTGACCCCGTATGTTCACATCAATTTCTGATGTGGGATGGTGCAGTCATCAGCCATGTGCGACTATACTCAGCTGTTCTAAACTTCCTCATTGGAAGTCACGTAAAAGGCGGTGAGTTTCTTGAGAAGCTGTTGACCATGTAATTACCAGAGAGTTTTTTGTCTTTTTGTGTTATTGAAGCGTTTGGCCTAGTAGATTGTATATCAGTATACCCTTGCAGACTCTGAAGATGGCGATACTACCGAAACGTCAGCTACTGTTGTATTGTATTGTGTTTCTCTATGGAAGTAAATGTATGCTGTTTAACAACATCGCGATTGCTGAATAAGAAAACGTCGAATTTGTATTCCAATGCCGAGGTTAATAGAAAGTCGATCCTGGGAACTTAAACTGCAGAGTTATTACTTTTTCTGGTTATGTTGCAGATCTAGGATTTGTAACGTGCGAGGTTAAGATCTGAAAGCGGTAACCAAAAATGGGTACGGAAAATATCGTCTGAAATGGAAGTTGCGAAAAATGGGCGCAGAAATGATATAAAATTAAAGTTCAACTTTTAAGTACCTAGAAAGGATTCTGCTAATTGATTTCATGGTCGCTCAAATTTAGATTCCACTGGTACACTATTATCACAATCAATAAGTGGTGAGTCCACGATTTCTGCAAAACCATTTGAAGAGTTAATGTCAGCTTCTTCGGCACCGACGTTAAGATCCCCACCACCAATAACCCGCACTGGGTACAGGTACATCGAATACTAGTGAGAGTTGTCATATTTTATGACTTGACATTAGTTATTGGTTAACATATTTTTAGTCCAAATGTGATCTCGCCACTCTGCTTGCCAGTACCGTACGACCCATGCCCACTATCACCGCCTACAATGCCGGATGCGATTGATGTTTCGACCGAATATTCTATGGTTCAGGTGGAAGCCTTACTTTCCTATTAACTTTTAGAGGAACACCATGAGACGGATCAGAAAGGCAAAGCTAGGTACTGCTGAACATGTTTGTCCCCGTTGTGCACCTCTGTTGCACAAAGTCTATGAAAAGCATCCCTTTTTGGAACGAAAAAGGTGTGGTGCCTTTCTTCACTTTTCTTCTTTGACGAGAATGTAACACTAGGAACCCCACTGGACTCTGATGTGATATAAAAAAGGATAAAGGATAAAGCTATCGGCGTTGATCATTACCTGAAGGATATACCATGCGTTCGACTTCATTAAGCATTGTTAGATGTGATTGAGTGCATATCTGTCGTTTACAATGACTAGCGATTGTCTATTAATGTGTCCAGACAGGGCTGCCATCCTCCCACGTAAATGTGGTATCATTTTCTCCACGCCATAAGTGTAGGGCTTGTTGACCCTGGGGCGCGGGATCAAAACCATATTTATTGCAGAACGCCTGTAACCAATTCGCTGCACCCGACGCTCTGATGTGAAATACCTCTATTTATTATTGCCTGGGGTTTTCGGTGGGAATTTTGAACTTTGAATTTGGACCAAATTGTTGTTGAGAAATGAAAGCCCTCTGCACATTGCAGCTGAGCATCCATGAACACCGTCGCAGTAAAAGAATGGCAAAGAATGGCAGGTTTGGAAAACTACCTGTACCGCCTTCTTGGGCGGCGCTAATAAAATCTTCGTCTGTCCTCCTAGCATGCAAGAGTGGCCCAGTGGATTGTGTTTTCTCTAGGAACTCACTGACACTTTCTCCTAAGGTGTTCAAGAAGAAATTTGTCTATTAGGTTGGTGATCACAAGCGACTTGCACATCGCTTGTGGTTAAGACGCATAACACGCCCAATCCATTCAGTTTTCAATATTTTGGCTTGTAAAGCGGCACATCTGATTTTTTATTATTAGTGCAAGTTGTTCTGTTGATTGTGCTCTGGAACATAGAGTGGTTTTTTGTCATGCTTGCTTGTATCCAGGTTTACTACGCGTACGTTAACAAAGAAGGAATAGTAGAGTCGGAAATGTGACCATCGTGTTTCCTGTCATTTTCACTACATCCTCGATGATTTTTATGCTCCTCAACCCTAGAATTTCTTTCTGGTCAGCTTTAAAACTAAGCTTCACGATGATTTCTCGACCCACACACGTAACTCTACCATTCAGAGATATTCATTCCGTTGAGTTTTTTCTCTGGCAGGTCATGGCTGGACTTCTGTTTTCAAACTTATGGCTGAATTTCGATCTTCACACAAAGTGCGAGCGATAATCTCATCTATAGAGCACTGTTGTTGGTGGGCTATTAAATAGGCTGTTAATCTTCTCTCCTAAAAGTGATTTACGATGGAATAGCTGTGCTACAACAGGAGCTCAGTAAGGCGGCTTTCACACTTGGAGTGTCAGATGTGCAGACATAAATTTATAGCATACCTGATTCTGAAAACAGGGCAATAGAGCTATGTGTTGGTCATGCAGTGGTCGGACCAGCATTTACGGTCAGATCCTGAAGTGTCGGCTCTAAAGGATTTTAGGTTGTCATCAACGACGTACACACCGGTGTTTGTGGTGTTTTTATGACAAGGAGGGCTGTGATCATTTTTGAATAGATGTTTAGGATGCTTTGACGGATGACCACCACTATGCAACCCTCGATTTCTGTACAACGACGAATCAAAGATTTCTTGGGGAAGAGATGTCGAGGACTGTAAAGAAAGACAAAGAGGTATACCCCTTCACGAAAAACCAAGCCGGTCAAATTTTTGGCTCAAAGTGTGTTAATATTTTGTTTCGGACGTAAATTTTCTAAAATTGTTGGTCGACCATAAATTTCCTTAAATTTCGTGTCCTAGTATTCGCTGGGGTTGAGATGTAGGCTTACTCATTCTAGCATAAAGGGCTGAGAACATTGGTTTCAATGTGCGGAAATCATAGCCACTTTCTACATTAATCCAATGTATCTCAGTTCGTGGTGAACTTCGTTAACGATAATCGAAATGTGATCCATAGAAATCTATAGAGTCTTGCCAATAAGGTGCAAGTTCTCCTTTTGCAACAACAAAATACTGATTTGCTGAGTGAACAGTCAAAATTCTGTAGAACTGGCATAGATCGTCGTTAGCAACGTTCTCAATTCTTATAGTATTCCTTTTAAGCACTCTCTACGCCCGGAGATCTTTTTGTATCAATCGAGCACGGAACCGTCAGCCTCTCCACCCACTACGATTAGTCAACCGTCATCTGCAAGTATGTGCCACGAAGCTACTTTCGAAACTACTTTCTTTGAACCTAGACATTTTTTCTTTATGAAACTTTATTTTCTTAATTATATTTGTTCTTTTAGTAGTACATTGTTATGGTATGCAGGTTCACTGACGTCGACACGACGTAGTGGTGATATTGCTGAACTAGAACAGCCGGCGCTACCAAAGCCACCAGGACTGAAACCTTGTTCGCAGCGGACTAAAACATCGTCAATGAAACCGCGAATTCCTCCAAAACCCACTACATCTTTAACTCTCCAGAGAATGACGTGTTCTATGCCTTCGCGTTCGATCACTATGGATGTCATTAACCGTGAATCGGTTATGAAAGCAAGACAGATTTTTACACAGACAGATGCTAAATTGCCTGCATTAAGGCATTCTCTGAGTGTAGAATCATTTGCGGACCTTATGGGTGAGAAGAAGAAGAGGTTCCGCTTTGTAAGGAAGGTCGCCACCTCTTTTCGTTTCAAAAAATCTGTGGAGGTGGAACGAGTTGTTGAGAAATCGATTAATTTGCCATCTAGCGGCTCTAGATCATTGCCGCAAAGTCCGCAAGTGGAACGTAAAGCAAGGAAACCGACCTATATCGGTGAGATTTCCATAACGCAGTATTTGCAGAGTAAGAGTGCCGAAATATGTTGTTTTCCTTCACTACTCTGTAAACGATGTGTGAACCTATGCGTGACAAATAACGAGCGAGGCGTACTGGTTTCAATGCGCAAGTGTCCGATATTATCCGAAAATATTCGCACCTTCCATTCGAAACCAGAATGTCTCAGCTCTTGGTCAACTTTGTTAATGGGAATAAAGATCTTTGCTTTAGGTCCATCTGAGAAAACAAACGCGTTTTCATGGCTCTCATCGAGATCACCGAAGCGTACACAAAAGGCAGTTGTTGCGGTAGTGTTTCAGGCATTCCAATGTTATTTTCTTTAACAACTCTAATAATTGACATGTGTAGGGTGTCGTGGGTGCTACAGATACGTTGCAAACATTGGCTAAGAAAAACAGTGGTATACCTCTGTTCCTCATGCGTTGCATCGAATTCATCGAGAAGGTAGGTGTTGGGCTGTTAAGAAACTGCAGATTGGGCTACACCAATACATCAACTGTAATTATCTACCAGAGATTCCTTTTCGATTATTGCAGTGACTTTCCTGCTTTTTACATTAGCGATACAATATTCGCCTGTGATAGAGGATCCTACTCGTGCGCAGATGATTGGTTTTAATCTAGCAAATGTGCCAAAGCATTAGGATGAGCTCAATCTTGTTGAGTTGGATTGGGTTTGCAGATCACCAAGTTTGTAACATTGATTCTGAATGAGGGGCAACATGAGTGATTAGTGATTTGGAAAACCAACTTTCATTTAAGCTCGGAATTTATAGTAAACTTGTATAATACTACGAAGTCTCATTGGTAAGCTGACACAAGGTTATTAACACGGGTTTTTGATGTTCATTGGCTGACATTTGGGAGTTTTGCGTTCTTCAGGTCCTAGGCGATTTGTCATATATCGTTGTCCTTATTATTCGTTGAATATTCTACAGACGTAATGGGAATCTAATGCACAAATCAACACATAATCTGTTGACAACTGTTAAATTTATATGTTTACATATATGAAATTATGTATGATTTTATGTCATCTTATATATACATATATATGCATATATATAAATATATGTATGTGTGTATGCATGTGTACATATACATATGTAATAAGTGTATATATATATATGTGTTTGTAGGGCTTGCGTACAATCCATGATGCCGACCAAGATTTCCTTAAACTTCCTCAAGTTTCAGGATGGCGGTCTGCAGACGGAAGGCTTATACCGTGTGCCGGGTAATCAAGCTCAGCTGTCTGAACTTGAAAAAGCATTTCGTGAAAAGGTATTATCTCTCATGTTTATTTTCAGGAAAACCAAGGACATTTGCTTCCACTTTGTTTATTTCAATGTGTATTTATTTTGAACATTAACATTTCGCCTTATATTACTCACTACAACAATTTGTTTAGCTGAACATTCAAGGCTTCTAGAGTTCTTAAGTGCTCATTAGCGATTGCACGATTGTCCATTTATCAAATATTTCCCATCTTTACTGTACAACGTCTTCTACGTTTACGTCAAAATGAGTCATATAGGACTCATTTTCTTTTCGATCGCTTTGTTTGCGTGCAAAACTTCGCTTTGATCTTTGATGCAGCATAAACGTTGCGCGAATGTCGGCGCAAAACAGCAGTATTCTTCTGCAATTCACCCATTACAGTTTTTACAGTTCCTGTGGCGACCGTGTGAGACGACGTTTTGTTCCCTCAGGCCCCATATATTGGTGATAAATATACTGTGATAAATTATTCACATAAGAAATTTCAAACGTAACACGCTTACAGCATGAGCCTTTTGGCCGAATAAAACAGTTTATACATTGGTGGATCCCACTAGCTATTGTGTAGGGCAAATATGCATTTGATCAATTCTATGATTAACACCAAACACATGACGATGTCGCCTCTATAGGATCCATGCATAGCTAAGAGGGAGCATGTGGCCGGTGCGACCTCATTTTTATTTCACTCAGTTTATTTAGGCGCTACAAACTGTTTAGTTACATGGTTATCTTGTGGAAAGAAGCGCATACATCGTCGTGTCTAGAAGCGCCTAGCAATGCGCGCGCACCAACACACTGTTTTGACCACGCGACCAGGGCTTAAAAAGCCTTCCATCCCTTTCTATTTGGCAAATTTGTACTAATTCTATCTGTATAGAGAGCATTCTTCGTAAATGAGGTATGTTCTCTATTAAGTCATACTGTATCAGATCAATTAGTCATCTCCTAGGAACAATGTCGTCTGTAAACTTTCTCATGACGATCTGATAAGCCATATGTAAAACATTTGATACGTTGTTATCTTATGTAAACACTCGCGGCTACAGTATTATGTGTGCGTCTTACCTGATCGGATTGTACTCTGTGAGAAACGTTCCAACACTTCTTGTTGGCAAACTATATCTTTATCCCATCTGGCCTAACTCCGCTCACTATTAAACAAATATAATCAGCCCATCAATTAGCTTTCTTAGTTCGTCCAGTTCGTCCAATTCTTTCGTTCAGTTCGTTCGATTCGTCCAACCGTGTCACTCTAATCCACCTCGTATACTTCGCATCGCTGTTATTGTGCTGTCATTATTGTTACTACAATCATAAAAGTTATAACCCAGGTGTCAATGCGTTCAACTCAGTGACTTGCACACGGAAGACCCACGTAGCGCCTACAAAGACTAATATGCTCAACTACTTGGTATTCATATAAACTTGTGAACGTCACAAACAGTGCGAGGATAACAACTCTGATTGGATACATTGGTAGACCACAGCAAGTCATTGCAGAGGTCAAACATGCATTGACTCATCTCTAACGATGTCTGACGAAAATGAATGCATGGCGCATTCCTCAGGGATTTGTCAACGCCGCCACCTTTATCCTTTTATCTTTTGGAGTGGGCGAGAAGAAAAAAGTGCCGAAGTAGATGCAATATAAATTGTAAAACATTTCAAAATGCTGAGGGCATTGTGCTTGCATGATGGATCACAGTAACATACAGTAAATAGTGGCATACGCTGTCGAATGCATGAACACGCTCAGGATAAACTAGGGCCCAACACTTTACCCTGTATTCTCATTCCAACTGGTAAAGTTCACTATGAGCAGATTATCTTTATCCACTTCGTGTAAGCTCATAAAAGAAAGAACCATCGAAGATGTTTTGAAGAAAACAAAAAATACTCGACTCTGTTTCCACCTTTTCGACTCCACGGTTCTTCTTGCCTTAACGTATGCGTCAGAAATCTGGTCGTTGCCTAAGCAAGATGAAAGGTGACTCAGAGATATTAAACGCGCGGTCAAAAGGATGAATGCTATGAGTATCCCGTGTCACACAAGTAAAGGAAGGGATCCGAAGTTCCGGCCGGCTTCAACGGATAGTAGTCAAAGATGACTTTCTATACACCAAGCTGTCGAAGATAAGGTGGGCCAGACACGTATTGCGTGTGAGTGACAACCGGTGAACAGGGCCGTTAGTGACTTGGTTCCTCGTTATGTCAAACGTACTGCAGAAAGACCACCGATTCTATGGTCAGAGTTCTTAACGAGAAGTCTAGAAGAAAGATAAGATGCACAACGAGTTTCTAGAGCAAGCGGAGTCCATCGGTCTCCTCTTGCAGCGAAAAATGGAAAGTTCACTGGCGCCCGCATAAATCACTCGACCATTAACGGGAGAAAATGTGATACAGGTGATAGAATTTCCCTGTCTCCTTGGATTAGGCGAAATCACTGTACAGGCTGTATTGTTGCAATTTCAATTCTAGTTGCTGCTGGTTCGTGTTGTGATCTATACGCATTCTGCAATTTCAGGCTAGTGATTCCGCATGTTTTTTAATTCGCGTTGAGTCCTCGAATGTGTGGGATCGTTGGCTCTCTGGAATCACCATCTTATGGCTGAAAGAGTTTTGCTAGTCCATTAGCAATGAAGACATGATGTCATTCCGCATCAAAAATCGGCTCTATTAGTTCCTGTTCCATCTCATAAGGGTTGCGGACCTCCGACTATCATGCTAAGATATGACGGCAGAATCCATGCTTCTTTGTAGCATGGAAAACGATGTTATCCTCGTGTTACGTCTTATCCGAAACATCTTATATTGATTCTTATACGTTTTATATTGATTTGTGATAAATTGCGCTTCTTTTCTTTTGGTGCGGTGTTTGATAGTTTCGCAGTTGTTCTCGCTTTGTCACTTGTGGTATTTCCTTTTTTCTGGGTTTGTATTCAATTAGCAAATGGTGGTACCTACAAATATTATATCCTCCCTTGCAATCGGATAACCAATGGAGTAATGAACCGCAACCGTAGCTGACTTTGCGAGTTTTAATGATTTGTGTTTTTTTCTATTGCGCTTGTTTTCGTATCCTCTGGTCTATGTAGTGCTTTCTGCCGAGCATATCCTTAGTCCTTTGTTAACATTTTTAGTTGTAGAGTTTGTAAGATTAGAGTATAGATAAATTCTCTTTTCTCATGCAATTGTGTAAATGTCGAATTAAGGGTTCCGAACAGATTCTGCTGATCTTCAAGGCGTTTGCTTTGTGCTTCTATTGCATGCAGTCTGCAGAGCAAGTGACGGCCGAGGGCTTGTTTATTGTCGCATTTTTGTTTTAGGTGTGTTATCACTATTGGATAAGGTTTGCGGGATGTGTGGTATCGTTTCAAGCATTCTTTTGCTTTTCCCTGAAGAGCATCCAACGGATAAGGTTTCTAAAACTTTTTTGAAGATTGCCCGCCAAGCTAGAGTGCACAAGTGCTCACCAAAACACTTCTCACTTCCTTGTATCTCCAGTGAACTGCGGAATAGAGATAGGTGGTTAATGTCTTAGTGCTGGAGCGATGTGTGAGTGATCCTTATTAATGCCTTTCCTGCTGTCTAGTTTACTCCCAGATTGTAAGGACTAGAGAGTTAGTATTCTATCTTGTCGAGGTGCTCCAGTATTCTACTTTAGTTTAGTTTTATACATTGCATTAGTTCCTCTGGTATTGGGGTTTGCGACCCGAAGCTGTCTGCAGATGTAGTATGATTGTTGTCTGCTGCCTGGAAATCATTGGTTTTATAGTGCCTTTTCGTGTAAAGATGTGTTTCGTTCGTCGTGACTAGTCGGTGAGGACGTCTACTGGAGTGCTTACTCGTTTTGTTGCATGTTGGATGAGAATTTGATGCTGTAAATCGCCTTCGTCAGTGCACTTAGGCGTGAGGAAGGGTGTTCGACGTTGATCACTTCTTATTTACCGCCTTTTACAAGTTTTCACGGCAGGGTATTATTTGTGAAACAACCACAATGACGCTTAGATATTTGCAAAACTTCGGACCGCAGGTCTCTTCGGTGAGGAACGAAGGCGCCATTGTCCTTTCCGGGGAGTAACGCGTTCACCACCACGGAAAGAGCAAAAGCTCGTTCGTTCCTCACCGCAGACACCTGCAGTCCGGAGTTTTATATCTTCTTAGCGTTATTGTGGTTGTTTCACAAATAATACCCTGCCGTGAAAACTTGTAAAAGGCAGTAAATAAAATGTGAACATTGTGAATTTCAACTATAGTCTCAGCTTAACTAGATTCAACGCCGATTTGGGCTCCTCAGATCAATCCCGTTGACGGGTGGATGCTGATGGTAGTGATCGATAAATCTAGCTGAGAAACGGACGAAACGAAGGATCCGCATGGTGTGGTGGTGAACGCGTTACTTCCCAGAGAGGGCAATAGTGCGTTCGTTCCCCACCGCAGACACCTGCGGTTCTGAGTTTTGCAAATATCTCAGCATCATTGTGAGTGTTCGACGCTGTTCCCTTTTTCTATATAACGAAAGCACGTACTTGTACGTAGGTTTCTTGCTTTGAGGTTGTCCCTGTTGCGGCCTGCTTGACTGAGCGTCGCTTATTCCTTTGAGTTTGAATCGGCTGAGCCAACACACCAAATGTATTAGTTCGTCACTCGAAAACAGGTCCTCGAGGTGGAATACTTAACTTTTGACGAATTTCCCAGCAAGCAAAATGAAGGATCACTCAATGTTATTGAGCGCACAGTCGAAAAGATGATACTAAGAGTATCCCGTATCAGCCAAGTAAGATAGGCATCCAGAGCTGTGACCTACATCAATGATCATAAGCGAACGGTGCCGTTCTATACGCCAAACTGTCGAAGACAATATGGGCCGGATACCTAATGTACATTTATGACAACCAATGGACAACAGTGGTTAGTGACGGAGTCCTTCAATGCACAGCAGGAAGATCGCTAACCCTATGGTCAGATTTCTCCACGAAAACTCTGGAAGAAAGATATGGTGCTCAAAGAGTCTCTAGATGAGTAGAACCCACTGGGCTACTCACATAACAGGAGGGAGAGAGATGATACAGGTGTTACCAGTCAATACAAAAGTCCTGCAATACTCGCTGATTCGATCACGTGTCCAATGTTCACCAAGTCTTCCATCCTTCTGTGGTCGAAAAATTCGTACTAGACTTGTCTGGGAGGAGAGCAGCACTGGCTTGATACATTGTTAAGCCACTGCAAGTCATTTTGTAGGCTAAATGTGCATTCATTCATCTCTAACGTTGGCTAATGAAGCGAAAATGTATGGCCTATTTCTTAGGGATTGGTGAATGCTGAACACTTTATCCTTTTATCCCGCGTGCTAACCAAATGAGTTTTCCTATAAGCACCACGAGGGTCTTGTCAGTGCATACACAGGTTTACCGATGTGCATAATTTTTTGCCATCCCTATTTCAGAATATGGACTGATCTTGAACAACTTGTCTTATTCATTATAGCTTGAATTATCGGTAAATTGGAGGTGCTCCACTACCATTTCAAATCTTTACCGTATCTCTCTGTCTAATCTTTGGACCGAAGATGATTGGATTCGAAAAATGGACGGTCTCTTCAATAATCTCTCAACTTTGGCGGATTAACAATTTCTTTCTGATTAGTGATATTTTCATCTCTTCAACAGTTGTCGATTTTCATAACTCATTTTTAACTTGTCCGTATATTTTCGTCTCGTCTACAACTAACACCTAAATGTCAACCATAAACAATTTGTTCGAAAGTTTGGTTTTATATATAGAAGCAGAAATAATTGTTTAACTTCAAATTCACAGCCACATAAAATCGAGCTGTAATAGTGGGCCACATAGTTTGCTCACTGTCTTTACCAGGGTCATCGATTACCTCGTCGTCATAAATTAGTCCTGATCCACTGATTCATTTTCTTCAAAGCTTTCCACGAAGACCACAAGAGGTTCCGGATTTTTTTCAGCGTCTCCATTGTTTTATTGTTCAGTTTGATGAGCAGTCAAGTTAAACTCATTTCATCTACTGTTGACATAATTATGAGTCAGTGGTTATCGTAAAGAATCGACCGGTATAAAGAGCAAGGGTATAGAAGGCAAAGGAGCCAAAATATGTTTTGCACACTTTGCAAAACCTTTCTGATAGTAAACAAATGTGCGAACAGGTTTTTTGGACGATGGACGAGTTCTTTTTTTCTTGTTACACTCAAGATTTCGATATATTCCAAAGCGGTGGATATACCGATGCAGGACACAGAAGATTCATAGCACATGTAAGGCTGCAGAAACAAGAGTATCGTATGCACCGGATTCAGTGCACAAAACGCGAAGCTGAAACTTACCTGTATTCCCATGAGACCGTCGCATAAAATTAAGTTTGGTAGTATATATATTACCAATATGTAAAATTCGGTTTTCGGATGGATTTGTTCTACCAATTTGAATTTCGGTGGTTGTTGCTTGTGGGACCCATAGCGAAACGCAGACAGGCCGGTCACATAATAAGAACAGACGACGGATGGACGAAAAGAACTGTAGAGGGGACTCCACGAGAATGTAGGAAACCCTTAGGATGGCCACCTACACGCTAGGCGGACATGTTCGTAACCAAACTTAAGCGGCTGTACTCGCAGCCACAGTTGTTCCACAGATCGCTGTATGGGACTCGTACGCGCCAACATGCTCGAATGAAACCACTGTCATGGACGACGATTGCGAGTGAAAGAAACAAATGACATATGTGCTGGCATCTGCGCAGCTCGTGAAGGTGGGCCGTCCAAGTGTACATGCTGCTTGTGAGACAGTTCTATAATGTCTCTGCTGTTTGAACATTTATAGACATCTAGCTACGGATAAATCGTAAATCATTAAGGAGGCTCGTATAGATGTTACTAAGAAGTAGATATCATCTTCAGAGTGGCTAAGTGTTAACAGAATATGCGATCATCATTATGTTTTCATACATATATAGTGTGTCTTTGAAAACATTAGAAGTTCTCAACTGTGAGATTATCCTCAGAATTTGACACTGAGATTGTAAATGTTTTACTCAAAACATACTAATTTACGATCTGCAGTTTACAATATACATATAAAAGGATTAACGATAAGGCTGCCGGCAATAACCAGTCTTTGATGGATGCACCATGCATTAAGCATCGTTAGAGGTGATTGAATGCATATCTGACCTATACAAGAATCCCTCATGACAGTTCGACCGGAGGACTCATCTTGTTATCTTCATTGTAGACTTCTTTCTTAACCAAATTCGATGTGTCCCAACAGCTTTCCAAACGTGCCTCTTCGCATGACTACGGCAGGCGGATGGCATGGATAAGCAGCACTGTGATTTCTATGGTAGGCAGTCACATCACAAATTTCAGCTATAATTAATTTACAGGAATGTGTTGTTCAAACGCGCTTGCACATCTACTTCAAATTGTTAGCCATCAAAGATTCACCTATCACGCTGCATGAAGCTGTCCGTTCATTGCTGGCTCAGCACCATTATCTTCGTACTCAACATCCTATTCACTTTCTTCATAGTCTTCCACGTGGAGCACACGAAATGTTTCAGCCTCAATGACTTCAGTTTGCCAAATGACTGTGCCTAGGGTTGACTTTACTTATTGTTACTTTCTTTATTATGAAAATTTATGTGTGACCCTAAGTTTGACAAATAACTAATGAGGTGTATTGATCTCAATGTGCACGTACCTCAAAACAATTTGCATCGACGCAAACCTCTCAGATCTCAATGAACTTCCTTGATTGGAATAAAGCCACTAGAATCTAAGGATTTGTGCTAACAAGTCTTAAATTTCCTTATTTTGAGACTCTAAAATACAAGCACTCTTGTTTTCTGGAACCAAAAATATTTCTCTATTTCTTTTTTTTTTATCGAGGTCGTCTTCATAGATAAGTAGAAAACAATGGTGCTTTCAGGAAAATAACTCAAAGTGTCCTACAAAAGTCCTTGATAAACACTTCAAAATCGAAAAATCATAGCCGATTGTCGAAAATCCACAAGTGCTTACGGTTTTTCCTCATCACATTCTTCTCTTTTTAAGTGGCTTTGCAAACCTTTCTCTTCTCACTTTTTTCCTCGTCATATAAATGCTGAAAATATTCCTAGCGAGTAGGATAAGGACGTAGGTTAACGTAAAGGATACATAGAATATGAATAACAGAAATAACACAAAAACTGCAAATGAAAGTCGAATTATAAACTCAAGAAACACAACAGAAATCGTGATCGTTTCCTCAGGAACCACTTTAGCCGACATCTGTCACAACTCTTGCCACAGGCATCCGAAAATTACGCGGTCACTACTCTGAGAATACTGAAAATCTTTCTTAAAAACATCGTCACTGCTCACATTATAGTTATGCATTCCATTATTGCGGAACTCCATCATAACTTTCAGAAAATGTTCTGTTGTTGTCCAGTATGTTTATTAAGCTGTACTTAAGGGTGATGTAGATATCGCAACCCTTGACATGCCTGTGCATGTGGTCGCAACCGCGGTAAAGAATTTCCTCAGCTGTCTTTCTGAGCCACTAATACCTATCAGTCTACAGAAGGACATTCTGGACTGTTTAAATGGACCAAAGGTGAGTTGAGAGACCTGAGTTTTCATTTGAATGAAAAACTAGAGGTCCACGTTCACATTATTGGCTGGTGGAATGAGCTGTTAGCCTCGATTGATATTGTTTAGATAATTGAGCGCCTGCGAATGATAATGGATAGGCTGACACCGGTGAATCGCAAAGTTCTCGTCTATTTCACTTCGCATTTACATCGAGTGAGTGAAGTAGGTCCTCATAGAAATATAGATAGAAAAGATGCTCTTAAAGAACTTATTTGTAGGTTGCCTCTTCACCAAACACCGCCATGGACATTCACAACCTATCAAAAGTATTTTTCCCAACGTTATTCAGGTGGGGAAATTATGAACAACGTGTTTTATACTTTCAATGCAATTTCGTTCTAGCGGTACCACCAAAGTTCTAAATATAGCATACCATCATCGAAGGAGCACTAACAGTATACTAATGTTAGGAAGAGTAGCAATATGGAAGACAAAATTAGAGAGAAAAAAATCATCCTGGAACTTAAAAAATGGGTTTTGGTCCTTCTACCTTCGAGGATCATATTTAAAACACCAAAGCGCAGGATTCCACCCAGCTGAACGTAATGGTGTCCTTCAATGCATCGTTGCTGGTTGCGACTACATCACCTTGCGTTCGTTTGTTTTGCCGCATACTCTTACGACATAAATATATGTAAGCATATACTATGTATAAATACTATACGTTTAATATATTTTATATATATATATATATATATATATATATATACGTATAAACATTATATGTATAGTACGCAAGATATATATATCGCAGTTGCTAGCGGAAAATAGGCCTTCGAGTCAGTTCTCGGTACCGAATAACCACTAGCTTTGAGCAGAATGCTCGACTTCGTGAGAAGACGTCACGCGGGACTTTTCGTAGTTGACACAGGGCAAAACCTTTCGACACTGGGATTAAACCTTTATATACATAAGTGCAACACCAATACAACAGGAATAACGATGGAAAGATACTGGCGTAAGAATGAAACAATGAAGTGGAATGGAAGACTCGATAGAGACTCCCAAATCACGGTGCTAGTGCGTGACTACGTCCAAACGAGTGTCGTTGGTCGTAGGGTAAAGGCTCGGCAGCGGGGTCTATTCCCCAAGCAATAAGACGTACCCAACAGCTTGCCTGGTGGTGTGGCTGATGGTTACGAGACGCTATATCTAGTGTCGTTGTGGCAAAGGCCCTCTTTATCAGCTTATTGAATGTGTTGTTAGGTAGATAGAGAATTCACTATTTGGTAGAGGAATTCTCTATACGAAGTTCCTTAGGATGGGATTTTTACTGCTGTACTTTTGGTAACCATTCGATAACATGTCGAAAGCAGATCAGTATGTTGCGCATCGGACTTGGGAATACATTGCTTTGTGGCAGCCAATACGATGTCTCCTATTTTGTTTCCAATACACAGCTAACTTGAAGGAGGAGGACAATTATGACTGAATATTACAAGAGCAACTGAAAGTAAATAAGTATGGATTTATGTTCTACATGACTTAACGCGCTGTCTTGAATATGCGGTGAATTTGGGGAACTATGCTGTAATCGACATTTCAGACCTCAATTCAACGATTTTGTCGAGATGTCTACTGGTACAGCTAAGTTCCAACAAGCAACGGAAGTAATACTTCAAAATGCTTATGAGATCTTCCAGACGCACTAAGCAGAATCTATGCGGGTCTAGTGTGTGACCTGGTTCCTTATTAGTAACATCAAGTTATTGTTAGTACAACACTATTATATGATTGCTAGTTGGTAGTTTTCACTCACATACGATTACAGAAGCATTTTCTAATCTGTACCAAGTATATAAAAAAGTAGACCATTAATGTGATAGTGTTACACTAACCCCTTTTCTATAGCATAACCCATCTTCCTCTAAACTGGTCGTAAAGTGGTTCTTTCGACCCTATCTATGTAAACCTCGCGTAGCCTTTACCTCTAAAGTGATATTTACCTTTCCTTAAGTGAATCAGTTGCTCACCTTACTAGAGCTTAAGGATCCCTATGTAACAGATTAAGTCATCGTATTAAGTCTAGTCTTGTTAGAACATACTGGTCTTTTTAATTATAAAGCTCCTCCAGAGTTCTGCATATGTGAATATCGTCTAAGTCTTATGCATTTGTACTTCAATAAATGTCGATTTCTCGATCCTCCAGTAGTAAATCTTTGATAATTGTACATAACCCAAAGGAAAACCTTTAAAAAGAACGATATACAAAAATATGTGTGACCAAATGGAACATATAAACATAAGTGCGCAGAAGTGGTCTCCGTTGAAGTTTAAAACTTTCATTGGGGAGGGAAAAATTATCGTTTCTCTTCTGTTTAGTTCGCATCAGGCTTCCTCTGGTTAAGTAACTTGGTCATAACAACATCTGAGGAGCTAACAATTAAAGAAGAAACAATAAGTGCGGAACGGTATACCGTAGAAATAATTCATATGACACTCATAATCAAACTAATTATCTGTCTTGCCAAATTTTTCCGAATCCGCCTCGATCCGGATCATACTGCTCTCGGTATTCATCTCGTACCTAAACAGTGAATAATGCTTGTAGAATAATCGTGTTCAGTAGTACCACATAGTATCAACACTGTTCTCACCTGACCACCGTGTTTTCCTCTTCCATATTGCCGACCTTCGACAAAACCTGCGTCATAATCTACTCGAATCATTCTACCGTCAAGCATTGTACGATTTAGGAAGCGTACAGCATTTTCCGTATCAGCTCGAGTATAATAGCTAAATAGGAAAAAAATATTAATTTTTAACCACGACTTGATTATAATAACATCATGTGGATAAGGAATAAGGCTCTCGGAATTGATCAATCCCTAAGAGAAGCGCTGTGCATTCGACGTTATCAGACATCATTAGACGCTACTGAATGCATATCTGGCTCATACAATGGCTCGCGGTGGCTTAGTGATGTACCGTAACATCCTCACACTCACAGATAACTCCCATAGCTATCCGCCAACCGCAAATCGATGGAAGGTTTGTTGATCCCAGAGTGCGGGATTGAACTAGCGACCAACCCACTGTGTGTGGCAGCGGATCTCTATCCACAGCGCTACACGCATCCTTACATGGCTGTGAGGTAACAAAATCCATCTATTTCGCATATATTAGTTGTCATTTGTAGCTGAGAAGGCAGACATTCAATATTAGATTTGAGGAGGCGTTCAACTCGTTTAACAACACGATCTGTGGTATTACAAACAACTTACAATCTGCTCCAGCCATATATGTGAATCATACCCTTTACTAAGTAATACGTGGAAACACTATAAAGAGACCATTTCGCAACCTTCCAGTGATTTTCTAAGCAATGCGTATTCATACCACTATCGAAAGAGATGCTGAGTTTTGCTGAGATAGCAATATATTCGAAAAACCCTCCTTCAAACCAGTCGTAATGGTTTTACAGAATGACGAAGTTTGGAATTTCCTGCAACATCGAATTTCGTCGTACAAAATGCCACAGCATAACTAAGAAGAAATGTGGAAGGCCACAATAAGTCCCTCATTTTCTTCAGCGTCTCCTTATTAACTTTCGATGAGGAGTCCACTGACAATGAAGTTGGATTTGTCTTCAGGAGACACGATTCAAAGAACTATCGTTGGTTCCAGCCCGCCACGAGCAAGTCAAACCACCCATATTTCCGGAGTCAGTAAATTGGCACTTGACTTGTGTTGAGAGACTTCCATCCGATCTACAAAGGCAGTCGACTGTCTGGGGTGAAAACCTAAAGACGTTCTAGGAAGACTATGCTGGAATTCAAGGTAGAGTTGTTCATCATTCAGTGACATTCTCCAAGACAAAGTCCCCCGGTGCGGTCGAGTCAATGAACCGATTGAAAGAAGTGGTGGAATCCCTATAGTGTATAAAAACGGGTCCGACAAATAAATGCATGGATTACAATCTTCTAACATCCACAGTTTTTCAAATCTTCACGTTGTCGGCTTTTATTGGAACAAAGCAAACAAAAACTGTCATTATATTGGCTGCAAGAAAAGCAGACACTAGCAAACTATTTACAGAGTTCTTTAATCCGGTGGAAACTCTCAACCAACAAGACACTTGCACTTGTTCTTTGTTCTTTTACGTGCGGGATACTGGTGGAATATGACTCTCCTCTGAAGGGCAAGAAGGGCTCTTCAATACACACGTTTTTGTTTCTACTTAGATTGTAGGTATATGTCATTGCCATTTCTTTTGTGAAGTTCGATAAGTAGAGTGTTATTGTAAAACCTATCCTGTCCATCACATAAGGTGCTGCCGGTTAAATTAAATTAAGTCAACATCCTTTCAAATTATAATGTTAATCACAATTTTAACCCTTTTATTTACTGCCTACTCTTTTTAATGGCAAGGTATATTGCAAAATATAACTTCAATGATATTGAAACATTTGCAAAACTCCCGACCGCAGGTGTTTGTGGTGGGGAACGAACTCGCTATTGTCCTTTCCGGGGAGTAACGCGTTCACCACCACACCATGCGGGTCCTTCGTTTCGCCTCCTGTGGTCCGGAGTTTTGCAAATATCTCAGCATCATTAAAGTCATGATGTTAACAATCCAATAGGAAATTTCCCAACACTTGATAGGGTACAAAGAGGTATACAGCAAAAACAAAATGAAGGTGGTGCCTCAATTTTTTCTTTGGAATGGAGTCGAACACAACGAACCATGTGTGTCAAACCAGTGCATACAGCATGTGGTAAAACAGAATTCACTGATGAACTCCATGGAAGATTATGAAATTTAGCGCTTATGTTAGGAAATGAAACACACAATTTACGAATTGTAGGAGGAGATGTATTATCCTAATTTACTAATGTATTGTATAAAAAACTAACATTATAAAACAAAAGCCGCATGGGCTCTTTTTGAAACGATCCAGACCCATTATTACACGCTTAACCTCTCCAGCACGGTTGAACAGTTCATATAGCTGAAATGAAGGATAAGATACGACAAAGAGGTCAAAACACAATATTTACAATAAAGTAAAAAGAAACAAAATATTATATGGTGAAGTAAATGAACATGAAACCTGGTCTTCACTTGTATAGAACGACAAGTTTCCCACATACAGTGTTGTTGATGTACGTAATGCAAGATCCTGCTCTTTTAGCGTACCCTGACACATCAGTGAAGAAAGGGTTGCACGTAACTCAAGAAAGCAGTAAAACAACACATCTCTAGTGAGTGAAAATGCCCTAATAAGTGAAAATACCGTAACAAGCTTACTTGGAACCGCTGGTCGCGGTACTCACTAAGTTGGCCCACACTTTCGGGATGACGAAGAGCGAACATTTCTGGAAACGATGTTATACACACTGTTTTCTGGATGAGCAAACACGAGCTTCTTAACAACAAGACTTACTCAATACGATACTGGATGATGTTTAGGCGGTTTCAGCTCCCTCAAGCCTAGAAGAGTAAAACTGACAAGCAATCCAAGTTAGCCAGTATTGTATTGAATAAATCTTGCTGTTAACCATCTCTTGCTTGCTCATCGACAAAGCAATTTATTATTTATCAATGCTGAGATTAGAAGAAAGCCGGCCCTGAGATATTACACATATGAAATTAGGAAATATAAAGCTAAAGGATAAAACTCTCGGCGTTGATCAATCCCTAAACGACGCGCCATGCATTCGACTTCATAAGTAACCTTCGAGGTGACTGAATGCATATCTGGCCTTTACAATGACTCGCAGTAACCTATCGACATATCGAGCAAATGCTGCTATTCCCCAGACAAGTTTGGTTCCAATTCCAATTCGCCAACCCCAGAAGGATGGAGGGTTCGGTGGACCTCGAGAACGTGGACCGATCCCGTGTGTTGCAGCGCGCCCCCGACCACTGCGCTACACGCGATAAGGGTTATAAAAGTACAAAACATATGTAGAACGACTTGTAAGGCGAATACTAAGGTGATTTCTGTCATTCTCCTGTGCACTGGAATAAGAACAAAAATCGATGAAAAAGATCTAACCAGCCTTAGCAGCATTTCGTGCCCGCACTCTGGCATCGAACGGATTATTCATTATTGCTTGTTGATATTTCTAGAAACTTACTACACAAAGACAGAAATCTGCTCATTAGGGAAAAACATTAGCAGATAGGATCATCAAGCACAAAGTGGTACCTCAACCATGTTCGTCGACAAAACATTAGGTTTGAAAAATATTCATACCGTTACTTACAATATAAGAATATCTTGGAAATAACAACAGCAAGGAAAACAACAATAGTCAAACAACATCACTGTAATAACTCCATTTCATAATCACACAGTACAGACAACTTATAGTAATAGGTCATGTCCTCTCTGGTTTACTAACCATAACTACAATATGACACATCCTACCACTACACGTTAACAGCACCAAGATTCGCAAGATGAGATGTCTCTTGTTTGAGTGCCTCAATAAAATGTTCCGGAGTTGGATTGTATCCTAGCATAGTTTCTAGTAAAACTGCCGACGGCAAACCCCCACCATATGATTGGACCTTAAGACACTTATAAATTAACTGCACCAGCTGCCTTTAACAACGCATTCACATTGGAATTTTGACACGGTTCAACATAAAACCATAGTTACCATCAAAGCCTACACAAACCTCCATCCATTTCTCTCCTTCAGTCCTACTGAAAGGTGAGTCTCTGAATTTCGAGTTCCATATCAGACTTGCAGCTGACCTGGCTACTAAGTAAGCATAGTACTTTGCTCCGTACTGTACCAAATGGTGAAACCTGAAGTAAATCGACAGTACTATAGTAAATGTTAATAGAAAAACGTAGCAATATCGGTTATCTGACAGTCAACTACTTTGGAAAAGTTACTGTTAGAGCTTTGTACCTCCAGTTCGCACCAAAATCCCATGTGATGCTCCATTACAATAACGTTTTTTCTCTTTAACTAATATCGTAGACAAATTGACCAAAACCTACATTCCACAACTCTAAAGTTAAGCTAAATCAATGATTTACAAGAGCCACTATACATGCAAACCAGCAGTAGGGACATTACCCTGTATAGGAACTTCAACTAACAACTGGACTTTAACAATACTCCTATGTAAAGCTAGGAACTAGACCCATATACCTGTGCTGAAAAGCTGAGTCCTTTTGACGGTCGAGATGCGGCAGTGCCTCAAATAATGACTGAGTTGGTGCGGACGAATAAGATTCACTAATAAAAAAAACGGAAAAAAGAAAACGAAGGTTGCCAAAAATTACCTTGGTAACAATCGAATGAAACAGGTCAGTAGTAGTGATTCGACCTTCACGAAGAAACCGTGATGCATCTGGAGCATGTAGTTCTAAGTCGAACAACGCATAAGACGCCTATAATAGTACACCCATTACGCTAAAACAACGTGTACCAGTTTTAGGTATTCCTACATATCTTGTATTTGTCTCAAGTAACGACTCCATTAAAACCACATATATTAGAATAATAAGTACGTCTTCAGTAACAACTCCAATATAAAAAGTTATCGCACGTGGCACACTTTCGCCATGTTGTCCTAGGGACTCCAATGGCTAAACCAGAAAATCTCCGGAGAATGGAAATTATGCTGGGGCCCGCATAACCAGTGAAGACGGACCATCCAAGTATCCTAGTAAGCATGTTCGCATGTATATGTGTCGATGCAGCACGTTTTGTCGTTTTCCCAGAGTATAAAAAGGAACGAGGTTGCACATGTGAACAGCAGAAATAGAGAACCACTACATTCCAGTGATCAATCGTATACCACGAGTAACTGTATGGCAGTGGCATGTACATAGCCATCACCACCAACTGTCCGCTGTTTTTACCATGAAGCCCACTATGAACGGCCACGTGTGCCACTAATTCTCACGCTTCCACATTGGTAACACAAACCTCGGAAACGTTCTTGAGTTCAGGTCTGTACTAATCCCTTGACGAGTGAGAGCTGCGAAACTAGTTGGGAAATCACGTAAAATATTAGTAGATATTGAGGGAATATCTGTACACCTAAATATGAGAGTGGTAAATATGACAGTGATGAGGGACTTGTGACGTAGACGAAGACATATGTGCTCTAAACCATAGACACGTGCTGTGCCTTCTAGCGACCACAACCAACAGCTTCTAAATCTGTTCATCAAATTTTTTCTTTTCTACAAGACTCGCTTTTCACATCTATTTTGCGATCTCAGCACTTCTTGCATTAGATTCGTTTCCTTGTATTCATCATCGACAAAGGTCTTCCAACCTTTTACGCGTTGCTTCGCCAGCTGCTTGAAGATTTCCCTTTAGTTATGAGTGCCGATTAATGCCGTTCGAGTCGATTCTCCTAGGAGTCCTGAGATAGCAGGGATGAAGCGTTCCCACTTAGACTACAGAGATTGAATTTCCCAGCCCGGTAACATTTTCCCACTTCCGGAAAGATGACAAGCTTGGTGATCCGGACAGGAATCGAACCACCACAGTGTTCGCGACGATCGGCATTACTATCACCGATCTACCCGCACCTTCTCACCAAGTCCATGTGACCGAAATGAGTATCTGCATGATGGTAGTACTGGAATGACATGCAGTACTAGAAACTGTACGCTACTTGGCGTAGACATACTATCTAGAACTGGTTCGCCAGTTGGTTGTTGCGGGACAGTTTCAGTCACTGCTTCAACGTTTAAACGTAGGTCGCAAATTTTTGTTCATATAAATTTTGAGACAAAAAATACAGTGAACTTTCCGAATTAATCTTTCTACTTCTGTTCAGCAAACACGAGGTGCTATTTTATTTCTTTATTTACGTACAAGCTGACGTTTCGGCGGATTTCGCCTTCCTCAGAGCCTGGAAGGGTCAAGTTGACAGCAATCCACTCGGCCAAACACCTCCATAACCAAGCAGAGAAAACGCTAAACCAAGATTTCAATCACATTTAGCATAGCTCCGCACACTCACCGCTTTCTATGAGTCTTCCACTGAGTATGTCGCGTGAAGACCGACCGCACAGAATTCACATGGAAGCAATTCTTCGTATTTTTGTTGAGCAAACGCGAGGTGTTATTATTCTTTATTCACAAATGAGCTGACGTTTCGGCGGATTTCGCCTTCCTCAGAGCCGCTTTCTATGAGGTCTCCACTAAGTATGTCACGTAGAGACCAACGTTGGCAGATTATACTTCTATGTGATTTCTGTGCGGTTGGTCCCTACGTGACATACTTAGTGGAGACCTCATAGAAAGCGGCTCTGAGGAAGGCGAAATCCGCCGAAACGTCAGCTCATTTGTGAATAAAGAATAATAACACCTCGCGTTTGCTCAACAAAAATACGAAGAATTACTTGATCAATGCCGAGGTTAATAGAAAGTCGGTCGTGGGAGTCACATGGAAGCGTAATGTGCACCTCCCATCAGAATAACAGGTTTATATACTGCCCAATATCACGCGTGATAACGAGGCATTCCTCCCTGCGGTTCATTTTCGGATTCTTGGAATTTATCTAGAATGCCTCTAGAGTTTTGCGCGCTTGTGTTCTCAATTCTTGCGCGAGGAACGTAACTCTTACTTCAAAATCTTAATCTCCTAGGAGTCCTGAGATAGCAGGGATGAAGCGTTCCCACTTGGACTACAGAGATTGAATTTCGAGGATCGTAACCCTTACTTCAAAATCTTCATCGCGTTTGGTTTTGTTTGGTTATGGAGGTGTTTAGCCGAGTGGATTGCTGTCAACTTGACCCTTCCAGGCTCTGAGGAAGACGAAATCCGCCGAAACGTCAGCTTGTACGTAAATAAAGAAATAAAATAGCACCTCGTGTTTGCTGAACAGAAGTAGAAAGATATATTCAATCGATGCCGAGGTTAGTAGAAAGTCGGACTTGGGAGTTTCCGAATTAATTTCCTATAAATGGTATTTCCAGTAGGTATCTAAGTTAGAAGAGTATTACAAGTGACAGTTGGCAAATAGTGGGTAGTCTATCTAAAACATATTGGGGACTTCGAAAATGGTAACGGAGAATCACCTGTATCACCTGTAGTCCCGCTGATCGTCTAGTGACTCGAGTGGGCGCCAGTAAATCTTCCATTTTTCGCGTGCAAGAGTAGCCCAGTGGGTTCTGCTCGCTCTAGGAACTCGTCGAGCACCATATCTTAATTCCAGACTTCTCGTGAAGAACTCTGACCATCGAGTCGGTGATGTTCATGCAGAACGTTTAATATCCCAAGGAATCCAGTCACTAGCGGCTCTTGTCCATCGGTTGTCATTCAAACGCATTACGGGTAACGGAGAATACCAAAATATGATACTGAGCACCGCCAAAGTGATGCTTTACCGTTTACCAACTTCGTGCCTTCTGAATTTCTTTAATAGTGTTAGACAAGGTATAAAAGAATGGAGAATTCGGCATCCCTATGCGGCATGCGTTCGACTTCAAGCCCAGTAATGGTGACTGGATGCACTATGGCTTACACAATGACTTTCGAGAGCCTCTAGATACATCAAGTCAATGTTTTCACAGCACAAGTCTTGTACCATTATTCCCAATCAAAAAGGATAGAAGGGCATAGTTACCACCTCACCAGCCACTGCGCACAGTCCCATTTAAAGTTTTAGATAATCAAAACCCGATGAAATCGGAGTGGCTATCTTTGAGCAGTTTCGAACCCACGTAATAACAACTCTCGTAAATAATCCAAAGGTTTAATAGAACTATAGAACTACAACGAAAGCAAAAACAATGAATAAATAATAAGATAAAGATAAAGAAAACGCTATATAAAATAAAGTCGACTTTACAGGCGACCAAGTGTGCCTTCTCGTTTTCTCGTTCATGACACTAAACCCTTTTTTGCATATCTAAACCATAAAAACTAGAGTCCGACGTTCAAGAAACGGTAGTGTGGTGAACAAAAATCAACCGAGAATCCATACAAAGCGCAGCAGCTGTGAAAAACACTTATACAGTGATTTTTCCAAAGTTTTAAATTGTTTCCACTAAATTTCATAAAAGTGTGAGTAATACGATAGGCTAACAAGTATAAATTAATTCCGACAGGATCTGCTCTGCCTACGGCAACTTAACACTCATTTAGGTAACATTACAGGTTAAGGTCATAACATTACGGCTACATTTTATTACGGAAACTCTCCTTGAAAGGTCGTATAATTGCTGAAGGGATTCAATACATATTCCATAAACAGTAGGCTTGACGTACGTTGTCAGTGTGTCTAAAACAACTACTATTCAACAAAAAGTACGAACCTGTTGCAATATTTCCAAGGATGAGAAGGCAAATCGAGACGCTATCATAGAAGCAGCATCTTCAACTGGTATACATTCACCATCTGGATTACAAAGGATTGTTCTCATCACCTAAACGATAAAGATTAAAACCATAAATGATAAAGACAGAAACAAGGGAGATCTGAAAACGATTAAGCACAACTTTGAGATTTGATAAACACAAAGAAGAAAAACGAGGGAACACAGAACACGGCATCCAATGACTACGTTAGAGAGAAGTGAAGATAAAATTTATTAATTTCCATAGCGAAAAAAAATCTTACTGTTAAGTCGTTGAAGAAATACTCCATCAGAATAGATGGAATTTCCGAAAAATCTTGTGAACATCGAGTGCCTAAAAAAAGGAATTTTGAAAAAAGTATGTAGGACTTTTCGTCACTTTTCTAGGAAAGGAAGAGATTGAAAAAGAAAATTAAAACGACCACCTGCTACATGCTGGTACTTTGTTCTGCCTAGCATACTATGCATAGCATGACCCATTTCGTGGAATACATTCTCAGCTCTTTGCAAATGAACCTGATGAAAACCACCATTAAAAAACTGCCAGTAATGCAAACGAAAGAGGCGTGTGTACCGCAGGGTGACACAAGTATATAATTTCATGAAAAATCTGAAACTCCGTAGGCGTGAAATCACATTTAAAAAGCATCTTGTGGCGAATATTGAACTGTATAGTTATAAAGTAAGTAAGTAAGCATTATAAAGGCGCATACAAATGTACACCAGCATTTTAGGCTTTATGATTTGTAAAATGTGTGATGAGAACTCAGCTACAGTGGTCACATAGAAAAAGAAAGAACTTTTGAATCACGGATAGCCTATATTGTGCAGAACCGCTAATTTTACAGCAAACCTACAACAAACACTAGAACCCACGACACGGGCATTTCGTAACAGAATTTTTCCACTGCATGGTGACAGTTAAATCTCACAAGTTCCTAAAGCTTGCCGTGGACGTGTGGTTCTGATTTTGTTTCAGTGGTCTAGGGAATTCGATATTTGATAGCACCGTTTCCGAAATATTGAAGCTGATGTATTGATGATCACGGTTTACGATCTTTTCCTGATGTCCCGAGGTAGCCTCGCTAATAAGTTCCCAGTCGCCACAGCTAGTCGCAGGTATTCGTGAATTGAAATAATTTCGTCAGATTGCGACTAGGCTACTACCAAAATAAGAGTTGTTTTTTACTACAAGTTAGCCTCAAAAGAAGCTGTAAGATACCAGTAGCAGATTTCTTCTTAGCTACCTGGTGGACTAAGATGGAGTCGACAAATTTCTAGCTCTACTCACACCAGATTGTATATCACCTCTCCAACAGTGTTGGGTACCCTTCGCTACAGCTATGTCATCAGAAAGGTGCTTTAAATGGTTTCATTTTCTAATTACATTCTAGTCCACTTATTTCAGACTTACTCACGACCACTATTTCAACTAAACCACTTCAAGTAGAAAAATATTTCCTACCTGAATATTCCTCCAGTTTGCGTCATTCTCGTCGCAGACCGACAACGACAGTACAACTATTGGAGTTTGCCAGCTGTCTTCTCTTAACTAAATTATAACAGTACACAAACAGTACGCAGTACAATCTTCTTCATATCCTTCGTTCCACTCCTCCTCATCTAGGGTAAATCCAACCTGTTTCGAGCAGCGTACGGTAAAATGACAGTCGCCAAAAGATTTCGTTGGTCTACGTCCAACATCCAGATATATAGTGCCGAGAAAATCATCATTGGAATTGAATACACTCTGCAACTAACGAAATCTGAAGGACGTCTATTAAAATCATAATGTATAACTTCTTATCCATTGCCCATTACTTATTCATGGCACGGTGTCATTTGAAATTTAACCACAATGATGTTGAGATACTTCCAAAACTCAAAGCCTAGCCACATTCGATTCCCCTCTCTGAGGTCCAAGTCCTGCCCACTGCACCACCGAGGCGCTTGTTTCGACGTCTCCCAGTTAGTTCTCCAATGGCATTTTTTTTAAAATAATAAGCAGAGCTATACATAGTGATTTACACCGCTGCCTCAGCTCAACTGGGTTCAACGCCAATTTGTGCCCCCAGATCATTTCTGCTGACGAGTGATTGCTGATGGCACTGTTATGGTAAAACAAAATCGCTAAGAGAAAAGCAAAGCAAAGACCTCAGTAGTGCAGTGGCTAACACGTGAGTCGCCTGGAAGGGCAATCGGGTTTGAATCTGGCCTTGGGTCCGAATTTTGCAAATATATCTGCATTATTGAGGTTACTAAAACGTTCAGACTCAAGACAGGCATTTCTTGAACTAGCAGTGATTGTTAGATAACTGGAGTATCTGAGAACCAAGCGACTTGGTATCCCAAACTGAAAGGAATTTATTATCGCGTTAAAAATATTAACTTAATGCAAAAGTAACAGCGCTTTCGGATCACATTTTGTAAATCGCTATAACCCAACTCAAATATAACTTCAATAATCACAAGAAAAACCATTAGAATGTTCAGATTTCTTTTCCAACTAACAGCTTTAGTTACTCTGCTAAAATAAAATTTTGAAGCAACTCAGGAAATGAAGATTTCTTCAAAACCGTTTTTAAAAACGACTTGACAGCCGAAGATTTTTCCACGAATGTAATATGCTCGAAAAAATGGTCGTCGGTTGATGAAATGCTTGATGGGTAATACAGATTACATTGAGTCTTGTAAAATGGCTCATTCAACTTTTGCAGCATTACTCGTTTGAAGTACGGTCAAGCGTTTTCGGGCAAAAGACTGAACCACTGATGTTCATAAAGCGTTAATAAATTATGTTGATTCATTTCCTGACCTTAATTCTCTGCTGTGATCGTTTCATCATGATTCACGACTTAATATTTACTTGATCTCCCGAAAACAAAAAATCCTTTACAACTATATTTCGTGGCAGATTAGACTTTGGGAAGTATTTAAGAGATTTATTAAAAGCCACGCACTGCTATGAATGTTGTCAGCTATCACAAAGAAACTTCTCATCGCATCATGACAGTGCGATGAAGTGGGCTGTTCTTGCCCAAAATAAGCGCAGAACGGATCTTGTGAAAAAAATTTCACCGCTACTTCTTCAGCTCATGCGGCCATCATTTTCAACCTTTTTGACCATCCCGATGGCTCATCATTTAGAGCCGAATCAGAATGTTAAGTAAGCCTTCATGTAGTTTCTGCAGGGCCAGTTTCATATAACACCCACATGTGGTCGTCGCCCACTGCAGATAGGTTTCAGCGGCCGTACGCGCTACAGTGCACTTATGTCCATGTTATGAAACCTTCTGAAGACAATTCCAACCACTAAAGCAGTATTTGCAAATCATGAACCAAAATGATGCGACTACGCATTGATAGAATCATTTAGACCGTTTCAAAACAAGCGAAAACAGATTTTTGGACAGTATTATATTACAAGATATATCTCCACTGTGTCTCCAAACGGATAACAGCCTCATCGTGGTTGGGAGGTGTGCCTGGGTGTCGGGTTGCAATACAAAGTTGGGGGATTCATCCCTAGCAGGGTGTCCCATGCTGGAAAGAAGTGCGACGTTTCCATTATGAAACCCAGCTAAGAGTAAACCAATATCAAGATCTACCATCGCCCTGATATCAAACTAGTCGCAGAGTGGTAAATCTCTCTCTGATACACAACGCGGCGTTTGCCCGTTGCGGTGACCACCTGGAGCAGACTCGCTAGGCCGACCTCGCAAATACAGGGAATTACAATGGCTAAACCAGCAGAACTCCGAAAAATGGAGATTATGTTGCAGCCCGGTTAAAGCGATTGTTGCGGGCGCAAACATCCATCAATGACCCATTCGGATACACTGTTATTTTCTTTCGGATCCCCGTAAATGTGCTAAAGGGCGTGTAAATGCTTAACAGCATAGATATAATTCTCAGTAGATCTTACAAATCAAGGTGAACCGAAGTTAACTAACCTTGTGTTGAAGTTACCTACCAGTTTAATAACATTACCAGACCAGATTTCTCCCCGTCTTATCTCCTGCTCTTCAATTCGCACTCCATATAACCGATTAACGAGATTGGTGAGACCATTTAATAGGTTTCCGAGGGTTAGAAATTTATTCATTTCGCGATAATGAATATCACCGTAAGCACGTTCCTGAAACAAGTGCTCACAGAAGAATGAGTTCACACATAACAAAGCGTATCACATGTTCAATCCACGTATGGAGGAACGCACTTTTGAACTGAATGTGCAAAATCTCTTTGCTGAAAGTCAAATACCAGCAAACAGTTGAAATTTCACCTTATAGATTTGGGAAAGGTAGTGTAAATCCCATTCGCCAATACCACTAATAAATGAAGAGCACTGAGACTGGATGTCCATCAAAACTGCTAGTTCTCGTTCTGCAGAAGGTCGACACGCCTTAAACATCTTTCACAAAAGTGTACTCATTTCACACGATGCTTAGGCAGTAAACAAACGAAACAATGATACAGTTATATACAAGTTATTAATCCGAAATTACAAAATACAACCTTCCAAATAGAAAATTACCTGCACAACACCCCATAAGAAATCATGTGCGCTCTCATACGAACCCAGAAGGGTGTTATCTTGCGCCCTGTGAGCATACGAGCGATAACCAGTGAGCCTTGCGAGTTCGTCTCGGTAACACACAAGTTTTCGCAGTTCTTCCTCCTGCGAATCAATAACTGCATTTCTCATGCTCGAGCACAAAGTACACACAATTGTGAACATTACAAGCACACAGGAGTTCAGACATATGAATTAGGAAAAGTGGATGATAACGTAGAAAGAATTGGAGATTAAAAAAAACGATAAGTCTACTACGACGTAATCATTTCATATTTACTGCCTAGTTTTTTATGGCAGAGTATGATGTGAAATACAAACATAATAATGCTGAGACAGTTGCAAAGCTCTGGATCGCAGGTGTCTGCGGCGAGGATCGAACTTCGTTAGTACCCTTTCCGGGAGCTAACGTGTTTACCACCACATCATGCGTGCCCTCATTTTTTCCTTTCTCCGCCTTTTTTGTGAAAGCCCATGTTAAAGCTTACATGATACCTGAGCATCATTATGTCGATAAAATGTCGTGTAGATGAAACGCCGCTTAGACTGCTCAACGCAGTTCGACGCTGGTGAAGAGATCCTCGCTGTCTCCAGGCTATATTGATTCTTCAGCGATCTATACATGTGACTTTTAAGAAGAAACAAGCAGCTTAAAGTTAAAGCACGCAAGCAAGTTCACGCTACGAGAAACAACAATTCTAAATAACAAATATAGCCCTCATACCGCCTTTTCTCGCTACTAGCCACCAAAATATTTTAGTAGAACAAAAACCTAAGATTACCTGCCAACGACGACTTCTCTATCGCAACCTAATTGGAAGTTCGTTCCCGCTTTGAAGATCTCTCCCGATAACTTCACAAATTCAGCACGCTATAAAAAGTGATACAGTCCTCCATCAAATAAAGATAAATACCTCAGTATGCCTAACAACCACAACAAAATAGTAAAGAAGAAGAATTAAATTGAAGAACTTGCATGAAATGAAGGTAACAACGCATCACTGGGAAAAAACGAAGTTCATCACCTTATCCTCTGGAAGATGTACACCAGACTGTTCAAATTCATTCAAGAATAAGTCTATGGTACGTCGATCAACATCGTCAAGTCGGTCAGCTTCAATTTCCTTGGAATTCTTCAGTGCGTGGTAAAGAGTAGTGGAAGTATTGAGACTGGAATGGAGGACCAGATGTTACAACAGAATTCTCGGTGGTGAATATTCCAAACATGAACAAACCTTTCGACAAGCTCGCAAAAGTCCCGAGCACTTTTCTGTGCGGCTTTTACATATGACTGGTCACTGTGAAGCTGTCGCACGCATTCCACCTAACCTAAGGTCTCTGTAGAGCAGGTCGAAATGAAATGGTAAGGAAAATGATAAAAACGCTCTAAAAGGAATCTAGTGGTTCTTATATGCTAATCCAAATAACCAATAATAACACTGTATTCAATGGGTTATTTCTCAACAAGCGACTCGCGTAGCGCAGTGGTCGGAGGCGGCCTAAAATACACACACAGGATTGATCTCCGCGCCTGCGGCTCACCAAGCCTTTCATCCTTCCGGGATCAGCACAGCACTGGCTCAATACATCGGTACGCCACCGCGACTCATTGTGAAGGTCAGATATGCATTTAGTCACCTCCAACAATGCTTAGTGAAGTCGAAAGCACGGCACATCCCTCAGGGATTGATCAACGCCTAGAGCTTTGTCCTTTACCGTTCTATTTTTAAACAAGAAGGAATACATAATACGATTAAACAAGTGCTGTTAGTTCTCGATATTCTTCTTGAGCGAACACAAGGTGTTAATTAAGTGCTGTTATACTAAAATTATCTCCTTATTTACATGAACCATTATCACAGTTGCTGAAGCTGACCCCATCACGTATTGCATTCGATTCGTCTTCCTCACATTCACCATCCACAAAGGTCTTAGAACACTTCGCCTGTTCTTTCAACTGCTGTCTCTCAGCTAGTTCTATCGATTTCTGCCATCAGCAATTATAAACATCATCTGCTTTTATTTACTGCCTATTATTTTCTTATGGCTGAATGTGATATGAAAAATAACCACAATGGTGCTGAGATATTTGCAAAGTAATAAGTGGTAATAACAAAATTCGATCCACATTGCAGATACCTGCGATCCAAAGTTCTGCAAAATCTAAGCATCATTGTTGTTGTATATCACATAATGACTCTACTAATATCTTTGCCAATGTTCGTTAATATGGGGTGTCCAAATACTCCAGTCAAGAAATATGGATGCAAGGATTAATGGGAAAGTTAGATCGTTAACAAAAATGACTACACATAGAAGCAAAATAAAGTGGACTGATCTAATGTCATAACTAAGCTCTGTAGAGAAACAGCTACCGTACTTTTCTCTATGTTTTCTTAATCCAAGCAAATTGTCTCCACATCTTTTGTTGGTTCCGGCGATCCTTTCATTTGGGGCTTGTTTCACATCTATCAGCCACGACAACTTTCATATTTGAACTTTGGGGACTTTACACTTCAATATTATTGAATTCTGATAGAGCTGAGTATTCCCGAAATTCCAGGAGAGCTCTACTAGAGATTTCAAGATCCTTACCACACAGGATTTTCCCGTTTCTATTACTGGGTTCGAGGTTCCCTCGAGTAAAGGTACTGTCAATTTGAGGACATCGGAGAGATGAGAGAGTCCGTTGGCCAGGTGATGGTTTTAATTAGAATGTGTAAATGCACAGCATTTGCAACCATTGTGCATCCCGCTCCTGTCTTCAGCTTGTTTCCTTTTACAAATAAATGAAGGATAAAGCTCTTGGCGTTGATCAGTTTCTGAGGGATACGCAATGCATTTGACTTCATTGAGCATCGTTTGGAGCTGACTGACTGCATATCAGGCCTTCACAATGACTCGCGGTGGCCTGCCAATGTGTCCAGTCAATGCTGCTATACTCCCAGACAAGTCTGGTACCAATTTTTGGACCCCAGACAGACGTAAGGCTTGGTGGGTAGTGGCACGGGGATAGATCCCATGGGTATTGCAGAACACCGTCTTCTGCGCCACACGCGCCTTATATATTATAATATAAAATGTCTATACTTCATTTCGAAGCACTCTACTCTATCGAAAAGTCAGTTCTATATAAAAGGGCACAGAAATACAGAAATACAACCTACAAGATCTGCTGCTTTACATATTGTATTTGATAGATCGTCGAACAGCCTCACAGTTGTTTGTTCATTCCCACCGGCCTCAATCTGATTCACAAGACTTGAGCATTCCAGTCGAACATGTCTATTCAACTCATCAAAGCTTTCACAGCTCGTCAAACGTGCGTCCTCGAACAAGCCCTTAAAAACATCGTTTCTGTTTGCACCACTTTTCACAACATAGAGGTGTTCAGTATCCCAAGTTATTCGATGCACAGTTATTAAACCCATAAGATGCGCGTACAAACCAACAAATCTTAACGCACGTATTCTCTTCAAGAAATGAAAACGATATAACAACAGGAAGTTTAGCAAACCTGACCAACCAGCAAGACACGATCAATCTGAGATCAAAAATCTAACTTAAGAAAAAAGAAAGATTTACGTGTCAGGCCTTTTCTGCTAGGGTTATGGAAGTGTTTGGCTGACTAGATTGCATATTAATGTGACCCTTCTAGGCTTTGAGGAGGGCGAAATCCGCCGAAACGTCTGCTTCTCCGTCAATAAAGAGTAAAGTAACACTTTGTGATTGTTCAACAAGAGTATAAAGAATTACCGGGTCAACGCCGAGGTTAATAGAAAGTCGGTCTCAAAAATTGTAACAAACCTGAGTTGGCAAATCCACTTCTTTCTCATTCGACTTCCGAAATAGATATTTCTGTCTCGACAGGCGAATCGGTACACTGCGAAGCAGTCTTCTTGAGATAAGCATCTGCTAAATAGATCCATAAGGAATCAGAGAAATCCATCTGCTAATCAAGGACTGCGATTGCAAAGTCATAGACATCAAGACATTCAAACTCATGGACTCACTGCCAACTACAGGCTGTTTAATAAAATATCTAAGTTTTAAAAGATCTAGTCTAGATTCGTTTTGTAGAAACTACGTGAACCCAGCTAATCTGAATGCAAGATCCCAGTTGATTTAAAGTATGCTGAAATCCACCCGACGCACATTTGCGTACACGCGATGTTGCAGAATTCGAATTTCAAGTTGTGGTGGACCAGGTCTGCTTTCTTCGTCTGTTCTTTTCTGGTGTTAGGTAGCTTTTGATTTCTGGCTACTTCTTTAGCTCCATCATCTTCGTCTTTAGCGCAGTTCTCTTATCGCAATTTTTGGGCCACGAATTCTTGTGGTCTCCTTTTGTCCTATTCTTCTAATGAAAATTTCATTTCATGTTAATAACTGAACAGGGAGCCCAGCTTAATATTCTTCTCCTTGTTGAACATAACTGCGATAACAAATAAAGCTAAATAGTAGCATCGAGGGCTTTACGTGTCTCGGTGAAGTTCATGTTGGTTACAAAATGGAGAGGTAATAACATACGTTATTCTCCATCAAATAATTGGAAATGCTTAGCGAGATTGTGGTGTAATTAAATTTTTTCGTTCTGATTTGAAGGTTAGAGGGCAGATAGTACAGTGCTAGTGACGTCGTTCATCACGAACATGGTGCTAGTTCGATTCCGCTTCTGGCTAACCAAGCCTCTCATCACTGCGGGGTTCGGGAAATTGGCACCGGCCTTGTTCCGCAAAAAAAAATCAACCTCTGCAATTCAACTGGTGACGCTCTAGCTCAGAATCAGTGGGAAACGACTCAACCAGCGTTCTACGACATTCCAGATGAAATGAAAATCCTCAAGCAGCAACCGAAGCCACACGTAAAAGTTGGAAGACCTTCGTGGGTGATGGATGCGAGGAAGCGAATCGAATGTGAGAAGTGTTGGGATCCACACATTGGACGCTAAAACGGGTTATACGAAAAAAAATTGATGGTAAATTTGCCGCTGGTGGATTTGTCGTTATTACGGCAACTATAAAGACCCTGTGAAACATTCGTCGTTAGCAGGAAAAAGTGGTGGAAAATTGGCAACCAAAAAACTCAGTCACCTGAGTTGTTGGGCATTTTCTTCGTTTACGTTAACCTTTTTCATCGAATACAAATGATGAAGGTTTATCAGCTCTGTGAGATTTTAGACTCCATGCAATGCAGTGGCTAGAAAAGCCTTGCCGTGGATATGGTCGTCGGTTCAATCTTGCTTCGTGGGTTAACCAATGCTATGTTCCCTCCGTCATCAGAAAATTGCCATAACACTTGTGATCAGAGTGGAAACAAGACTTGATAAATTGGTAGGCAATAAGTCATTGTAACTGTAAAGTCCAAATATGAAATAAGTGAAATCTACGTCACCTAGTTGAGTCAGATGCATGCCACCTCCTGACCTCATCCACAGCAAAGGTTTATTGATCACCTAGTGTACGGTTGCCAGTAACCCTACATCTTTTTCACCGTTGTTTCATGTTTTATAATGCAGTTTAGTATCCACTGATCAAGGAATCGAGATGATTTGGCGCAAGGCTAGGCGACTCGTTTCCGTGTAGTGGATAGGGTGTTTGTTCGCAGATAGTAGACTAAAAGCGGCTGTGTACGAGACGTCAGACAGAGGTGAATTCAGAGGACGGTGTCGTCTCTTCTGTACCGGATTTTCCTATATCTTATGTATGTGGAAAGGGTGCTGCTCAGCTAAATATGATCTCTGGATAATATAGGGTGTTGAAATGTTCACGTCCCATGGATACGTTACTGTTTCCTATGTTAGTCTCGCCTTGTTTGTCAGTTTATTTACTTACATGACTTGACATCACATTTCAGTCCATTCAGTTCCTCAGTGTCGTCAAACACAAAGGTCTTCGGCTTTTTTTGTGTGTTCCTTCTTTATTTCAGGACTTTGTTTTCGTCATTAATGGCGTTCAACGCTGTTCCAGTTGCTATTTCCTGTCTGGGAAAGTCGTGCGAGGGCGTCAGTAGATCTGTACGACAGGCAGTCACAAGCCTATACAGATCACAGGGAGCTCTTTACAGACAACTTTGGTACCAGTTTGGCAGGCGGATGGTATGGGAGGCTTGGTTTACCCGAGGAGAGCTCGAACCAGCGATAGTGTGTGTATTATTATATGGGATTTCTAACCATTGCGCTTCCGAATTTTCTTGTTATTCCACCCTAAATTTCCTCTTATTTGGCGTGCTTCCTACTTGTAACTAAGTGCAGGGTGAGGAAAACAAGTGTCTGTTTAGATAATCACGCAAGTTATCAAGGTCTTATCGATTTTGTTAAGTGCGATTACAGCTAGGTCAGTGGTTCTGGCTCGTTATATGGTTTTCTGTAGCGGAGTTTGTGTTCTTAGGGAAATCTCCCGATACTTCTGTGGAGTTACCTTAGTTTTACGCTCTTAGCGCTCTTATTTCCTATTCTGGCTGTTCTCCTCAACTCAGTTTTTGCAGTTTTCGTGCGCTGCACTACCAATACTTCTAAGTTTTTTCAGAAATGATTGACAGAATAATAGAGAACGTCTACATTTCGGGTGCTGGAGATGTTCTGGCTGGTGATGGATTACTGAAATACGAAGTGAGGAACACTGTCTTTCCTTCTTTTGTGTTGCTCTTGTCTTTGGTTTTCCCAGAAAATTGTGTGGTTTCTTCAGAGCCGAAAATTTTGAACAAAACACTTCTTTTGCCATGAAAGAGGGGTGAAAGTCATTTCTTTTGATATCTTCAACGAAATAGGGCTGAGAAGTGTTTATATTGAAGATACGGATGAATCAGTTACTACTATTCATTGGTTTTGAGTTTTATAAACTGTTTCTCATTTACACATTTTATTAAATATTATAAAATTTAAATTGCAGATCACTCATGTTCTTACTGTTTCTGCGATTGCCGTTCCTATAAATCGACGCGTTCCGAGCATTAAGTACCACTTCATCTTTATCATGGACCTTCCCAATCAGGACATACTTGGAGGAGGACAACTGGCAGAAAGTGTAGTCTACATAAGTGATGTCTTAAACTCTGGTGGAAGTGTGCTGGTCCACTGGTAAGTGTATACCTTTTTGTTTGCGAAAAATTACGCAAGAACATCAACTAATGGAAATAGTAATCGGCTGCAAAGGTAGTCCATCTTAATGTGTTCTATATTCATAATAAAAAAAGCATAAAACTCTCGGCGTTGATCAATTGCTGAGGGAAGTGCCATGCATTCGATTCTATCAAGTATCGTTGGAGGTGATTGAGTGCACATCTGGCCTTTACTGTGACTTGCGGTGGCCTACCGATGCATCAAACCAGTGCTGCTATCCTCAGAGACAAGTATGGTACCAATTTGCTGATACCCCGGAGTGATGGAGAGCCTGGTAGGCTGTGGGCTGGGGAGGAGGGGGTGGTGTCGGTCCCATTTTTATTGCAGGGCGCCTCCGACCACTGAGCTACACGCCTCCTGTGTTCTATATGTATATATAACAGTGATCTATGTACAACGGTGGGTGTGTGGGAGGGCAGTCTTCAAATATTTTTTTGGGGAAACTGTTCTCGTTTCATACTATGACCCAGCTGGCATGCGTATCTGTTACCTTACCTATAAATTCCCATTTACAACACGAGGCACGGAAATTTCGAGCTGTTGCTTTGGCTTAATGCTAATTGTTGGAGATTATTTGATTGCTACTTTCTTCTCTTATGCACACTGTGAACGTTGGGCTGCTTTGTCAGTAGTTGATGTGTCTGCAATTTAGCAGAGCTGTGTAGTCCTATAGGTGACCGTACAGTTCTATTCTTCCCGAGGTTGGGACACCCTGTTCGCCAACTCTTTTGGCTTCACTTCCGCTCGCTCGTGTTAATGGAATGTCATACTAGTTTGGTCGCAATGTTTGGTTAACAACATGATCGCCCTGCATTTAGCCTTTTTAGGCCAGGATTCTGGTTTCTTAGAAAGGTTTATTCTTTAAGTGTTTCTTGTGACCTTACTGTAGGGGTTAACCACCACGCTTTTATCTGTAGTTTAGCACTAGTAATCACTTCTTACGAAGTTTAACGCAGTCACAGCGACTCATTTTTGCAGATAACGGTGCATATGGGAATCAATGCGCACCATCTATTTTATCCTCAAATCTAGCAACATTCCTTTTTGTTTTTCGCTTTATCCACTGTTCTTTCCCTCTTTCTTATTACTACCTATCCCTAGTATTCGTTTCTCTGTACATTCTAGAGCATTTCAATTCTTTTATGTGATGAAAAGATCTCGTCCACCACCCAGCCACTGTATTGCTGAACTTTGCAGTACTATGGCATCTATTAAGAAGATTATAATTCTTTTTTAAAAGCAGAAGAAGAAAGGAAACGGCAGGAAAATAATAAATTAATGGCAAAAAATCAAATTTTGTTGGCTGGAATGAGCTAAGTGGAAGACGAATTGAACTCCATGTGGGAAGTCCAAAGACCAACTTTCTTCTAACTACCCCATTGATCACTAATTTACTGTTTTCTTGATGAGCAGGCGCGAGGTTGGTTTTACACTATTTATTCACAGTAGACGGCGTTTTGGCCCTTTAGCCTTCCTCAGGGCCTGTTGTAGTTAAGCTGACACACAATTGAGGAACGTCCTTCGTTCAGGTAAAAAATCACCCTGAGGTTTGGGGCGGCGTCACGAGTGATTGTAGGAAAATCTTCCTCGCAGTTGATTTTGGATTTTATCCAAGACGCTTCAAGAGTTTGACGCGTTGATGCTTTAGATTCCTATGCGACGTGTGACTTTTGCTTCAAAATCTTTTTCGTTATGTTTTTGTACCCTTTGCTTGGCTTTGAGTTTTCCACCTAGTTGCTCCTTTATACGGGTCGAAAATGGTTTCTCCGTTTTACCAACGTGAGCATGTTCGACCATCTAGATTGCATGTCAATTTGTCCTTTCCAGACTACGAAGAAGGCTAAACCGTTGAAGCGTCAGCCATTGCGAACAAATAGTGTGATAGCGATTTGTTCCTGCTCATCAGGAAAACTGGCTTGAACTTCATTTGATATCAGTTCTGTTCTAGAGTGAACTAGGATCAGAAGACGCCGAAGACAATTTGTTTTTTAGGGGTTTTCGAGAAGTCTTGTGAAAGTGAATGGCAGGATGAGAAAAAGGTGATTATGTTTGTGATATCGATGAAGAGTAGTCAGTATGCCTCATGGCAGTGGTTCTTCATTGGTGACTTCCATTTGAAATGAACCAATTTCTTCTGTTTAGTTGTACAGATACTGCACACTTTTGCAAACTATTTATTGCTGAGAATGGGGCTTGGATATCGTATGTTACGCCAATTCTTTGGCTCTACACCATTAGTGAAAACCAAGCCTCCCATATTTCCGTTGTTGGAGAATTGGTATTAGACTTTAGTATTGGTATTAGGTATTAACGTAGGGATGCTGAGGCGCGGATGTGCACAAACTCCAGAGGGAATTGACTCGACCAGCATTCAGTGACATTCTTAGAGAACAGAAAGCCTCAAACAGCAACCCAACCTACACGAAACTATGAATTTGTGGTTTGTGAGTAGGAGGAAAGAAATCGAATTAGAGAAATACTGAGATCTGTGCAATGTGTGGTGTTAGAATCTACAAAATAAAGTAAGTAAAGATTTATTGCTGATATTATTTGGGATGTAATGACTTTGAACGAAACCAACATATACGACAAGATTCGTATAGACCGTTGGTTATTGAAAGAATGAAAAGATTTTCGCTTTATTCCTTCAGACAGGATTTGTGAGATATTAGTGGTTGAAAGTTTATTGATGCTATAATCCAGCGCTTCGAGAAGGTCTTTTTGGATTACGAATTGTATTAATTTGCTGCAAAAATAATAACGGATTTTATATTTGTAAAGATGTTCTACAAGCGAAATAATGCTGTCAAGGTAAAAAAAAAGTGGAGAATGTCATCTCCTTGGGTTCAGACTTATGCCGGCCACAGTGGCAGCAATTCGAAATGTGTTAGAAATACCAGTCATTGAAGCAGTTTTGAGAAAATTATGTGTGTAGGAGGTGAAGTCTTTGATGACGAGAGACGTCGTGGTTGACTAATCAGAGTTTGTGGACGACCATCTCAATGTGATACTTGTTACCCGTCCTCCATATAGAAGTTTTTCAAAGATGTTTTACTGCCGGAAAAACCTTCATAAATGGTAACGTAAGGTTTAAATAAGAGACCATGGATTATTGCACATTATCTCTAGCCGCTGCGCTTCTGGCGCCTCATTGATTTATTTCACACTTAAAAGATTAAACGGAGGAGTGTTCGGTCTACTTGCTAATCTTTGAAAAGTTTGTATTAACGAATTTTAATGTCACTTATTCGAAATTTTCTTCTTTAAGTGAAGTTGGCGTGTCGAGAAGTCCGACTGTGGTGGCAGCTTACATTATGCAGAAATTCAAATTCACCGCCGAGAAAGCTATTGAACTTATCAAGAAGTCAAGACCGATAGTGTGGTGATTTCATACATCGGTTATTGTGACATGATTTGCTGAATATTAGATAGCAGATTTGTTCCTTACTTGCTCTTCAGATTGTTTTTCAGTCCTAATGAGGGATTCGCTGCACAGTTGCAAATTTACGAGCAACTCAACTATAAAACCGACAAGGCTTCGTTGTCACAGAGTCGCCTATATAAGAACTGGGCTATATCATCCGGTAATTTACCGACACGTGGTTAGTTCACTTATTTAGCGTTAAAAATTCTAATAATTCACTTAAATAAAGCTGCTACTCTTCGAAAATAGGCTGACGTTTTTACATGTATAAAAGGTGATCGTGAACAGTAGGCGCCAAGATAACGACAAAATTCCATTGTTATGGAATCGTTATTGTTCGCAAGAGATTGGCTTAAGGTGAATACTTTTTCATTAACTCTTTCCGAAATTAATCTTCGAATTGTGTTTTCATCTATCTCGTATGTGTTTTAGTAGTAGGTTTTTTTCCCGAACATTGTATTGTTGTATGTCGCTGGAAAGTCCACTTTATGTGGTTTTGCCCCGTATAATTGGATTATGATGTCAATTCTGTCTTTGACAATTTTTAAAAACTAGAAGTTTAAATATCACAACAGATTTTTCGAGAAATTCAATTTTACGGAATCAAACTTGGACGAAACTCGACAAAACGGTTTGAAATATTGGTGGGATATGGGGCTAAAGAAGTGTTATCGAACCTATAGCGTAATATCGGCTTGAAGATTTGGTTGCGATGAATTCGACCTCGGAAATGGAGAAAGTCGCGGGCATGTTTCTACTGTTGACGACAATAAGTTGAAAGGCTTAGCGATTTAATGGAAACAAATGCACGCAATACTTTTCGAGAACTTGTAGAAGAACTCGGTGTGGCAACTCAGCTGTGTCGGAGCATCTAAAGAAATTAATAAAACCTGGCAAATCGAGGAAATGCACCAGAAACTACAACGGCAGTGCCTCACATTGGTCAAACGAAGGGGACCATCCGTCCACGAGAACACGCGACCACATGTCTCACAAGCGACGGTCAAAGGTTGAAGGAATTGGACTACGAAACTCTGCCTCATTCACCCCATTTGCCACTTCTCTCGCATACTAAATATTACTTCTTTAAACATCTCGACAACTTTCTGTACGAGAAGTGCTGTAGAAACCAATCCCGGGTTGAATCTCCCTTTAACGACTTTAGCGCCTCTAATAAATAAACTTGTTTCTCACTAACAAGAATGTGTGAATTCCTATAGTTTTTTTCCAATTGATAAAGTTTATTCTGTATTGAGATCTCCCGCTTTAGAAAAAGGTTGAAGTCGGATATTAATTTCGAAATTACCCGGTTGCGTAGTTAATTTTGTGGCGCCGTGATTACTTTCTACGTTTTATCTGCAACAGGAAATTGTCTTTAGAGGGTTTGCCGGACCTATTTGTCAATATAGCGTTTCTCTGCATTGTCGTATGCTTTACTATAGTGTTTCCCTTATTTCTATGTTTCCGATATTTTCTCCAATCACTGAAAAACTCCGTTTTTTGGCGTATATCTACTGGTTGTAGGTTTATTTATAGCATTTATGTTTGTTATCGTTGTCATTACTGTTGCTGTTGCACGTTTTAAGTTCGATTATAGTGAATTTATACCAATTTTTGAAGGAACAGACCAGAATGCGGATACTTTCATCAAGGAACTTGATGCTGAAAGCTGTTTCAAGGAGGGACGGAGTAAATTTAGGTCATAATTACGTCATACCAGTTATACGAATATTTCATTTTTCAAAATTCCTTTTGATTGCTTTGTTGTTTGATGGGAATCCAGTAGTTATAGTTTAAATAAATTCGGCTAGATGCGACAAACTTTCTTAAAATTTGTTCTTATTTAAGATTTTTACTTTTTAAACTTAACCTCTAAGAAAGTTTCCTTTAAAGAAGTCTTACGGTGAACTGTTACAAGGAGCAATTTATCTGTAACGGTCGCCGACGTTGTTAAAAGTTTTGAATCTGAAAAGCTATGTGTTCAGGAGCTTGTTGGTTTACAACAAATAGGTCTGTTTGTAGAAGGTTTCCAAGTTTCAAATAGCAACTCGGAACGTTTGATTCTGTCATCATGTTATCCGAAATAACCACTATGCTGTTCAGATGTGGAAAATGTCGACAAGCTCTATTCTTCAGCGAACATGTTCTTCCACACATGCGACGTGATGGCGAGGTGCAAAATTTTATACGAATTCCATTGAGTTTCCTTTATTTGGAAGTTCAGCGCATTCACGGTGGAGCTGGTTTTTTGACAGCAGATTATAATTTCTCGGATCATCGGCTCTGAGGAAGACGAAGACGTCGAAACGTTAGCCGAAAATAAATATAATTATCAACCTCGTGTAAGCTCATCAAAGAAAGAATACATATTGATTAGTCACGCCGACGTTCAAGGAAATTCGGTTTCGAAGTATAATTTCTCCATTAATAGGAAAGTAGATCTGTTGAGAACTTTACAGATTTATAGAACAGAGTTGGTTCTGTCGTCTCAAAGGTGTCTATAATTTTGAGAGAGTATTCGTCGCACACTAAATTCGCTTCGAACTGTAGTCTTTCGATAATTCCAAATGATACAACCACAACGATGCTGAAATATTCGCAAAACTTGGACATCGGGTCAGATCGAACCACGATTACTCTTTCCGGGAGCTCACGTATTACACACTGCACCACTTGCTTTACCTTCCTCAGCTAGTTTTCTATCTAACCCTGCATCAGCAATCACATTTCAGCGGGATTGGTCTGGAGGGGTGTAGTCGAAATCACAATGCTAACCTTTTTACTTGCTGCCTACTATAGCTTTTCTCGGCAGAGTATGATGTGAAATTTTTCGACCTTTAAGTTTCCAAAACGAGATCATTACAGCATTATATCTTCTGACCGAAATTCCTCTTTCGGATTAATTTCATCTTCAAGTTATCGGTCTTGACGTGAAAAGCGAAAGAAAATCTTTCAGCGCATTTCATTATTTTTCGACACTACAAATCATTTTTTTTTGCGTTTTTTGTAAGAAGGATCGCATCTAAACAATTGAATGAGAGGTGATCCGTCCGTCAGCAGGCAAGGATTTCTCTCAGTCCATCAACGGCTGTCCATTTGCGTTGAAATTCCTACTGAACTTTTCACTTGTACTAATTTCCTCTCACATTATTTTAAAAGTGCAACAAATTTGGTGTTAAAAAAATCGTTACATACCTTAGTGACAATTGTGCAAGATCTCTTCTAAGAGGTTGTGAAGTTCTACACGTTTAAGTATTCCATTTGTCGAAAAATTATGTATAGTTGTTGAAAAAGCAGCATCATCGCTAATGGGATAATATGGATTGGCTGTGTTTCTTTGCTATCCACTTCCTGCTTTCTGTTTTCTTGTCATTCCTTATTCCTGTTGTTGTTAAGTTTGAACTTCGTTTATTCAGAGTTACTCAGAACGATTTAGTTATGCAAATTCGGCTATTTGGTTGAGCCATTGAAGTGGATGAATGTATCAGAATATGAGGGGAAGGTTAGTTTAATTCGTATTTATTTCCACTTATGTATTATGTTTTTTTTTATGCAGCATGTAGCAGTTGTCAGGGCATAATGATGTTTTCATCCTCTCACCTTCAATTTTTTTATTTCTTTATTTTCATTTATTTTTTATTCTATTTTTAAAATTCTTTCCTTTCACCTAAATTCAGTTCCGAAATTTGACATTAGTCTCTTAACTCTTATTTACTTGTTCTTTTTTTATGACAAAATACGATGTGAACTACAACCACAAGAAAGCTGATATGTGAACAGAAATCGAAACCTCAGCTGTGCTTAGAGCCAGCAGTCATCCTTAGATGGGGCTCACAAGCTGTCCACCACAGGTCCTTGATTTCCCATTCTCTCAACTATTTTTTTAACTCTACCTCTGCTATTGGGGCGTGTGTAACGCAATGGTCGAAGACGCCTTGCAATACACATGGAATCGATCTCCGCGCCGTATACTCACCAAACCTTCCATCCCTGTGGAGTCGGCAAACTGGTACCAGACTTGTCGGGAGAATAACAGCACTAGTTCGATACATCGGTAAGCCACCGCGAGTCATTTTAAAGGTCTGATATGCATTCAGTCACCTCCGAACGATACTTAATTACGTCGAACGCATGGCTCATCTCTCAGAGATTGATCAATGTCGAGAGCGTTGTCCTTTATCCTTCTACCGTTGCTATCAGCAATCGCCCATCGTTCGGAATGATCTGGGGGGCACAAATCGACATTGAGCCTAGTTAGGCTGAAGCTGCAGTCGAAATCACAATGTTTTAGATTTATATGTGGGCCCGTGATGAGAGTGATTGCGGGTTCGAAGCCCAGCTGTTCTAAGTTTTGCTTATATCTCAGCATCCTTGTGGTTTTAGTTCTGTCATTAATGCTCTAACTTTTAATTTCTGTCTATTCTTTTTTTTATGGTATGGTACGATGTGAAATACAACCATAAGGATGCTGAGATATGAACAAAGTTCGGAACCTCAGCTAGGCTCCGAACCTGAGATTACTGTTACGGGGGGCGCAGGTGCTGTCTAGCTCACCTACCGGGGCTTTTGCTTTTTCTTTCTCCCATCTATTTTTTTTTATTCTATCGATACTCACAGCAATCATGCATCAACGGGAATGATCTGAGAAGCACAAATATATCATTAACGTCATCGATGATTTAGATCAGCTGTCCAAAATGTGAGACAAAACTTGGCAGCTACATTTGGGGTGGGCAACAGTGTCGTGGCGAATCTGATGCAAAGTGTTTGGAATACGGTACTTTTTTATTCGTATTCGTTAACATCTGCTTTTACATATAATGGAGTTCTATCTCTATAGCTGTCCTTCTTAGGCATGTTATTTGGGTACACTATTTATCCTTGAGTAGACCGTTTCAGTTACTCCATGGGTGCATCTACATCGTGGGAAGATAGATGAGGTAAAATTACATTCGCCTGTAGAACAACAACAAGGATCACATCAACATCACAGCAACAATGACGTGTCATCTGTTACAACGTTCTGAAATGTACATCGTTTTTGGTTTTTAAAATTCTTTCTAATTAAGCCATGAGCCTATCTGTGTATGATTTTTGCATTACTTCCATCCTCAAGGAGTTGTGGTGTTACATCGGTTACAGTGATAGATCCGGTCGTACTTTCTCATATTCCTAGTTTTCGTACAAACAACATAGTACTTTTTCTATTTCCTCTACGTCATATAGTCGTTATGTTAAGTACTGTAAGATTTTAGCACTTAACTACACATATGGTAGGTATTAGCTAGAAGGAAAAGTATTCGTATTGTCGCTAGTTCTATACGTTTTCGGATTAAAGAGAAATTATATTATTTTTGGTTTTGTCTATCATTCCTAGTAGTTGTTCTTCTTTTTAGGGCGGTTTGGGTGTGAGCGGATGTCTGAGTTTATCACGATAACCAAGACCATGCAGACATGGCAACTCGCAATTCCAGAAGCGCCCCACTTTTAGTGCTGAACGTGAAAGACTCCCAATTTTACCCAACTGATGTCTCTGTTTCGAAATTCTACGCGGAATCAGACTAATAGGAGCTCTGCTTTGCAAGGACGTCTGCGCTCAGAATATAAATCACCTGATGAGCTAACTACAGATTTCGCAACCAGATTTGCGGTCTTCTACTGAGACTTTAAAATTGACTTTAACAGATGGGTTCAACAAGCGGGTACTAAGCCGCCAAAGTCGCACAATGGACAAGAGTCGTTAGCGATTAAGTTCCACAGGGTCAAACGCATATTAAGAACAGCACCAACACAATGGTCAGGGTTCCTGGGCCCGACTGCATAAGAAAAATACGATGTTCAGCGAACTTCTAGAGCGAACATAACCCAGTTGGCTAATCGTAAACGCGACAAGAACAAGTGTAGATTTATCCGGCGCCGACTTGAGTTGCTCAATGATCGATAAGAGAGTAGATGATACGTGTCACACGGATAATTTGTCATGTTAACGATATTTTCCAGATACTACAAGGTTCAAAGTGTGCATGAAGAGTTGAAAATCTACTGGTTGTGAATTTATCCACACATTACTATGGTTACATTGCTGACCTTTGACCTATTTCGAAAATAGACCTGTCTATTTCTTCCTAAATTTCATCTGTTTACATTATCAGAAATGAAGACAGACCTTTCGATAAGTCTCATATATACATAAGAGGGGACGAGAATGTTTCGCTAAAATCCACGTAATAAGAGCACTGGACTCAAGTTTAGCGAGCCAATGGATTCGCTTATCTTGGCTTTTTTTTTCAAATCTCCTTTCATGATTAAGGAATCACTAACTCGCTCTATGTATTTATTTGTAACGAAACACTATTGTGTTTCCAGTCATGTATTTCACTATGACAGGTAACACCGTCTGGTGAACCGTTACTTCCCAGCTCTTTCCCAACACCTCACGCAGGATCATCTTTCCACGATACACGAAATGAATACCAACAAAGAATAAATTTGTATCTCCAGTCCTAATATTACTTCGTTTTTTTGGTGAATATTTAGCTTAGACTTTTTAAGCATACTCAAACTAGACTTAGGTTTCTATCAAAATGATGATAGCCTATTACATAGCTATTAAATTGGGTACCTACCAGTCCCTGAGCTCTTGCTTATAGGTTAGGTTCTAATAAAAGAGCGATAAACATAATCTAACATAAGAAGGTAATCATAACCTGTATCACCTGCCGTCCTGTTGATCATCGAGTAACTGGAGCGGATACCAGTAAACAATGCGTTTCTCTCTATCGCATGCAAGATTAGTTCAATGGATCCTGCTTGCTTAATGGACTCGTCGAGCATCATATCTTTCTTCTAGGCTCTTCGTGAAGAACTCTGACCATTGGGTCGGTGGTCTTCCTGCAGTACGATTATTTCGAGGAACGCAGTCACTAACGGCTCCTGTCCATCGCTTGTCGTTCATACGCATTACGTGTCCAGCCCACTTTATTTACAACAATTTGGTTTATCGAACATCGTCTTCGATTTTTGAACGTTGACGTAGATCGGAGCTTCGGATCCCGTTCCTCACTTGCTTGACGCAGGGAACTCTTTGCACTGTCGTTTAGACCGAGCGTTCTATAAGTCTTAGTTATCTTTCACTCTGCTTACGTAGTGACCAGGCTTCTGGCGCATAGGTTAGGGCATGAAGAATTGTGGAGTCGAAAATATGGACACAGGATCGAGTGCTCCTTGTTCGCTTTACTACATCATTCCCTTGGGCGACCTCCGGACAACTATTCATCTTGTTGGTTATGTTCCAGTACTACATGAGTCGAGAAATAAAATCTTCAGACATTATTCACGTGCGGAGATTTCTGGTGTAGAATCTAGCTATCGTGTTATTTTGGGGTATATGCCATTGAATAACGTAATCCATATGAAAGAGCCCGCATGAGACGCAAAGATCTAGCCTTCGATCCAGACTGTTGTTAGAGCTTAGGTTACGAGAAATCTAATAGTCGACGTCCATGTGAAATACGACTAAGATAATGCTGAGATACTGGCAAAACTCCGAACCGCAGGTGTCTGCGATGGGACTTCATCGAACAAACGCGCTATTGTTCTTTCCGGGGAGTAACTCGTTCACCATCACACCTTGCGGGTCGGATGGTTGCTGATGGCGCAGATCAATAGGGCTAGCTGAGAGACAAGCGAAACGAAGGACCCGCATGGTGTGGTGGTGAACGGGTTACTCCCCGGAAAGGACAATAGCGCGCGTTCGTTCCCCACCGCAGACACCTGCGGTCCGCAGTTTTGCCAATATCTCATCATTATCTTAGTTGCATTTCACATGATACCCTTAAACCGTATCATACCCTTAAAAATTTTAGTAGGCAGCAAATAAAAAGGTTAAGTTGACGTCCATGTTTTAAGCCTTTACAGATTGTTTAGCCCATCAAAGAAGTGTGCTTTTACAACCAAGCTCCTCTGTACCATATCCTTTGTTACAAAAAATCTTAATGCTAAAAATCATTCTCCAAAAATTCATGAGCTAAGTGAAAATCTTTCGTATTTCAACGCATCTAATCCTTCTTTAGATGTCAAGAGGACTTTATTTCATTTCGTTCCTCAAAATTTATAGAGAAATTCTAGCTAGGCTCTATCACCTATTATTCCAGAACACTGGCGTAGTAGAACTCATACAAATTCTAATGTTATAAGTGTCTTATCGTTTTGTACTCTGCTGTTGAGGCATTGTGAAGACCATATAGTAGCTGGCTCAACATAAAATTTATTATTTATTTTTGTTTATTATTATTTCATTATATTATGATATCATGTATTTATTATTATTGTTGCATTGTTATTTATTTACAAAATTTTTTGCTGTTGTGTGTACATAATGTTATCCACCGCTTTGTCTCATTGTTTCGGGAAACTAATAGGAATTTCTTGCAGAAACAGTGTAACGTTGAGAAGGTATGGAATAGCTTTTATTGTGTCACATATCTTACATGATACATTTGCAGAACGTCAATCGTTCAACCCTATGCTGCTCTATCAATCAAGATTTCTCACATCGTAACTTTGAGCAGAAAACGAAAATTACAGAAAACTGAGGTGCGCAGAAATCTCTGCCCACTTCGCAAAAGATCACAACAAAAGGGAATGTTATTTTCTTATAAGTACAATTAAACATAATCTTCACGACATCATGTGCATGTTCATAATTATTAAAAATAGAGATTTACTGTAGTTATTTGGAAATCCAGTATAATACTCGTTACTATTAAATGCTGAAATAATGCAAGTCCGCCCTTGTTCTTCGCATATACCTAGTATAGGAAGACAATGCAAGAATTTTAACAAATTTACATAGAAACTGTGACAGCGTTAAAGTTCGTCTTCGCAGAGCTTCGATGAAATGTCAATAAGTTACCTTCAGTTAAGGTCCACATAATTTTGTAGTGCTTTTTTCTGATGGTAGTACAAGGCTAGACGATCTCGAGCGTATGAAGCATAGTCGAAATTGATTACCGAATCCTGAAAGCCTTTCCATATAAAAGGAAATCGATTTGTTTCTTCGAAAGTAATTTCTAAAATAGCCCGAATTCAATACAGTTATTACTTCACGCCCAAACTGTACATAATCCAAGGATTGAGTACAATATATTATAAGTATATATAATATGGCGTATATATTGTTGATCTTCTTTGACACTTGACAATTGAATGGCATGTCCTCACTGGTTGTGCAGGCCCCAGCATAATCTCCATTTTTCGGAGATTTGCTGCTTAATTCGTCGTGGTTCCCTGGAATCCCGAGATCAGCCTGGCCAAAGTCTGCCGTAGGTCGTCACCACCACAGGCAGTGGCAGCCCTCGTTGATCAGAGGGACATTTGCCACCATGCGACTTTGATATAGGGTGATGGTTGATCCTGGTATTGGTTTACTCTTAACTAGGCTTCCTGATGGAAGCGCCGGACTCCTAAGCTTGGGAGAACCTGCTGGGGGATGAATCCTCCGCTGTACACCGCAGCCCGACACTCAAGAACTCCTCCCGGTCACGATGAGGCGGTAAACCGTTGGGAGGTTGATCTTCTTCACCGAGAATAATTTTCTATCTCATCACAAAAGGATATGGTTAATTAGAACCCGACATAATCGTCGCACTCATTGTGAATTAAAATCAACCCATGCCGACCGATCCACACTTCTTCCCGAGTACAAGTTATAACCACTTTCCTCACTAGTAACGCCCTTCGTACTAGTCTATCAAAATCGACCAATTGGTGCGGGACATTCTAGCACGCATATTGGCACCAATGATCTTTGTGGTTTGGTGAACAAACTCGTCCGAAAAACATTTTTTGTAAATTGTTAAATATAGAGAGCAGCTTTTTAGCATAATAGATTGATCTCGTTGAATTGATACATAAAGTAAAGTAAGAAATCCATAGGCGGCAAAATAAACCATCGGGAAGAAAACAAGATTTTGTCAATACATGTGGCCTATCTGTCTAAACCAAATAAGTGCATAATGTAAGAACGGCAATTTAGTGTAACTGTTTCACTAATCATTAATTATCCAAATAACGTATACTTTATTTTAAAAAAGAAAACACCTCAGCGTTGACTAATGCCCAACATGACCAGAAGATGTTAGCCACTGCCATGAAGAGAGTAGATTCGGTTATAAGACGACTCAGATCGGCATCACGGTCTCCAGTAACCAAGTCTGACGGAAAATTGGGATTTCCACCAGAATCCCGCATCTGTAATAAATATGAACACATTTTCAGACGTTGAGAGGTAATCGACTCGGACTTGCCTAATCATTAGGAAATCATTCACATCTGCTCTCAGACAGTCAGATGGTGAAGTAGGAAAAAACCACAACTGTACATCAGTCCAAGGCATACAATAGTCAGGTATTTCCAATAATGTACTAAGTTCATGATATAAAAGGGAAGAAGTTCCGCTGAAATACCAAGTTCACCAAACCATCACCAAAGGCTTGGTATTTCAAGCATGACAGCATGGATATTGTCTAAACGGGACTTACAGTGCAATGCTTATACATACTGTGATTTTGGTGCAGCTGAATACGTTGAAACTTCAACACTATTTAGGAGCAAATGTTCACTAATACAGGTTTAAGCACCCGCTCGGAATTACTTCGTTCTCCCTTATCGCAATGAATTTGGTATGTTCCTGTCACTGATACCTTTCTTTCCCATACCATAGTAGCCTCCTACTCTCTATGTCCCTTATATTTCATCTTTTCCGTCCACTCTGTCCTTTTCTTTCAGTTCATTCATTCAGTATTTCAACGTCACATAAAGTCACATTGCTATATCAAATGTGAAATTAGTTCTGTATTATATTGCTATCAAAACTGCCTTTCGAGCATGTGGATTAGTTTTATACGACGACGGAGACGTAGCTGGAGTAAAATTAGCGTCCTAGATTGCGGTTCTTAATGCTAAACATATTCCAAAGACATGGAAATGTCAACTTATCAAATATAATTGATATGAAATCTTTTAAAAAACATTTGTGTACGCAGCTGAAGGCGCGTATAGTTCATCAATTCAAACCACTTTTTTCTTTACACCCAACTGAACCCTGACAATAATCTGATCCTTCAAATGAGTGGTTAATCATCATCATCACATTCTTACTTAAACATTCCTACTCGTCCCCACTTATAAATTCGCGTCAGCACTAACTAGCCATTATTAGAGGTCGAAGATGGAACTGGTTTACGACCACAGCAGAGGGACATTTGCGGAACGATGTCGTCCGGTTCTGGCAATAAAAATTGTGAGTTCCTATGTAATAACGTGGTGATATACCTCTGGCAACCACAACATGATGAGACATTTGCAAAACTCCGGACCGCAGGTGTCTGCGGTTGGGAACGAACGCGTTATTACCCTTTCCAGGGATAAACGCGTTCACCACCGCATCATGCGGGTCCTTCGTTTCGCCTGTCTCTCATTTAGTCGTGTCGATAAGTACTATCAACAATCACCGGTCAACGGGATTGATCTAGTGAGCCCACACTGGTACTGAATTGAGCTGAGGCTGTAGTTGAAATCACAATGTTTACTTTTTATTTTCTGCATACTGCAATTTTTACGGCAAGATATTTTGGGAAATACAACCACAAGATGGTGAGACATTTGAAAAAGTCCAGACCACAGGCGTTGTTATGTCGTTATTACCTCGGAAAGGGTAATAGCGTGTTCTTTCCCAGCCGCTGACACCTGCGGTCCGGAGTTTTGAAAACGTCTCATCATCTTGTGGTCGTATTTCGCATAATGCCTTGCCGTAAAAATTGTAGTAGGCAGAAAATAAAAAGCAAACACCTCTGGAAAATTCTAAAGGCAGGCGTTGCAGATGGAAAAATCTAATTCGGGTAGGAAATGAATTTCTGCATAGAACGATTTTGAATGAGATATGTGCTGTTTAAATACAACCATCTAATAACCGATTTTGAATTGTTTACAGATATACCTTGTAAACTTCATCCAGATAGGCGGCGCAAAAATTCTGCCTCTCATGGGTGACTTCAAACATTTCGCCATATATCTTGTAGTATGGTGCCTCATCACAGTTATAATCATAGCCATATTCAGAGAAATGATTTCCAAGGTCGAACCCTCTGAAATGTTTGATCAAGAAAACTCGTTCAAAGTTATTTGGAATTGATGATGCGTTCTGCCCCAACTACTCGAAACAAAAGAATAAGCGCAGAATACTGACGAATACAGAAGACAATTTTCAAAGAACCACAAGGACTTTATCCCAGGCAAAATTTTGTGCTGAAAAATTTCTCATCTGCACGCCTAGGGAATGACTCAGAAATATGGCACGGACTAACATTCTGCTCTAATTACGAAACCGAGTAGGTGATAACGGACCTATAATTGTAGCTACAGTATTCAAAATCTATTAGCACCAATGGATCTGTTGAAATGACATCATCAGATCGAGCACTGATAGAGCCATCATTTGCGACATCATAGCCATCGAATAAAAGCACGTTCCCTTCCTGGAAACAGAACGAATTCGTCTGCATAGAACACAACAAACACACTATGGAGGAACGTATGACAATTGATCTTACTTTGGGGCCATGAAATCCTCATGACAGCCTATAATGATATTTACCTGCAAATCGTTGTGTGAAAAAACGACAGGGCTTTTACTTTTCACCAGAAATGCCTCGACGAAGTCCAATTCCTTTTCTAATTCATCACAAGTCACCGATGAGGGGTACTGTAAACACAATAGGTCCTCATGCATAGCCGGTCAGTAGGCAAGTGATGAAATATATTTTAGAAATAATACGAATTCATAAGAGTAAAGCAAAATGAAAAGAAAAAGAAATAAAGCATTCGTTACCACATGCGGTACGTACCGAATTGCTGGGCACGCGAGCGGCCGTGCAGCGTATATCGATTGGCAGCGCGCCTCTCGTACTCTGGCGGAATTTCGCCAGCCATCCGCGAGCAGATGTCATCACTTGCGGGTCTTTTGGTATTGGCACGTCAAGTGTATGCACCCTCGCTAGCATTGGGGCAATTAGCCTTCCAATTCTACAATTCAAATTTTGGCGTCTATCGTTATATCGTTGGCGAATGTATGAATTATTGTGTTAATATTGAACATAAAAACGGAAACGTTTATGCAGACAGCAATGACGGTTGGAAACAGTGAACCCACGCGGGTAGACTGATTTCTCGACATTGTAGTGGTCGACTAGGGATGAATTGCTCAAATCGACCACCAGGAAAAACTCCCAACAGTCTTGGACCGAGAGATCGTTCTGAAGGAAAACATGCAAGAAAGGTGCAAGCAGGTTTGTCTTATAGTGCTCGCTTTAAGATGGACTGTGTAAATTCACAACCATCACCAATAATTTGAACTCTACTGAAAACATCTAACTATAAGACAATTCAGTATAAGCCTATGAGCAACTACAGTCTTTGAGATAAAATTTCACCAGGAAATTATAGAGAAATTAGCCGAATCGCTGGATCAGGCCACCTAGGGTTAAGCTTTCGTTTCGTGAATCCCAAAACAAGAGGCACTCACTGACCTGATAAGAGTGTGAATACAACTGACTCGCTGACCAGATGACTGAGATCGGTTTGACACTGTATACGTAACAGAGCTTGTCGTGCTTCTGTTCCTAGGCTTTCTACGTTTGGTGCTAATTCGACGAAGAACAGTAGATTTGACATTCCTCCACTAGGAAACTATATATTTATAACAAACTAAAAAACACAGGAAGCACTATTCGTTTGATGAGAGTCCCAAACCTCAGTGGCCAGTGATAAGGGCTAAAAGACTCATTCGGATTATCGATGTTTTAACCTCAGCGACTTCAGGTTTTCTACTGACACATTGTTCTCTGGTATAAACAAGGTTTCATGTGAAAGCTATAGTTTTGCAGAGCGCTCAGAAGCAGAGAGTTTCGGTTTAATGAAGAAACCATAGCGTCAAAATTTAAGCAACGACGGGAACCTTACAGACATACTACAAAACTATTAACAAGTTGAGGCTACAAGACAGAAGAAAGCAGTTTGTTTCCTTCCGCCGAGAACATGCAATGTAATAGCTTTATCCATTTGCTAACAGGACCACCAAATCAACTATAATTATCACTTTGATTTGTCCTACTTAAGTTAATCGAGCGTCTTTCAGATTAAGGTGTAGCACGGCTAGAAAATCTGACCCCAAGCTATTCAACCCATAAAATTCAAGAACTGGTGAGTCCGAACCCTAACGTGGTAGTGTGAAGTATGTAATAAACTAAATAAACTAAAAATGGACTTTTAAGAATCTTATCGTAAAAAAATAGCCGCTAAATGAAAATATTATCATTTCGAGGCTTAATGGATCCGACGTGAAGTGTTAGAGAATACACCTAAATGTGCTGGAAAACATAATTCCGTATGGAAAGGAAGCATGAGTATTGACTCTTTTCTAAATGCTTGAATTAAGCTAGGAAAGAATTCAACGAATTCAAATACCTAAATTTCTGTTAAAGAGCAAAATGTATTCTACTTGATCTCTAGAACTGAACGAAAACACATAAAGAAACAACGTAGGTTCTAAAAACTGACGTGACCGGCCTGATATGAAACTGACGGAGTCCGACTCGAGTCCACGCTCCACCGAGGTATTTGGCGCATAGATATCGGGTCCGACTGAGAATTTCCAAGCTAGCGGTCTGAGTTGCGTTAAATTTGGAAAACACCTCCTGCAATAGAAATAATAAGACCAATTTTACCTCACCACCCTTGAAAATGTTTTTGTAAAAGTTACTTCACACCCTTCTTACACTGATTATTCCAGTAAAATGAGCAATTAATTCTATACATCTACAAGATGAATGGATAAAGGATAAAACTCTCGGCGCTGATCAATTCCAGAGGGGTGCGTCATGCATTCGACTTCATTAAGTATCGTTGGAGGGAACTGAATGCATATCTGGCCTTCATAATGACTCGCGGTGGCCTACCTGTGTATCGAGCCAGTACTGCTATCCTCCCAGAGAAGTCTGGTACCAATTTGCCGACCTCGGGGGATGGAAGGCTTGGCGAACCTGGGGCGTGGGATCGATCCCATATGTATTGCGGGGTGCCTCCGCCCACTGCGCCGCACGCATCCGTGATGAACTGGATAGTTGCAACTATGTAAGTTATGAATGATTTGTATGAATAGCAATGAGCTCCATCTCTAAATCATTTTCCAGTGCCAGTGCTCTGGCCTTTTCAAGACTAATATGGCAACAATATATAACAAAACTATCTTTCTCACTTCTAAATAAGTGAACAAAAATCCTTCTTCTCATTAAAGAATTTCATTGCTTAAATAAATGAAGACTTTAGCGGTTTTGGAAGAAATAAGAAACTGTATATGGCTCCCCTTAGTACCGCGATTCGCAAACAAGGGCTACGAATTCTATAAGTGAAGAAGACACGGTGCAAAGAATACTTCTTGTCGAATTTTCGTAAGCGAGCATATCTGTCCGTTTGACGATGGGTGATATAAAAGTGCTGTTATAAAGAAGTTGAAGAAAGTATGGATGGGAATGAAAAAAGGATGAGGAAATAGATCAGAAGAGGCCTAAAGACGCAAAACAAGAACTTACTGGAAGAAAAAGAAAGAAGAAGAAAGAACTGAAGATAAGTGGCCTGAATGTGAGTATTAGAGGAGGCACTATGCAAATGCAAGCAGAAGGCATAGAAAAGGTCTAGGCATGGTAATATGGAAGCAAGTGATTAAAGATAGAGAGAAAGGGGAAGAGAAAAAGAAAGGAAAAGAACAATGGTGTGTATTTCACAAAAAAGTAGTACAGTTAATTTCCATGAATGGTATTATTGGCAGACAGAGAATTAATGAGGGCTGAAAATCGTCGGAAATGCGCCTTAACTGAAAGGAGTTCACATGAATAAAGCTCTAAAGCTCTCGGCGTTGATCAATCCCTGAGGGATGAGCCATGCATTTGACTACATTAAGCATCGTTCTGAGGTGATTGAATGCATATCTGGCCTTTGCAATGACTTGCGGTAGCCTGCCTATGTATCGATCCAGTGCTGCCATCCCCCAGACAAGTCTGGTACCAACTTGCCGACCCCGGAGGGATGAAGGCTTGGTGGGCCGTGGGCGCGACGATCACCATGTGTGTGTTACAGGGCGCCTCCAACCACTGCGCCACACGCGCCCTTGTTCATCTGAATAGGAAGCGTAACTTGAAATTTCTTTTGAGTGGGGCAAAAATTGCTGTCCAAATACTTGATGTCCATGATTTTTCTGGAATACAAATATATATATATACGTATATATATATACATATATATATATATATATACATATGATATACATCACCTGTATCACCTGTAGTCCCGTTGATTGTCGTGTGACTCGAGCGAGCGCCAGTAAGTCTTCCATTTTTCGTTGTCGCGCGCAACAGTAGCCCAGTGAGTTCTGCTCGCTCTAGGGACTCGTCGAGCATCATATATTTCTTCTAAACTCCGTGAAGAACTATGACCATCAGGTCGGTGGTCTTCCTGCAGTGCGTTTAACATCCCGAGGAATGCAGTCATTAACGGCTCTTGTCCATCAGTTGGCATTCATACGCATTACGTGCCCGGTCTACCTCATCTTCAACTCTGGCGTATAGAACGGCATCTTTTGTTTATGATCGTTGACGCAGATAGGAGTTTCGGATCCCAACATTTACTTGTGTGGAACGATACTCCTAGCATCGCCCTTTCGACTAAGCGTTCGATAACGCTGAGTGACCTTTCATCCTGCTTACGCAGGTTTCTGACGCATACGTTAGGGTAGGAAGTACCGTTGAGTCGAAAAGGTGGGCACGGTGTCGGGTGTTCTCTTTTCTCTTCACTACATCCCCGATGCTCTTGAAAGCTCCCCAAGCCCCTCGTTTTCTTCTGCCCAGCTCTGGAGCTATGTCGTTCATCATATTGATTTCCCGATCTAGATAGATATAAGGGGAGCATTCGGAGATATTCGTTCCACTGAGCGTGAATAGGGCATACGAAATCAATCTGCATCTCGTGAACATCGTTTTCGTGAGATTTAGTCGAAGACTAACCTTTCCACAAGCTTTATCAAAGTCGGCAAGCATACATTCCGCTTGGCTAATGTTTGGTGTCATAAGGACGATGTCAACAGCAAAGCGAAGATGGTGTAACTGGCGACCGTCGATTTTCACTCCCACGTTATCTCATTCCAATGTTTGCATGACGTTCTAGAGGCTGGCGGTAAAAAATTTTGGCGAGATGGTGTCGCCTTGCCTACCTCCTCTTTTGACTTCAATGTTAATATCGTTGTGGAATAGTGATATCTTGGTTGTGAAATTTTTGTACAGCTCACGAAGAATCTTTATGTACTGAGTAGGGAGTCCTTGACTATCAAGAGCTTCCAAGACTGCTTCTATCTCAACTGAATCAAAGGCCTGTAAATAAATGAAAGTGAAACAGAGCGATCTTTTGCGCTCTCGCAATACTTCAATGTTGCCCATCGTACTAAATCCTCTTCGAAACCCTGCTTGCTCACATGGCTGTCTTTCTTCTAGCGTTCTGTCAATCTTGTTTAGGATGACTCGAGTGAAAAGTTTGTAGACGACAGACAGTAAGCAGATTGGGCGATAGTTGCCGATATCTTGCAGGTCACCCTTCTTGAACAATAACACGGTCTTGCTGGTCTTCCACTGAGTAGAGACCTTGCATTCAGACAGGTAACTTGTGAATAGGCGAGCCAATGTGTTTACGAGGACTGGCGGAAGGTTCTTCAGGTGTTCTGATCTTATCCTGTCCGGACCTGGTGCTGATCGATGTTTCACCGAGGAAATCGCATGTCGGATTTCGGAAGGGAGAACCGGTGATACAACATAACCATCCTCTTTTATTTTATACGACGGGAAGTGGACGTGGTTATCGAAAAGGTCCGAGTAGTATCCGTGAATGATTTTCTCCGTTGCCTTTTAGGACGCCGTAACTGTTTCGTCTGGGCGCCGAGGTGTAATCATTTTGGTCGTGTAATTGGCGAAGCTTCGGTGGGCTTTGTGAATGCTTTTGCCAGCTTCTGCAGCTTCCACCATTACTGCTGCATCTCTCTCTTTAACATCTTCTTTCATCGCCTGTCTGCATTGTTTTGTAAGTTCGGACGTTAGTTCACGGTTGCCTGCAGCTCGTGCGATTCCATGCTGGCGTATCAGCTCGAGTGTTTCTGGAGACAGACGTCTCTTGGTGACTTTCGAACTCTGAGCCTTAATAGCGCTAACGTGAAGATGTTGAATGAGCCGATCGTATTCCTCGTCGATGTTATCGACAACGGCATCTTCCCAACATCCCACTAATGAATTGAATAAATCCCAGTTTACGGAGGTTCTGGGACCTCGGTTTTGGAATTTAGCGGCCTTTTCTCCTTTCCTCGAAAAATAGAATCGTGTACGAAGGCGACGATGGTCTGATCCTGTGTAGAATTTTGGGACAATAGCGACATCGGTTAGGCAAAACCTACTGTTTACTATGATGTGGTCTATTTCGTTATGGTACTCTCCATTAGGAGACTCCCACGTCCAGCGCTGAGGGTGGGGCTTCTGGAACTGCGAGTTACCATGGATTGTCTTGGTCGCCATGATAAACTCAGATAGCCGCTCACCCTGTTCGTCCCGTTCTAATCCGTGGGTCCCAATGTGACGTTCTTCAGACGTTCTTCTTGGTCCAATCTTGGGGTTGAAATCTCCAATGATGATCTTGAAGAATGTGTAGTCTTCTCTGTAGAAGTTCTCCAAGTTCATATAGAACGCTTCGACTTCGTTTTCGTCATAGTTTGATGTCGGCGCGTAAACGACGAAGATTGTCAAAGCCGGAATTGATCCACGGCTTTTTAATCGCAAACGTCCAATTCGGGTTGTAAGTTGTTTGAATAAATCGATGCTCGTAGACAAACTCGTGTTGACGAGAACGCCGACACCGCCAACTCCTCTACTGCCGCACGTTCCGAAGAACAGTTCTTCTCCGGTGTCATAGGAGGCGTTAAAAGGCTGGTGTCTTCTCGTTTCGGCCAGGCCGACGACGTCGTACCTTATCCTTCTTGCTTGCATAGCAAGTCTTCTATTGAGGACTCGGATGCAAGTGTACGTGCATTATAGATACGGATCGTCACCATAGTTCTTTGAAATCCAGACAACTTTCATTGGCCCTGAGATTTTAGCAGCCTCTCCGTACTCGTCGTACCCAATGCTGCGAAATTAGAGGCTCTTTCGGGGTCAGGAGGATGAGGTCTGCTTTTTTTTTTTACTGTGTTTAGCATTTTTGATACCCATGTATAGCTCGGTGGGACTCTAGACGTGGAGACTGGGTTTTCTCACAGGTAGATTGCAGGCTCTCCCGGAGTGGACATGGAGCTTATTTATTGGAGGCGACTCCTAAGCGCCTCCCATATACTTCCCAGTCACTTGATTGCATGTTTTTGGCCGAATTGACTCGTAGAATACAATCCGCCTAAGCAAGAACGCATCCACACACGCATTTATGAATACGCCTAGAAAATACAGAAAGTATGTGCCAAATCAGCGCAGCACAAACTGGGAGTCCATCCCCTGGATCCACCTGCGTGTTAGTGAAGCAAAGGTTGTTTTTGGTCCGCGATTAACCCCCTATCTACCACCTGGGGACGCGCCACGTAGCCTCGCCGCTAACCGGCTCGAGATCCCTCATATCAGGGAGATCCGTGGCGTATATAT